CTATCCGTTCGAAACGTTTGGAACGTTTGGAACCCCGTAGAGCGTGCTCTACGCCAGGGCCACCGCCTCCCTTGGGTAGGCCTAGTGGGTGAGGCAGTCTAACCTCCCTGAATCCTCCCCGAAGAGATGCCACCGCCGTTGTTGTTGTTATTGTTGTTGTTGTTGTTGTTGTTGTTGCTGTTGTTGTTGTTGTTGTTGTTGTTGTTGTTGTTGTCATCATCATCATCATCGTTACTTGCATTGTTGTCTTCTCAATTAATTTGTATTATTTGTGATCACACGAGAGTGCAATATAAGGGGAAGGCCAAAGCCACTATGTTGTTGAATCAGCAAGAGCCTATAGAATGAGAACTGAGAAAGAAAAAGAATTGTGCTTGATGGTTTGTTTGGCGTTTTTGGAGGTGGGTGTGGGGGGGTTGGGGGGGGGGGCAAAATTTGAGCAAATTGCAAGATAAAGGAAAATCCGTAACGCATTTGAAATTATTTTTTTACAAGTGTGTACATGACATTATTATTTTTGTTTGAAAGGTTAATCTGCGGAAAAAAGAAATGACGTACACTTAGGTTGTAGAAGAGTTGAAAGGGTGTGTACATGCCGAATAAGTCTTTCATACTACAACAATCGTTTAATTTTTAGACTTTCGTTTTCTTCCCAAAAGCTTCTCAGTCTCGGAAAACATCTTTGAAACCACGAATGTAATAAGTATCTTTATATTAGATATTTTCTTTGGTTGATCTCCAGTGAGGCTTTTTTCTTTTGACTTACCAAGGTTCTGTATTTTTTTAGGCTTTGAAAATTTCCTAATTGATTTTCAATTTCAGTCTGTCAGCTAGCCTGGCAATCTGAATGGTAATGGCAGCTGAAACTAGGCCTGTCTAATGTAAGTTGATTTCTCCGATACAAACCACAGTGGTTTCAAAGGAGTGTGGACAAGTAGCATCGTATGCATTAGGTTTAGTGAACACCATAATCTTATTTTAAATCACAGTCAGCCATTTACATGGTCAAACAAACATTGCATTAACAGCGTCTACGTACACGGTAACTGGGCACGAACGGGAACCACGAATCATCGAATGTAGATGAGTTGGGCCAAGGCTATCTTTACTTTAGGGCAATTGTTTACTTTCTCGCGTTAATTCCGGCCGGGCCTAGAATCTAGAATCTAGATATCTAGATCAGATCTAGATCTAGACGAAATTATATGCATCCCGGACCGGATATTCAAGACTTTGCCCTAGAGTTAACTAGAAAATAGTTAAAGTTAAGTCGAGAAAGTGGCTATTCTCACCCGCCCGGAAGTTCTCGCAAGATCAACTCCTCCCCTCTTCTCTCTCTCTCTCTGTCTCATTCTGAATACTGTCTATCGGTGTGGACGATCAAATTTACCAAAACAAAGTTAAAAAATGATGTTAAAACACAAAAGTAAATTAATTTGGTTGTCTACAAAGATGCTACGGCTATTTAACTTTTCGTATCGAGCCGAACTACGCGTGTCGCCATTTTGTTTTGCCCGGAAATTCTCGCGCTACTCCTCTCTCTCTTTCTCTCTCTCTCTCTCTCCACTGCCACAGACAAAATTGTATGCTTTTAGTAGGCTACAGTTGTAATGGAATGTTTGTTCACGGCACAGAATTCTACAATTTTTCTGTTATCACAGTGTATTCTGTGGTTTAGGGTGAACGCAAAATTTGGTGAACGCGCACCGGGTGAGAATAGCCACAAGACTCGCCTGCACTATTCTCACTCCGGGTGAGAATAGAGGTGGCCTTAAGTCAAATACGTAAAGTAATGGAATTTCATCATTTGTTGGTGTAGTAACATACTGGCTTTACTATAGGCTGCTTTTTCGGTAGTTCCCGCCCACTTTATTTGAGCCTAGATCTAGATTCTAGATCTAGAAATCTACATCAAGATCTGTACGTTAGATACGCGGCGAGCTAAGATATCAAACCTAACAACTGCAAAAATCAAATTATGGTATAATCAGGGGGGCATGCCCCCCTGAAACCCCCCACCTTATTCCTATTATTATTAGGTCAGGGGCCCCCCTGAAACTCCCTACTCTTGGGTCCAAAACCCGCAAATAACTATTGTGGAGTGGGAACTACTGAAAAAGTGCCTACTTTAGGCCTTCCGTACTTATTTTGATGGCCATTGAGTATAGAAGAGATCTAGAATCTAGATCTAATTATAATATTCATAGAGTCCAGAGTGGTCGCTCGTTACCGAAGTCCTCCCCCGGAATTAAATGCGAGAAAGTAAACAATTACCATCTTTAGATCTATATTTAACTAAACATTTTCTTTGGTTGGTCTTCAAGGGAGGCTTTTTTTTTCTTTTGACTTACCAAGGTTCTGTATTTTTGTAGGCTTTGAAAATGTTGAGTTTTTTACTCATGCACCCGTCTCATATACACATTTTATATACTTTTTTCTATAGTTAGTAGTATTTTGCATGCTGAACACGAATATATGGCCTTCATTTTTGCCGCAAATCAATAGTTATTTAGTTATTAATGTTTGAAAATACAGTCGAACTTGTGTAAGACGGAATCGCAAGGGAGCCAGAAAAAAATTCCGTCTTAGACAGGGGGATTTAGGGGGAGATGGAAGGGGAGGGGGGGTTCAAAGGCCCAGCCGGTGGGATCAAGGATCGCTTGTCCGATTGGCAAGCAGTGATCAAAACTTCACACCTCTTAACTGCTATCATATCTGATAATGACATGTGTCAGTCTTACTTACCAAATACCACCAGTGCTTGCCTTTCATAGGACCACTGTTTGACCTCTATTAAAAACAGAAATGTTTGAACATCTCCTTTGCTTCCACCCTTAGCCCCACCCATTGGTGTAACAAGCACAGTCAACCAATGCCACCCCTCACTGCTATCATGTAACAACGATTCGAGGAACTCTTTTCTTGGTTGGCGTACGATCAGGGCGGCAGGCATTGGTGGTCAAACTAATTTCACACCTCTGGCTTCTGGCTACCCAAGAAAGTTTCTGTAGTGGCTTGCTACTCAAGCACTCTCACGGGCAATTGTGAGATTTCACACCCACACTACCCTGACCATCTTCATGGCTTAAGGCTCACATGATGGGGTAACATCTACCCCCAAATTGCACCCCTACTCCCTTTCCTCGCCCAGCGGCATGGCCATGGCGTTAAGTTTAGAGCAGGCGGAACCAAACTTGTGAGTTTTGTTTCAAATCAGGGTTGAGCGGGCCAAGCATTTTCCGTCTTAGACAGGTGAAACCCTCGGAAGGGAGTGGATTTCTCTTTCCGTTTCTGCGTTGGACTGGTTTCCATTTTATACAGATAATTAAAGAGGAATGTATCTAGGGGGGGAGCGGAGAGATTCCGTTAAGACAGGTTTCTGTTTTATACAGGTTTCCGTTAAGGCAGGTTCGACTGTAGTAATATTTGACTTGATTTTAACAACTTGGGGGGTGTCAGGGGGGCATGCCTGACCTAAAAAGAATCAGGGGGTATCATGCCCCCCTGCATTTCACAATGATTTGATGTTTTGGCAATTAAGATTGATATTTACTTGAAAACAATTGATTTGCAAGGGTTTTAGTGGTCATATGTGTGTTCTACAGCAAAGATTATTGCAGTTTAGCCCTCATATCAGTGCATCTGTACGTGGATGCATAAAAGTAAAATTTACCAAAATTTCCTAATTGACTTTCAGTCTGTCAGCTAGCCTGGCAATCTGAATGGTAATGGCAGCTCAAACTAGGCCTATCTAATGTAAGTTGATTTCTCCGATATTTCAAGACTACAAACCACAGTGCCATCAAAGTGTGGACAAGTTGCATCATATGCATTAGGTTTAGTCAGTGGCAAAGCGTTTATATTTATATCAAGTAATCACTGCTTCCCTTCCTAATTTTGAAACATTGTCGCTGTCAAATTCATCCATAAACGTAAACCTCATAAATTAAATGAATGTAAAAAGACTTTCATAATCACCAATGCCTCATATTCAAAATGGTTTCATTGCCACAGAAACAGCCTGTTCACCCTTTGGAGCAACTCTATTTTAAGTTGTCAAAAGCTTTGATTAAGTGAGCTTAAAGTGAGGCTGGAAGAGTCTACCAAAAGAACTGAAGGGAACATGTACATATATATACAGCACTCAAAACTGTTTCATTGCCACATATATATATATGCCCTGTTCACTCCTTTCGGGCCACAAGCAGTCACAAGCACTGATTATGTAAGCGAACTATTACACTGGTCGAGTCTACCTCGCAAATGTGAGGGGAACTAACTCCTAATATTCTCTTGACTGCTGCGAGTGCTTGTTTTTTTTTCCTAGACTTTTTACCGTCCTATAATCAGATCGTGACCTTGATTATGACACCGGCTCCTGGCCGCGAAAAGCTAGACAAAAACAGCCAAATGTGAAATAAAAAATAGACAATTGTCATATTCTACCAAAAACTTTAAACTCGCTGGTAATATGATGATATGTGGATCTAGTACTGACATCTATGCTTCTTTTCTTTGTGTTTGTGTATTCACTTTTGGTCCCATTACACATGCTGAGTAAATTTTCCTTAAGATGCTTTAAATTAATTACAGAAAGTCACTGTAATGCTCCCCTTACCCTAACCCCATGCATGCACAGTTTTGCTCATGCTTCATTCTGATATTTAGTTATTAACTTTCTTGTGTTCATGACTTTTTTTTCATACAGTTTTGCTTGCTGTGTATGATGATGAGACAGTAGAGCTTCCAGCATTCACACCATGAATTTTGAAAGTCAAGATCCTGATGGTTCGTTCTTTTCTCTCTAGAATTTTTTTCAGATTGCATTCCCCACTTTATTGTTTACTGAAAGTTGTTTTGTTTTTTAAATTGCACCCTATTTAAAGTGAACACAACCAACGATAAGCGAGTATAAGTTTGCAGTTTCTTATGTTATTATACCTTATACTCCTTCTATCGGCTGAAGGTCATATAACGATAAGGTGTCAGTGATGCCATAAAATTCTCATGTATCAGTTGTTTAAAATACCAGTACATATCTACCAACCAGTATTTAAAAAACGTATTATGTTTTTGAGGGTCTGAGTACGGAAGTCCACTTTCGTATCAGAAAATACACATTCTCTGTTTCCTAGTATTGCTCCTCGTCGAGTGGACTTTCTTATGCTGCAGATATTAAAAATTATGAACTTTCAAGACTGAATATGCGAATTATAAAGAAAAAAAATGCAAATATGTCAATTGTAGAGTTCTTTCGCTGCAGGTGCACTTTTAATAGCCTGAATTTATTGAATGCGTGCAGAAAAGTTTTGTGTGAAGGGTTTGGAGGGGGTTTACATGGCCAATACCCACCTTCTTGACTGGCAGCCAGGGTAATATCTGTTTGTTTTTTTTGTTGTGATAAGTTGACAGCTGTGCCAGTTATAGAAAAAGTATAACCACATATATATATATATATATATGAAAACCTTGTTAAATTTTCTATAAAAACAATTTGTGATGGTGGCCTTCATGTGGATGCATTTTTATGTTAGTAAGATTCCTGATTGTTTTACAGTGGAAGATGACAGGAAGCGAGATTCAAGCCGCAAAAGAGATGGGAAGAGGGACAAAAAAGAGAAAGGCTATCAGATGTTTGAGGAAGAGGATTCAGAAGATGATCAATTAGTCTTGGCTGGAGAGTTGAAGTAAGTGAATAGTGTGATCAGTGTTGGTGTTTTGCATTTACAGTTTAACACGAATAACTCAAATTCGTCAGGACCGGCCTCAGTAGTTCGAGGGATACGTGAATAGTGTTATGGCATCGGCTGTGTCAGAGTATCAAGGGAAGCAACAGAGATTCCTACTTTAGGGGCAAAAAATAGATCGATTATCCCTTCAGTACCGCGAGTAGAACGCCACACTGCGTAATCAACAACGCAGTCCTTTGCAAAGAGGGGTGAGGCGGCCGATCGTGTGATGCACAACCCTTCCTTTCGCCCGCTCCACACAAGCCTGGCTAGGCCTAAGGCGTAGGCACACGTGTTGAGCAGCGCACTAAAAATAGCACAGCCAGATTTTTTTTTTGGGGGGGGGGGGAAGGTGGTATTTTACCAAGCCTTGCCTTTTACAGTTGTTTTATATTATTATTATTATTTTGTCTCAAGTGCACAGTAATTTTCTTACTAAGATAAAGAAGGGGGGGAAAACGGACCGCAGGCACAGTTCAACGGATGCTTGATTTTGAGTCTTCTGTGTTCGACCTATCCATGTTATATAGTATTTTGTTTCAGTTCAGATATTTTGTGATGTTTGATTCCTCGTCCTTAGCAGAAATCTGTATCGTGTCGCTTATTTTTTTTTTTTAAGGTTGTGAAAGATGATATATTTAGAGATGTCAAAATTATTTATATTTTCTGAAAATAGTTATGAGACAGAGAACAGGAGTTTTTTGGGGGTTTTTTCATGGCAAGTAGATAAGAATGTACTTTGCTTTGCGGAAATATATATATTTTCAAAAATCATTTTTATCCGGGGGCGGAGAGGGGGCTGTACATGCTTTTCATCTGTATATCTTTTACCGCACCTCTAAATTAGGGTTATTATTATTGTCAACAGGAGTCCAAGTAAAAATAAGAAAGAAAGAGTGAAACCAACTTTTAAATTCCCTGTAAGGAAAGAGAAGGCTAAGGAAAAGGTGAGTTAATATTTCTCAACTGTGTTTTGTTGTTGTCTGTCTTTTACCAAAGTTTTTGTGGGGGCTTTTTGTGCCTGCCATAGTGACATCAAAAGCTAATTGGACCACATTGTGGTGTACATTATTATGTGTTTCTGTAGATTTATTTATTAATATATTTTTTTAATCTGTAAAATTTTGAGACTTTTTAGACCAGTGATGTCTTCACCCGATTTGTATCTTGGATGGGGAAGATGTTTTCGTTAAGTTTTGCTTTTTGGACCTCTTTGAATATTTTATCTTTTTCAAAGTTTAACCAGGTCCAGCACTAGTTTATTACATTTTGACAGCAAATCATTTTCTTTTGGAACAAGCAAGAGGTAATGAAAATGCTCTCATAAGTTTGCTAGTCCAGCAATGAATGACTTCCTTATTTCATCTGTTTAGAGCTATTCATGTTTAGATCATTCAACATAAGAATTTCATGTCAATAAAATGTAAGAGCAGGGTCAGTGGCATGATTTGATATGTGTCAGCCTTTATTGTGAATTGTTTTGTAGTACAGTTTAACTGTTTTACTTTGGTTCTTTTAGTTGGTTCTTTCTCAATTTTTGTTTTGCTTGTTGTATAGGTAGTGTTTCTTCAGTTGACTTTTAAAATCTACGGGAGTCTGCCACTTTAACAAAATTCAGATCAGCACTTAAAATGCATTTGTTTCATTCCAGCCTCAATCTGTAATTTCAGACATTCCTAATACAAATACAAATATTATTATGTTCTCTCAGTATCTATTATGTTTTCTCAGTATCGTTCATTCATGCTGTTCTATTCTGTAAAAATTATGACTGTGTGATGTCATCAATGTGTACAAGGGTATCTGGGTAAGTTTTGTGGGATTGTCTTTACTCGAGGATGTACTGGAGAGAGAGAGAGTGAGGAACAGAGACAGAGTGGGAGAGAGAGAGAAAGAGGATTACTATAGGAGCTGTGCACTGCATATGTTCTTTGTATTATTGTACAGCGCTGAGCACTTCTTTGTGGAAATGGGCTACATAAATGCAATTTAATATTATTATTATTATTAATAAAAATTTGCAGCTCTTAAGGAACTTTACATTTCTTTATCTTATAATTTTATTTTTTATCCCTATCAGGAAGAGAAAAAGGATAAAGAAGCAAAGAAAGAAGAAAAAGAAAAAAGGCGTGAAGAGAAGGAAGGGAAGAAGTTCAAAAAGGACAAGAAGAAATCGAAACATGCCCCAGCCCCTGCGGTCGTCACTCCCAGTATGTTGCATGACTACAGGTTTTTTTCCATTGTTTTTTACACTGTGGCATTGTCTTATAGAACCCCATACAGCTGTACTCTTGGGAGACTAGGAAGAGTTATGAAAACGTAAAGTACAAACTGAATGTATAAAGGGTACTTTGATATCAGTCACTCCAACTTTACACTGTGTTCCTTATTACTATTATCACTGAACTCCACAGTTTGCTTCTTTGCAATCACACCACTGTCTATTGCTAATTATCTGGTAAATTTTTCCATCACAGTCAATTGAGAAAGTGGAAGACAACTTTGTGTGTTGCACTAAAACATTCAAAATAATTTCTGGTTTGTACTGCTTTCAGATTTGCATTGCTTTTGTTTTTGTGTAATATTCAGTATCAAACTAACCGCAGTTTAAAATCAGTAACCTTTATTTCTGCTGTCCACTTTGCGCAGGTCAGTATGAGAACCCAATATTTGGGGTGCCGTTGGCCATGGCTGTTGAGAGGAACAAGTCCCATGATGGCATTGAGGTGCCAGCCATTGTGAGGGAGTGTATTGACTACATCGAGGAATGTGGTTGGTATTTTTTTGTTCTGTACATTTATTAAAGTGGGTTCTCATGTGTCCTATCTGTTGGTTACATTTTTTTCTTTTTTCTTTTTCCAAGCAGAAAGTAACCTTTATTGTTTGGGTTTCTTTAAAATAAGACAAACTTTTGGTCAAAGAGTACAATCTTTGTGAGACAAGAGAGATGGAGGTTGCAATAAAGAGTTGCCAAGTCAGTGTGATTGTTCACTGTACTCTAGCAATAGATATCATAGATTTGTTTATTGTTTACAAATGGAAATGTCCCCTACATATATCTTGAAAGTACATCCACAGTCAATTTGCATCATCTCAATTATCTCTTTTAAAAATATAGATTCTGCCTGTGGGCTTTATTCATCTTAGAGTTATCAAATTAATTTGACTGAGACAGCCTTTTATAATGGAATGAAGGAGTTTTACTTTTATTTTGATTGAACTTGTCTCATCAGTGCACTTTAAAATGTTAGGAAAGAGCCCATAGTCGATAAAGCACTTGAGTGCTATGTTGGCAGCATAGGCTTGAATCCATGCAGAAGGTGTTTCTGGCCCTTGTATATTTGGAGAGTAATAGGTTAACCCCCCCCCCCCCCCCCCCCCCGCCCATTATACTGAATACAGAATTTAAAGTAAGGCTTTTGTTTTGAATAACACTTGCTGTGTTTGCCAGGGGTAAATTAGATTTCCAGACACCAACATGACATGTTATCTTGAAGGGAATGTCGTTGATCTTCTTCGAGAGTGGGCCATTTGTAATCAAGAGGGTGAATTATATGTAAAAAATTTATTCTGCCTATAGGTCTGTCCTGTGAGGGCATCTACAGAATCTCTGGCGTGAAGTCCAAGGTACAGCACTTGAAGGATGCGTACAACCGTCATGAGGCCGTGTACTTGTACGAGCATGAACCCAACGTGGTTGCCAGTCTCCTGAAGCAGTTCCTGCGAGATTTGCCTGAGCCAGTTTTGACCCCCGCACTCCTACCCAAGTTTGAGGAGGCTTCAGGTGAGTCTGTGTAGTGTAAATATAGTTGAATACAGATGAGATGATGTTATCCGATGTTCAACTTAACTTTTGAGAACTAAAGAAAAAGAGGTGGTGAGACCCGAGAAAAAGATAAACTGAATTGACTCAAGCGGGTTCAACACAAGTGAAGTCGCCTGTACCATGAAATCTTTCATTTAATTGAGAGTATCTGTTACCCTTTTTATTGAAACTTTTGCGAACTTTTTAAAATTTGAAGTATGCCAACTTTTTTTGTATTGCATGTTGAAGTGAAAGTATTTCACACTTACCTTTTTCTTTAAATTTAAATTTCTTTTTGTCCTACAATTTCACATTATAGGTCAAATAGGTAGGAAAATGTTCTTTGTTTTTTGTTGGGGGAGAGGGGGGTTATTTAATGTTTGTTTTCTTTGTCAGTTTGCCATGAGGTTTTTCAGCTAAAGTATCTGCAGAGGGTGGGAATTAATGGAAATTATTTATAACATCAGTGGTGCCAATTTTGTGAATTATTATCTGGTATGGATTTTGAATGCACTTCAAAAGTTTTATATATGTTTCCGTAACTTGGCTTTGCTCAACTGCGTCTTGTTGTACTTTGATTTGGAAGGTTAAATTTAGGCGATTTTTCAACAAAGTTAAGCCAACAGCTTACTTGATTTTTCCTCAGTGATAAAGAACAGCAAAAAGAAAGTGGAGGCATTTTACCGGCTGATCTGTGACATGCCCAACTGCAACCGTCTGCTCCTGAGCTGGATGATTGTACATATGTCTCATGTCATAGAGTTGGTAAGGTCTTCAAATTATTATTTCGATTTGTGTGTCACCATGTCAATGGGGTTGGCTTAATGTTCTTTCGAAATTGTCTAAGATGTTTACCAATTGAGGAGGAGAAAAGTGGTTATATTAGATAGTGGGACATCTTTCACAGCGTTATTATAATGTGAAAAAAATGCAAAGGGGAAAACAAAATGGCTGTTTTGTATAAGTGATTGTCTTATACAGGTAGCCCTTAGAGCAGGTTTCAGTGTATTATAACACAGTGCTTCCTGTCTTCCGCAATTTTGCGGATTTCCGCAAATTAGCAGGATTCCAAATTGGAAAAATTTGCGTGAAAATTTGTGCCCCAAAAAAATAATTTTTGAAAATTATTTTCAAAAGTGCGAAATAAAAAATGTCAGTAATTACTGATAATCAATAATAGCCAACCCATACCGAAAGTGCTCTTTTATTTGAAAGTGTAGACAGTGTCTTTTACTTTCACTTTCTGAAGCACAATAAGCAGAGCACCAGCTCTGTAAACAAGAGGAAGAAATGACGATTGTGGTTCAATAGATCTTGGGCCTGTCAAGAAAAGAAAACTCTGAAGAGAGCTTGATTTTTTTTTCAGACTTGTGTATTTGTAAATATTGTTGTGGATTTAAGTTGATTATAGATCTTAGTTGTCAAGTTATTTAGATGTATAGATCTAGATCTATCTGTTATACTATTATTATAAGGGTTCTACACATTATGGTGCAAACCAACACAATCAGAAAAGAGTTGAATATTAATTGTCAAGTTTTATAGATCTAGCTGTTATACTACTGTAGTGGATGTACAGTATCGGTACAAAGGAGAAAGCATGGCTTTGGATTTATATGGATTAACACAGCAGAAAATTAGGCACTTCCGTACAATTGCGGTCACGTTAGATCTAGCACTAAATCACTCAAGCAAAGACTACTGGATATCGATACTGATCTAAATATTCGGTTTCAATGTTTTGTCAGTAGATTTAGCCTACAAAATGAACAGTAAAATTTCAATTGTGTTTAACAAGGCAAGTTGGGTTTCAGGGGGGGTATGCCCCCGTGAATTTGACCATAATTTGATGTTTTGCAATTAGGTTTGATTGGCTATCTCTCCATAGGCCTATCGGCACGCGCATCAAAAAGTGATCGTTTAGAACCAGAAGTAATTGTTGGTGGGGTCAAAACGAGTAGATCTATCCCTAAACGGGATCACAAGTGTACAGGAGTGCCGAAAATTATGTATGCAGGGTATGGTTTTTTCTCACTTATTTTCTTGTTAAATTTAGGCTTGAATAGCCAGAAATGGCATGCTTAGGATGCCCTGAAACCAAAAATTCTCAAGCACAAGGGGGACGCTGTCCCCCCTTCAGCCTCCAAAAATCCTCGAAAAATGGCATCAGCTGCTGGAAGCTCTGATAACAGCACTATGCGAGTGTTCTTAGTTTATCTCCCCGCTCGGATCTTTAAAAGACTAGGATTGACAAATGTTTGAGAATGTCCTCGTTGTGAATTGAATATTGTCTTTAATTTAGTGTAAATTGTGTCCCAAGTGGTGTTAACACTTTCCACCCACAGACCAGGATACATAGGTACATGCTATATCACACCGTTGCCGATCGGCGTCCCGTGGGAGCTTAGTGTTAAAGACAATAATTTGATTGTTTGTTGTTTTTTTTCCCCCACAGGCCAAAGAGAACAAGATGAGTCTTCAAAATGTGAGCATAGTTCTGAGCCCAACCATGCAGATCAGTCACCGCGTTTTGTATGTTCTGTTCTCCAATGTCCAGGACCTGTTTGGCAACGTCACACTACGCAAGTAAGAGCTTTACAGCTGCAGAAATATGAAATTTTTGTTCCTTCAGGGAAAGACAATCTTTTTGGTTGCTCACTTTGTTTATAAATGTAATATGTTTATTGGAGTATTAGTTGTATATCTTGGCTGGAAAGAACAATATTCGTCTATGGCTTTAAATTTGTATTTATTTGTTTTTATGCATAATCATGTTTATTTGAGATGCTGATTGCCTCTCCAGGTTTTAGTTGTAGAAATTTTAATTCAATCCTTAAATTATTTTTTCACGGTTTGGGGGATTTATTTGTGTGGAGAAGGACCTTTTATCTTTAGTTTGATGTCCGTTTAGAGATGAACGAGAGGAAGATCTTTAGGTTAGAGGATTATGTGACTATCTCAATCTTTGAAGTTAATATTTTTATCACCTCTATAGATATGTGCCCCCACTGAAACCAGCACATTCCAAATGGTCCCTGGAGCTGCCTGATAATCCAGTAGCCCTGGAGGAAGAACTTGCCAAACAAGTGAGTGATTGGTTTCATCAGAGGATGCTGTGTGAATCTATTTCTCTCTGTCTCTTGTGGTGGAGATGGTCTTTGGCCTTTCTGGTGGAGTGTGCTGCTCCACCCTCTAACTGATGTTAGAGTCTTTACATGGTGGGATGTCGCCATTGTCCTTTATGGGTAGCTGGAAGGTGCCACTGGTTGGTCCTAGTTCTTTTCTTTCTCTTTTTAGTTTCTATCAATCTGTTTTACTTTTTCCCTGCACTTAAAAAGCCAGTATTGTGTCAATGCACATCTCTGTGCTTAAGCTTCTGCATCTGACTTGTACTTATATTAGAGGTTTTTCCTGGTAAGGCGTTGCCATTGTTCTGCTGACTATTAGTAAGTGACAACTATGTCAACTTTTTTTCATACGTTTTATCCATCCCGCTTCCCTCTTCGATTTGGAGTGATTGATGTGCTGTCATGTCAGTGGTTCTTGGATGCTGCTGGTCGGTTCTCCTTCTTCCCATTGATCTGGTCATTTTTATCTTTGGTTTCCAACAGTACCAATGGTAGTTTCTTTTCTTGCTCTCTTTTGTTTCTGTCTGTCTTACTTTTTCCTCTCGTGGTTATTGTGCATGTGGGCTTCTCTTTACTAAAATTCACACTATGTTTTTGTTAGTATACCTTTTGAAAATGAGAGTGGGTGGTTGGCGGGTGCTCTGGTGTGGTTTGCTGCTTCTTCTTTCCTATCAAACATCTATCGTCTTTATCTCCCCCTTTTCTTTTTTATGATTGTTACTCTCTTGTTACACCTCTAATCTTCTGGCGCTGATATGCCCTTATGTAGTTGCGAGCGCCGCACACTTGTTCAGCCGGTCAGATTTTTCACCCTTTAGTCCAGCACTTTTACGGTTATTTCCCCTGACCGAGCAGTTCAAATGCAGCAAGGGAGTAATTATTGTAACATAAGGTGTCTTCACAGCTGACTCATTTAGACTAATAAACAAGAGAGTACGGCGTTATATTTACTACCTGTTCCTCATGATGGTGGTTTGCTACCACACACAACTCCAGTCATGACTTTTGTTCCCCTGGGAGGCTAAACATGGGTTGCCGAGGCCAAGATTTATACGGCCCTCCCAGGCTCCTAAATGGCCACAAAGCCAACCTTCGTGAAGGAATTGTGAGTCTCACAGAGTTTTCCCAGTGTTTTGGTAAAGACAACGTTGTTGATCCTCTTCTGCTTTACTTCACCTCTCAACAAGTTTAAAAGGGACCTTACATATTCACCGTTTGGACGTTTGAAAACTGGTAAGTAAAAAGCAGTTACTAGCTCCCTCGTGTTATTGTTTTAAATTAGTTATTCTTTAAAATGAGCACAATATAAACAAAACACACTTTATTACTCCATTGTCTTATTATTCTGATGAATAGTTGATAGTATTAGAGCATGAGAGAAAGCTGTGTTACAATTAATGTTATTATTAATATGAGGAGACTGAAATCCTTTATCTACGTGGTTTTGTCATACCTGTATAAATTACTATGACAGAAAGAAGTAAATACAATATATGAACAAGATTAGATTTTTGGCTCCACCTTTATTGAAAGTATCAACCCTTCTTTTTGCTTCTTATCTAAATGGTGTACACAGACACTGATAGTTGCCTACTTTTTGCTTTTTACAGATACCAGGTCTCCAGTATGCATACTTTTGGAGAACACATGGATAATCTCCAGTCTTTATGTCGATTTTGTGGCAGCAAGATAGGGGCAAAATCTTCCAAGCCTAAGGACTGTAGTGCCTCAGGGATTCTATCTGGACAGTTTACGCCATCAACGTACAGGATGACGTTCCTGGCCAGCACCCAAGCAAGATGTGTCAGACGTGCAACAGGACAATGCTCAGTTATTGGAAAAAAAGATTATATTAATGATGGCTGACATGCCTGCAAAGAGAGCTAGAGAAATCTCTTGGGAGCCCTACAACAGTGAGTGTTACCAATGTAGTACATGTAGAATGTCTCAGAAAAAAGGGATAGGGGGTCGCAAAAAGAAGCCAGATTTTTCACACAATGAAACATTTTTACTTTACAACTTAAGCCAGGATAATATATTTAGTTCTCTTTATGATAATAGCACTATCAGCTTTTTACCCAAGATGAACAAACAAGAAAAATGTCATTTTAGTCTGCGGAGCATGCCATCATCCTTTAAAGAAAAGTTTGAATATAGATTATTTTCGTCCTTTTTTACACACCATGTTGTCAAAACAAAGTGTAACCACTATTTTTGTGCGGTGTGTCTTTCAGCTATTTTAAAAATGTCTATTTCAAATTCAGTGCCATGCCCCACCTGTGATATAACAAATAAAACTTGAATCAGCTGAGTCTATTTTACTTGGACAGCTTCATAATTTTAAAAAATCAAGTGCAATCTCATGTTTACATTCTTTAAGATATAAAGAGTATGTATCCCATTCTTGCTGTCTGGGTGAATCTACATCAACATCCCAAGCTAATACTGATATAATGTCAAAATCAGAGGACTTTTCTTTTCATTCAAGTTCAACAGCTCCTGGTTATGACTTTTTGTTAACTAGTACCCCACATAACAAAAATGAAATGTGGACGCAAGTATTTCTCCTTTCAAGATCAACACATCTGTTTCAGTTGAATCTGTAGTTTCACCATTATATGTAGATGCAAGTACATCACCCTTGAAAAGCAACGCATTGGTTTTGCTTGAATTTATGACAGAATGTAATTTACTGGAGAAATCTGTACTTGAACTACTAGACAGTGAGCAGGCCATTTATTCACGTCTTACAAAGCGTAAAATTAATACAGAGGATGGTGATATGTTAGTTTTCCGAACAAGGGGACAACCATTGTGCTTCACACACTAAACTTAGTAAAGCCTCGTACAAAATCACTACTTGCTAGGTCGCCATTTAAGAAGTAAAGGTCAAACAAACTAGCTAAAATTAGGACTTTGATTTGAGGGGATAAAGATTCAGGTAAAATACAACACATCACAGATTTAAAAACCATCAGAAAAGCAGGCAGATGTCAGCGAGGCAGAAAGTCTTACAGTAGCAAACTTGTCAAGTGTCTGTGGTATTTCTTTCAAAACACACACAAATCTTTCTTGGACTCAGTACAGAAAAGCAACAAAATTTCTCAAAGACAAATTAACATTCCAGTCAGAATTATACTTATTTCAGGATATTTTCTGGAATATTTTCCCATGCTCAAAATATTGTGTCCATTACTTGTCTTTTATTTCTATGTCCGCTCAGTTTATTATTGCTGTACAAATGCTATTTATACGAGTATTCGGAGTGAAGTCTGAAGCTTTCTTTTATCATATAGTTCTGCCAGTCTTTCGTGTGCAATATTCTATGTCAGCAATAGAATAATTTGTACTGAAATTGGAACAGTTTGCATAATGAATAAATATTTTAATTTATTTTGTTTTGTCTTCTTGTTATTACCATTAATGTGATCCATTTTGGAGTTTGTGTATGTGTGTGAAGAGCTCTTATAAACTCTGGGTCAAACTTCTTAGCATTAGGTACCAGATACCTCAAGCAATGTGCCATCTGGTATCACTTCCACTGAAGGATGGACCCCCGTAAACTACAGGGAAGTTGAGATAACAATCACAAGGTAATAAATCTCAGACCTTGTTCTAACTCTTTTCTTAACCCTGGTAGCTTCAGCCCATTCTCCTTTCCTTTAATTTCTTTACTGCAAAGGCACAACGTGGTTGGGAAAAGAGAACTGGTCAGTGGAAGTCTAGACTTGGCAGGCTGAATACTTTCACTGAAATCTGAGCACAGGGGAGCTTCCCCCACTAGGGTCTCACACACAGTGATTGAGTAATGAACATAGTACTTGGGAAAACTATCCTTGTGACCCAGAAAACTCTGTAAAGAACAGAGGACACAATTGAAAACGAACAATTTCCCTGTAAAGTTAGCTGTCGAGGCACTGAATTTCTTTCTTGTATTAGAGCCACCGGGAACACCTAAAACCCCATACAACGACAAGAAGAGGAGAAGAGTAGATCTAAGAGCTTGGTTTAGTTTCTTTGAGACATAAAATGAGTGAAACTATTGTAATAAATGTGTAAAGAGAGAAAATTATAAGATGGAAAGTGGCGGCCATTTTGTTTTTTTAAGAAAAGAACAGGAAGTTCTGTATTGCCTCAGGGGCTCGATGGTTTGCCAGGTATGATAAACAAGGGAAATAACTAAAGAATCCAAACTGAACAAGTGTGGCCGTAAAACCTCTACTAAAACAAAAACTAACTGAAAATGAGATCCATCTGTTCCGACTGATTTGTGAGTGGTTGGCGGGTGCTCTGGTGTGGTTTTCTCCTTCTTTGCTTTCAAACATCTATCATCCTTATCTTTCCTCCTTTTTATGTATTTGTTACTCTCTTGTAACATCTCTAATCATCAACACTTGTATGACGAAATTGTATTGCAAGGGCTGTAAAACGCTTACTAAAATGAACAAATATTCTGACTCTGATTTTTTTTGTCATGACAGGAGTCCCTTCTTAATCAGCTTCATGTAGATCTTAACTCTGGCCTGACAGACCCTGTGATAGAGGAGCAGCTGTGGGAAGTGCAGAGGGTGGTCACTCAGCTCAAGAGGAAGGTGAGTAAGATGCAAGTAGATTCGTCTGTTTCAACTTTCCTGTGGAAAGCTTTCAACAAAGCTGGCTGTGTCAGAGGTCATAGAAAGACTACTGTTTGTTGTATTCTATAAGTCTCTCTATTCATTTTATCCTATTTTCTCAACATTTTTCACCCACGCAGCGCTCAGCGCGCTGCAACACTTATCCCCATGGACCAGGATACAGGTGTGGTCCATGCTATATCACACCGTTGCCGATCGGTGTCCCGTGGGGAAAAGGGACAGTTTCTTACCGTCGCTGATCGGCGTCCCGTGGGAGTATAGTGTTAAACGTGTGGTACAGAAGTTTAGGTCAGGTGATACTGTTTGTTTTTGCATCGGCTTGTGAGAACAGCTTAACTCACTTGCGACTGGGCCCTTTCACCAGCCACAAGCATTGAAGACTGGCGTTTTTGGGGGTATTTCAATAAATCACCACAACTCTCAGAATTACCCTATTGTAATCATTTTTTGACACAGTAAAGTAACATTCAAGCTTAATCTAATACAAAAAACTAAAGTTGTCTAAGTCTAATACTTTAATTTGTATGATTTTTTAAAAATTGGCATGAATTTGATTTTCCGAAAAATTTCCAGAAACGTGACAAGTAGAATGAAATTCACTGCAACAACAAAAATAAAAGTTCAAAGTGTTCTGATTTGATTTGTATACATGTGCGAGTGTTTGGTGAAAATATAAAAGCTGGTCTGTGCATTGATTCACACCCATACACTGAATTACATGAGACAGATGTACAGCACGACGTTGTGATTTCGTTGCGCGAAAAACAACACCGGTACTAGTGCTAAATCTAGCCCTAGAACTATGACTCGGGCCGTGTTCGGGTACATATCCAGGATCCTAACTATTAGACATATCATATTCTGAGACACTAGAACTAGTAAAACGCACAGAAGTATAGAAAACGGCGAAATTATGTGATTCTTGTTCATGCGACTTCTTCGACCGTTACTACGACGCGACTGTCGGATTACTATCAGCTGTATAGAAAAAAACAAAACACGAGTTCCGGTCTGTTCAACCCCAGTTGGGGTCACTGTCCTTCACCTTCAATAACTTAAAAACTACCGGCCCCAGAGATACGAAACGAAGTGTAAGTAGCTCAGGCTTGGCCAAACAAGGGTACGAGGCGGGTCTCGCGATCCGTGCGTGATTTGTAGAGCGAAAAAAAAATTCCAAAGTTGGTCACGCAGGGCTTGTGAGACCCGTCGCGAGCGTCGCGGCGGGGGTCACGCAACTGTTGTGTGACCTGTCTGAAGTGAGTTAAAGAAGTGAACGCTATTAAAATGCATTGAAGTCAACCAGACCAATTCATGTTTTGCTTTGACTGTTGTAATGGGTAACCAGTTTAATATTGTCTTTTGTGTGGTAAGACTCGGTCAACTTCCTAAATATACATGTAATCTAAATTGTGCTCATGGAGGCAAACAACATCAAAAATTAATTTAAAAATTTTTTTTCCTAAATTACAAAATACTTTTACTCCTCTCGTCTAGATGTATACTCATACTTTACAGTAAAAAGAACATTTTCACAAAATGAAACAATCATAATTTCAATTTCAAACTTTATTATAACTTTTTCTCGGTTTTGTCTGTGGGAAGAAGATGAACTGTCACATGTTAAGACAATTTTGTTGTTTGGGTCTTGGGGGCTTGGGGGGTTTTTTCTTCAAAAATGTCTCTTCCTCGTCCTGTCTATTTCTTTTGTTTAATAAGCCTACATTGTATGTATGGGGATTTAAGACCCCAAAAAATGAATTGAGGTATGGTGCATTACATCTGTTTCTTGAAAATATTTTTTTCCTCAACATCAGATCAAGATGGCCAAAAAAAATGTGGAGATGGGTGAACGGCGGAAAGCTAACCTAGACATGAAAAAATCGTCCACAACATCAATTCCCTCCCTTAGTGCTCCTGAAGAACTACAGCTTGAGCTCAGAACTGCCCCAGACAGTACAGGTCCTACCGTTACCACGGTCACAGCTGTTGTCGAGCGGCACCCAAAGGAAGGAGAAGAGGTAAAAGAGTCACCGTCTGTAGATGGCACGGCTCAGGTGGATGACTCAAAGAAAGCTGTGAAGTTTGCAGAGGAGCCAAAGATGAAAGGTGGAGAGACAGCTGAGAAAAAAGAAACCGAAGCACCGAAGAAGAAAAAGGAATCAGTTTCTTTTGAGGAGAAAGGAAAAGGTGACATGGGATCTGAGGACAAAAAAGAGAATGTTACTGAACAAAAGGAACCCACCCCTGAAAGCAAGGAGCTCGCCACAAAGGAAACTTCATCTGAAAAAGTAGCTAGTGTTGGTTCCGGAAAAGTTAAAGAAATTACAAAAGAAAAAACTGGTTGTGTAACTGCTCAAGCTGTTAAAGAGGGCAAGGAAGAAAAGGATGAAGTCAAAACACAAGTTGACAGTGTGAAAAAGGGGGTTGATGAGACCTTGAAAGTGGAGGAGAATTTGTCAGGTGAATCAGAAACAAAGCAAGACGAAAATGTGTCTGTTGCACTGAATGAGAAATCTGCAGTGAAACAGGCTGTTAAGCCTAGTGAAACAACTGTAGTTGCTCAAGATAATTCAGTCAAGCCAGCTGAGAGGCCTGTTGTGAATGAACGAAAAAAGGAGCCCTCTCCTCCTGAAGTGACCTCTCCATCACATGTCAAAGAAGTGACCCTACCTCAGAAAACAGTTCAGCTCCCACAGTCTGTCATCGTGAAAAAGCCACCGGAAGACAAGGTAGTCTCCAGTCAAGCATCTCCTCCGAAACAGAATGTGGAAGTTGAGGCAAAGAAGCCAAAACTGCCGCCTTTCATGTCTACTACCTTACTGCAGCCAATGAAGGCAGAAATTCCAAAGCCAAAGTCTTCCTCAGAGGATCTGAAAGCGAAGCAAGAGAGCTTGTTGCGTTGGGAAAAGCTGAGAGAGCTGGAAGAAGAGCTGCTGGGAGAGAAGAAGAAAAAAGTAAGCGTAACAGAAGCCTTTTAGGTTGTTCTTGCTTCCAGGGAATTATTGGCGTAGTTGGGTACCTCAACTTGACTCAGTACTTGTGTCAGTAATTTGTGCAAGTGATTTGCTTTCTTGGGAAATCTTTTAAAGTTGCTGTCATAGTCATTAAGTTTTAGGTGTTTGTATTCGTATTTTTACATGCAAATAATAACCAAAGAGCATGGGTGTGAGTATGTTTTAAATTTTAGAATTTATTCTTCAAGGGACACTATCACTTTATGCTGAATTTCTTTGAACTATGTCAGCTTTAAAAAAAAAGTTGTTGCACAATAAAGCATGTGATGCCGGTTGCGAAACAGGTAAAACTCTCCCCTTAAGTCTCCGGGTTTTTTTTAATATACAGACACGAGTAGCCTAGCACTTTAATGATAAGAAGAAAATGGTAGAGTATTGCAGTAATGATATGACAGTTTTGTGGATCATTTCATTTGAAGTGGCTATACATGATATAATACTGATGTACTTCCTTTATGATTAAAGTTTAGTAACAACATCATAGCAAAGATTGTTGCTTTTTCTACAGGTGGTTACAGAAACAGAATCAATAAAAGACACTGAAGGTAAATACAATACCAATGGAAATCTCATTTATTTAGTGTGTTTGTGTGTAGTTGGGTTCTTGAATGTGGGAATGGGAGAATGGGATTTTTGTCCTTATTTGCCTCATAGACTGGTTACAAAAGTACCATTAAAAGTGACAGAAGTGACATTTGAACAGTGTTAATTTACAAGAATGATCATGTTTTATATATATAGAATGTCTATCCTTCATTTTGAATAGGGTTATACAGAATAAATATCTGTAGTATATCAATTTGTATATATCATCGTTGATATATGATGTCAACTTACTTTTCATATTTTGTGCCTGGCAGAGGAAATATCAGATGATCGAGACATGGAGCAACTTTTGGAGGAAGAGTATGCCATGCTGATGGAAGAGGAGGAGTTACTGGCCATAGGTGAGAGTGACTGACATTCTTGCATGCACCTTTTCTTGCTGATGTTGTCTGTTATGGTTCTCTGTCACGTCTTTTACTTTAAGGGACAACCATATACTGGTACTTGTAATCTGCCCTCTGTTCACCCTATTGGTAGTAGGACTGTCCGTTAGATAATGTTTAAGTGAGGAAAACAATATGTGATCAGATTATTCAAGCTAGATAAACATGATATCAGTCTTTTTTGTGTTTCTGCTCCATTTTTCTTTAATATTTGTAGTCCTGCTAGTCTAAGGGGCTGGCCTCCCTATGTCACTAGAAATCTATTGAAAAATGCTCTGAAAAGCTACTATTTCTTTCACATTGAGAATTTTTATCTCTCTTTTTTCTCCTTTGAAAATGAATTCATTTGTCCTTCGGGTACTGTCCTTTCAGTCTATGTCTTACATCAATTTCAGTTGGAGGGTTAATTTTAGAGTGAATTTTCAGGACTTAACTATTGTGATTATTACTAGCATTGGTGTGCCAAGCAGTCCACTGAAGTCCGTTTGGGTACTTTTTACACCAGAGGTAAAAAACTAGTTTTTCCTATCAGGAATCATTAAAAGCAAGAAAATTGTATGCCTTGACCATAGCGTTAAACTTAATTTTCGTTGCTTCTTTGATACAGCTTTGGGAGGTGTGAAAATATAAAATTCTCAAAATTTGAACTGACTGAATTGCTTGCGACAGAGACGATATTAAATACTGACTTATGGGTGTACTGCTGTTTAAAAAATAGAATAAGTGTGGGCTATTGTTCTGTAACACTGATAACTTAATTGGGATGGATTGATGGAAGTGTCAGATTCATTATGGTGTGGTCATGGCTTGAGTTTCCCTCAGGCTGGGCAGGGGTAGTATTTTCACAGATATAGGAGCTTGAGCATTTCACTTTGGACAGATCATGGGACATTGATTTCTGCAATCTGTGTTGAATAGGCTTGAGGGGGGGGGGAGGCCTGGTTGAGACAGTAAAATGGGATATTTTAAAAGGCATGAAAGCTATCATAAAGCATTATTTTGGAAAGGGTACGATTTTGTTGGGAGTATCACTTATAAGCGTTTTGTGTATATTATATATAATATTGGCATTTTCTTTATTCATTCTTCACATGTTTGTTTCACAGCTGATGAGTTGAAACAGAAAATGGCGACGGAGCGTAGTGAGATGGAGCGTCTTGCCCAGGAAATCCAGGAGCTGCAGTACCTCCGGCAGGACTCTGACTTGGAGGACCTCAGCTCGAGCTCAAACTCAAGCGATGACAGCGAAGACGAAGAGGATCTTCAGGACCTCTTGACACAGCTCATTCAGGATAATGAAGATCTTGAGGTGAGAGAGAGAGAGAGAGGGGAGGTCAGGGGGAAGGGGGAGCAGCTGACACATAAATTGTGCCCTGTGATAAAGCAAACTTTATTCCAAAGATACTTCTCATGCCATTTTAAGATTCTTTCTGGCCATTTAGTCAACAACCCCCTAGAGCCACTTCGCCAATGGACATATTTAAAAGTTTTTGTTTTCTAGGGAGAATTTTTAAATTCTTTTTTTTACATGAAATTGTTAACAGAGTTAAGTAAACAAAATGATTGTCATATTTTTTCACAGGTGACTACATGAAAGTCACTTTTTTAACAGAGAAAGTAAATTTGATGGTCTTTACCTCTTCTATTTCACAGATGCAGAGTGCAGACCTCTGTCAGAAAGTTCATGAAGAGCGGATGATTTGCCTCAGTGTCAAGCTACAGATTCGACTGTTGCAGCAACGACAAATGGAGACCACTTATGGATAGTATTGTTTGTACTGCTGAACATTCTCCACTATCTCCACATATGACAAAAATGTGTCATACAGAACAAATCACGGCTTGTAATCAGTTTGAAATTTTCACTTGCCTGTTAATGAGCGTGCAGTTCTGGATAGCACAGGCTTAGCCTCCTGTATGAGGGTCCATCTTTTTCTCGATATTTCAGCCAATCATACTTAATGAGCTTTTTGTTGAGAGTGGACTGATATATATATATATATATATATATTCACTGTTATATTATAAGCAAACAAGGGAAGATGGTCCACTGGTTTCTTGTCATGCCCTGAGAACCCAAATTAGTATCTGTCTATGTTCTTACCCTCTATTGTTCAATTCTAAATTTTCGTAGCAAGTATTCGTCTTGAAATATACTGCTCGTTTTTTTATTTCATCCCTTGAAACTTTGCATCTCAAGTCCCCAAGTGCTAGTATTGGGTACTCAAAAAACTTTTTTTTAATACAGCTTGAAATAATTATTCCAGTCTGTAGATTTTTTTTTATTCCAAGCATCTTGTTGCCAAAATCATCAAAATCAGAATGAAAGGTTTGTGCTGTTAACTCTTTATCTGCTTGGGGTTTTGAGCAAATTTAGTTAAGGTTTTTCCCCTTGATATAATTCTAATCAAGGGTGTTAAACAAAAAAAGCTATATTTAGATCAAATACACCGAAATATAGTTGTAGCGTACTCCAAATTGTCCGGAAATTAATGAAATTTCATAAAATGTGCGTTTTGTTGGGAAATTTATAGTATGTTACGCAATCGTAAACACACCCATAATTTTTTCTTCACCCACACAAAAAATTGAAATGTCAATTTCAATCTCTTCTAAATACAAAACTATTCAAGGTTTTACCAGTTCCATCCAGTGACGTTATCTCCAACCATATTGGAATAACCATGGCAAATTTGAGAATAAAAGACCAAGAAACTAAAAACAGACCCCATTTATCTGAACAGTATATGTGAGGCAACCATGGATTTTCAGTGTCAAGTTGACCTTTCAACATTTTGAGATATATTGAATTGATATTCTGAAACTACAGCCATTTCTGAATAACCTGGTCTTTACAGAATTAAAAAGGGACAATTAGAAGCTGAGATATGGGCATTTAACGACAACCACCTGAGCAGATTAACTTTTGAGAAAATCACGTTTAAAGTTGGAGCAACAAATTAATTTCAAGAGATTTTGCACTGAAAACAACCCAGAAACAAAATACCATTGCCCTATATACCTTAATTGGTTACTGTTGGGTATTTTTAAGTTTGAATGAAGTGAGAAAATGTTTTTATTCAAATTTTCTTCTGTCAAGCTTTGCATTGGGTGACTGAAGTGGAAAAATTGAACGCACATATTTCACAAAACTGGAGCTGTCCACTGATTTTTAGCTTACCGGTATTCTGTTTTCTTGAGTGCTTATGTTTCAAGAAAAGCTTTGCAAAGTAATAAACTATTATTGAATTTTAAAAGCAGTCAGTAAATTGAAGTTGAAAGACAAATAATTTGATAACAGAACAATAAACATACTCAGTACAGCAAAAAATGCATGCAAAGAATTTTTTTTTCTTAACAGGAAAAGCTTGTGTGTGCTTGGAATTCTGGTGAAAAAGAGACTACATTCTGCATCAAAATCCACATGGTTAGCACAGACAGAGGTTGAGAGAAAATATGAGGGGCCACGTGAAAACGCAAACGAAACATACATGCAAAAACATGCAGTTTGACTCACCAAAGGCTTATGTATCCAATATGTATGTACTCCAGTAATCCAGGGGGCAGGGGGTTTAGTTACAGTACTCCTTCTTTGTGTGGAAGTCCTGAAAGCAGGGGACCACACACAGGGGTACTTTGTGGTATGGGCACCAGAACGACGTTTCTTTCCGCTTCATTGTGGAGCCCGGTTGCTTCGCCTTCTCATAACACACCTTGCAACTCCGGGTGGGACGTTTCTTCTTCTCGATTGAAGGAATGTAGTTCGGGAAGCAACATGAGTGGAGGCGGTCAAGCTGTGTGGGAGCTGGGTCCTCGGAATCCCCTTCTTGCCAGCCCAAGAATTCCTCCGCCATGCCCTGTCCAAGCTTCTGGGTGAACTTGGAGATTGGCAGAGGCTTCCCACCTGTTGATGTCTGTTTCCTGTTGTACAGGATTGATGCCTGCACCATCATGAGGGTAAACAGATGTCCAAACAGTTTTTTCCACCATTTCATGGTGCGGCGATGGAAGGGCATACAGGCCATGAGTTGGTCGCTGCGGTCTACACCCCTCATGTTGAGGGTGTAGTCCTGGACCACCTGCGGTTTCTCATTGGTCTGGGCCCTTGATCTGACTGTCACCCTTCTCCGTGGGTCATGCACAGTTGTCAGAAGGTTGACAGACTTTTTATCCTGCCTATGGAGGGCCACCAGTTTGTCTTGCCATCGGTAGGCACACTTTCCAGTTCTTAGATTCAGCGCTGCCAAATCCTTCGGCATATCCACACAGTTGGCTCTTACCGTACCCACAATCATGGTGTCGCCTGCGATCATCTCATGGTACAAAGCTGGACAGGTGTAATAGTTGTCCGTGTACAAAATGTACCCTTTGTTCATTAGCGGCAACATCATTCGTCGGCACACATCCACGGGTTTGTTGCTGATGGTAGGGTCGGCGGCATTGATTTCGAAGGCACAGGCGTACGCAGAGGCACCCGCGCACAGCATGTACAGCTTGATCCCCCACTTGTTGGGCTTGTCTTTCATGTACGCCCTGAACCACAGGTTTCCCCTCCATGGGCAGATGGCTTCATCAATGACGAGTTTCTGTTGATGGGTCACGAGGTCTCGGAAGGTAGCAGAAAGGGGATCAATAATTGGTCGCAGCTTATGGAGAGGGTTGTGACCAGTTTCTCTGAGGATCACGTATGTGGTGTTGACGTTGAGATGCAGGAGGCCTAGAATCTGCATGAAACGGTTCCTTGACATTATTTTGGGGGCAAACGATGTGCGGATGATTTCTGCCGTACTCCAGTAGTCCTTCAAACAGGGTTTCTTGACAAGTGACATATGCACCCAGATGGTGAAGAACCCCCACAACTCCTTCAGTGTCACTGTGCTCCAGTTCTTGTAGAGACTCTCAGGGGGCAGCTGTCTTCGACCCAGCTCCGAAGCAGCATACCTGTTCGTCTCTGTCTTGATTACCCGTAGGATGTCTGCCGTGAAGAAAAGACGGAAAAAATCCAGAGGTGTCTCGACATTATCTGGTACGTGCATGCCAGGCTGCCCAGTAAAGGGGACCCCAGGAGGAAACCCAGTCAGATCCTCAGTCCAGTCACCTGTAGGTGCAGGTGCCACATCACCAGACAGACGCATGCGTTTAGGTGGCAGTCCCGCAGACGTTGATGGTCCTGGGTCGGCATCATCACTGTCCTCATCAGGACCTGAAAGTATAAACATGAATGTTAGAAAAATTTAGACGACACAAAATAACAGAGCATCAATTTCAATTTTATAATGCTTGCCTGAGTTAGAAACAGAATCTAAAAATCTACATCTAGATGTAAATAAGAGCAGTGATACAGGACCTTGGGCTGACAAAATAAATCTTAGTCTGGACCTGACTTGATACTAGGGAATGACTTCAGTTCTAGATCTAGTAGAAAATAGCTTGATAGTGATTCACAAGCACAAAATAGCCTAGATCTAAATCTAGATTTTTAGATCTGTACTAAAACAAAATAAAATCAAATCTAGATTGTTATCTTTGTCATGATGAAATGAGGTACAAGAAGTAAACACAAAAAGTAGGCGTGGCATTGTTTACTTCTGGAAAGTGATAGATCTAAACTTGCTCCATCAAGAACAAAATTCTCTCCTCAGTTGGGATAGTCAGTCCCGAGATGCAGTGACAACACCCTATTATCACCAAGATGTAAATATTTCTCACCTGAATCAAAAAGTTCCTCATCAGAATCAGTTTCTTCAACATCGGAGTTGAGCGTCTGGAAGAACTCAATCACTTCAGTAGCCTTTTTTCGCTGGGGTCGAGATATGATTTGATGTCGATCAAAAAACAAACTTCAAAATCTCCCTCGTTCGTTGAGAGTCACTCTTCTTTAGGTCACCGGAAGAAGGAATGGATCAAGTACCCGGATATTACAATAAACATGGATAATATATGGGATTGGATGATTTTTCGGGTTTTTATTCTCATCACGAGTTAACTCATGATCGGTCCTCAGACGACGGGAAGCCATCACGAGATAACTCGTGATTGGTCCCCAGTGAGTTAAAAGAATCCTAACGAAACATCTAATCTCCTTGAACAGATCGTCCTGTCTTTTCTTGTCAAGTCCCTGTGGCTGTAAGAAGGGGGGAAGGAGGGTGGGGTCAATCTCAGTGTCACGTTTCAAAGGGTGCTGCAACACTGGCTCAGAGCTGGTGAGAGGTTTGAGTGCCATGGTACCAGATGTGTCACTGATTGTCATATGCTGGAAAGACTTGATGTTGTTTACTTTTTTGGAGTACTTGTCCAGAAATGAGTCCCATTTGTATGAAATGATGTTCACATTGTTCGGTCCGGTTCTGACGAACTGGGCTGTGTTAACCACTGACGATTCCTCCACAACTTTAGCAATGCGCTGTAGGCTGTTCACTTTCGTTCTGCAATACAAGAGCTTTACAAGTCCAAAAACAGCCATTGGGGCTGAACTTCGTGTGGCCTGTAATCAAAAAAGAAATGATAATAGAGTCATGACGGCCAGTCAGCACACGCCACATGAGGTATTGCATCACAGCCGAATTTTTATTTTGGCCTGAGCAGTTGTCTGCATGCAGATGGGGGTGCTTCTCCCCCAAACCGTAGAACTAAAAAAAATTATGGAGTAGGGAGATGACACAATTTGCCCCTTTTCCAACACACACAGATTCATGAATCAGGTAGTTGACCTGCTGCGAAGCTGCCTCGCAACAAATCCCGAATAGGCCACATTTCTGTGGTGTCTTAAAATTGATGAGTCCTGGCTGGAGGGGGTCTGAAGGAAAATGCACCTGCTCTGAAAATTCAAAGCTGTAGTGCATGGTCATGTCATGTGAACATATTTGGTTTTTGCCCAGGGTCCTTTTTTCTCCTTGAAACGCTTCTTTAGACTTGCCCACAATACTGTTAAGACAAGAGCGATCGGCTGTGATGTCTGTCAAGTGTTGTTCCATGGATCTCAGGGCATCAGATTTCTGCTCCTTTGACAGGTTTCTGGACCTTGCAACCTGAGCAGTTCCTTCTTGAGACCTTGCAACCTGAGCAGTTCCTTCTTGAGACCTTGCAACCTGAGCAGTTCCTTCTTGAGACCTTGCAACCTGAGCAGTTCCTTCTTGACAAGTCCAGCAAAGACCTGTAGCAGGCCGCATGGTGCTGATAAAAGGCATGATTTTCTTCCAGACGTTCCGAAACCGAGTAAGGCTTGCAACCCGCGGATCAGGTGCCGATGAGGCTACATACTTATTGTACACTATCTTCTTGGTGCAGTTCGTTGGTAGAAGTTTGAGGTTGCTGTTCCAATGTTTTGGGGTGCGGCCAGGTTGCGAAATGGCATGCGCCTCAGCATAGTTGGTGATAAATAACACTATTCTCTCTACATCCTTGTAGGCCAGTGTGTTTGGAGGGGGCCTTTTGGTGTTCTTGTGAACGCGGGGTGTAATGCCAGAAGATTTATAATACTTCAAAAGCACTGTGAGTTTATCCTGTGGTAGTCCGTGAATATACTTACTGCACGGTTTTCCATTAAAGAGGCTGCGCTTGCAAGCAAGTTGCGCCGACTTCTTTCGTGACGTGAGCTCTGTCTCATTCGTTGGTCTAGTTCCAGTTCCTGGGAGAAAGCTTGACAGGTTTTCAATGGGAGTGAAGATCATGGGCTCTTCGTCTTTATCATCTGATGAAGAGAGCAGAAAAGAATGCTCTAAGTTATGGCAAAGGTGAAAGGTAGTAGCAAAATTCTGGAATACTATGCCACAAGCCAAGTGCCATTACAACTCGATAAGCAGTAGTCATGTTGATGTATCGACTAAAGGTAAAACTTTTATGAATTGCATACATAGATCTACACAACACTTTTCTCCATAAAGTTCAAAGCGCTTTACAATCTATTGTGATGTATTGAGTTGAGGTATGTTTTAGAAAAGGAGGATTTTCTTCGCTTTGTCCTAGAATTGAATTTAGGATTCGTGTTGAAGACTAACCTTGGATCTCACCAGACATACTTACTTCATTGCTATCCTTGTGTCTCATCTATAAACTCAAGATATGTTACACAGTTTCCACTAAACTTGATCTAGATGTATGAACAGTAAAAGTAGCATTCAACTGTTTTGGCTAGCAGAATTACAACACCGTCCGAACACACGTTTTGACATAAATTTCAATTAGATCTAGATTTTAATTGTGTAACCAGTTTTAGTTTGAATTCAGTCATCCTTTTTTAAATTACAGTAGTGGCAAGTGGGATTATTCATTTACTAAACTTAGATAGATTTATTTGTTGACAGTGTAAAAGATTATAGATAGGTCTACTAGCTTTTCTAGATGTAGATGGTTCTACTTGAGGATAACTAACGAATATGACCTAATTTATCGTTGCCTCAATTACGAAAAACCAAAACTGATGTCCTCATTAATTAAAATGTTGGAAGGACTTCCGTAAAGAGCGACTACTCCAATAGACATGGGGGAAGAAGGGATAAATTAAGATAAGTTAACTCTTACCCTAACTTAACCTAACCATATCCCTAAACTTGAACCTTAACCCTAATCCTAAAAGTAAATCTGACCTTATCCCATTAAGTATCCGAGTGGTTGCTCTTTACACAGAAGTCCTCCCAACATTTTAATCTTACAATCATAATGCAGTAGTCATATTATTTAGACCTAGGTCTGTACACTTCAAAATGAATTTACCTGTATCAGAAGTTGTCCTGAAGTGGCAGTGGCAGCAGATTCAGCTGACCTGTCAAGATCTAGGTTGTTCTCAGTGTCCTCGTCACAGTCCTTGTCACTGTCACTGTGTTCCACATAGCTCTCATGTGACAACTACTCGTTAATATGTTCAAGTAATGCTTTTTTATCTTCTGCATTGCTACAACAGAAATTGTATCTGTTCGGCTGTTGTGCTATAACAGTAACAGTTTGGTGTCGATCCAGTTGGTAGATCTAGGCCTGCGTCTCGACCTGACGTCATCTTATCGAGTTCCAAATGAGTGAAAAATGAACATTTTCAGCGTGGTCACAGACAACTTTAAAAAACACTTGATTTTTTGGACAATAACAGTGCTCAATATGTCCACCGGGTAAATTATTGTTCACTGTGCAAAGTATTTCTGACAATGGTTCTCCCAGTCGCCAGAATCGTCCAAAAATTACACACTGATTTGTATTTGCCTCTGAAACAGAAACGACGCTATAGGTAGGATCTACACTCTTCTGTGTTGTGTCTATTCATGCACACTTCCTGCAGTTAAAAACTGCAAGAAATCACCTTTCTAAAGAAACCGAATAGTCAATATTTATTGCATGGAATGTTTTGAACAAAATGAGGTTCATTGTGGTCTATCGGCAGAAGGAAATTAGCGTACATTTCGAGAGTACTGTCCGCAAATTCTTATGAGGTGGGTTCAGTAAAACAAAACAAAAACCAACTTGATATCCCGTTTTTTTAGCACACATTGTATTTTATTTCACCAGAGCATTAAAAAAATGGACAAAGAACGCAATGAAAGCAAAAACTCAATTTCCATAAAATATCAATATTTTGACTTTAGAAACTGATATCTCGAAAGCAGTCTGCGCGACTTGAGACTGAAAATCCCTGGCGGCCACACGTATGCTCTACATTTTTTAGTGACCACTTCGCATGAAGAAACTCTGATTACCGGTACTACAACAAAAGGTTAGCACAACATGCACCACATGTTAAAAAACATGAAAATGTAAAGAAATGGTTGAACTTTAACTTTCAAAACAGAAAAAGGGAAAAAAAAGCACTCTTATGTTCAAGGACAGGTAAATCTCAGGAGGCAATTTCAGGGACATAATCCATTGCGAATTGAAAAGTAACACCAGGAGACCATTTCAGCGACATAATCCATTGCGAATTGCAAAGTAAGCACACATGTCAAGTGCATCTCAGTGCAAATTTAAAGAAAACTTTCCCAGTTCTAATATACACTGAGTTACAACACTAATAATAAAGCAATTTAAAATGATCTGGGCCAACCTAAACACAGAATGTCATCTTGGCCCTAAGCTATGTACAGTATTTTGCCGCACAGTTTACAGGTTCCTTTGTGTGTGGTACCTATGAAAGCATTCCTTGGGATGCAGGAGTGTTTTTACTGTGCATCCAGAACAGTAAAAATGGCTACGAACTCTCTTTCCCAAAGTGATGGAACGCATTTTACAAGCTCTGTCACCAGCTGCATAGAGAGGGAGGTGCATGCCTGTCAAACGTTCCAACGCTGTGGGTTCTTCTTCTCGTCTGCCGTTTGGTATGACAGAGGGCTCAGCACATTCATTGGCATCATTGGTAGTGGGTACTGGAATGGCTGCAGCATCACATAGTTCACGGATGAGAAGCCTCTTGAACTTGAACTGTTTCAGCCCAATCTTTTTCTGTTTTTTTCCGTCAGCCAGTTTTGGTTGTGTAAGTACATAGAGCACATATGCGTTGTATTGCGCAACTTCCAAATTCCAAAAGTAGAGCTTTCGCCACCACTTTTTTGCATGCCTGTTATGGATGCCATAATAGTTTCTAAATGGTCACAGCCATTCATGTGCCTATTGTATGAGCAGACAACGTCTCGCCTTTCTATGCCTTTCACATGTGTTGTGGTCGTTTTTGCATCGATGGACACAATGACAACGGGTTTTTGTTTGTTGGGGGTTTTTTTGCTCTTTCGTCCCGGAATATATACGCACTGAATTTCCTTTGTTTTGTTCATAAATGATTTGTTCTCCTTGTCTGCAATAGTTGTTGATTTTATTTGCTCTGAGAACCCACGACGATTGGTATTGAGGGTACCAGTGTAGTACATCTGCATCCCAAGGAAATGGTCTACCAACTCTCGTGTTGTGTAGACACAGTTGGCAAAGATAGCATGACCCTTGACCAAGCCATGAAGAAGCGTTTCAAAAACTTTCTTTGCCTGTCCACTATCGTCATTCATATCTGGCTTGTACGAGGTATTGCCACCGAAGTATGTTAGGATGTTGTAAACATACCCAGTGGCAGCGTCACAAAGTCCAAATGTTTTTATGTGGTACTTTTTTGGCTTTGTAGCATTGAACTGCTTGAAAGCCCACCGACCCTTGAACCATTTCTTCTGTACTAAGCTCCTGAAATGGATAAAAGGCAGCACGACATTTCCTAAGCTGGAGATTTATGAAGGGTTCGATTTTTTCCTTCCCATCGGAGAGGGATCTCCACTGTGAAGCATAATGGAGTAGGTCAGTTTGAATTTCTCTCGACTGATTACCTTGTTCAAGAATGGAAAATACAAATCTGGGGCTGATGACCAGTAATCTTCTATACTAGTACTAGGTCTGTTACTGATACAGAACAAGTGTTGCTATTATGAATTTCAACAGATCAGCAACTGAGAGGTCTTTCCACTTGTGCAGCCTTGAATGTTTGGAGTGCTTTTCTATATTTTCACTTTAGCATAACCATTGATGTCGCTGACCATTGTTTTCTTCACCTCATCATCGACTAGCAAGTTGAAACAGTCAAGAGGTGTAGAGTCTTCATTCAGTTTGTCACATGACCCAGTGAAAGCAGGGGCGAATCTGAAATTTGTTGTCTCGCCAGCTTTGACTTATTCCCACTCACTCACGTCATAACTTTGTTTGCTTGTAGGTCTAGAGCTAGATCTAGATTTAGATTTAGGCTTGCTTTGTTTCCCTTATTCCTTCTTCTTGCCCTTAGACTCTCTTTACCCAAAACTCACACTTTGATCTTCCTCTTCATCACTTTCATCATTCAGAAGGTCCGTGTCAACCCTAGCGCGTTTTTGCGGAGATTGGTTGTCACCATCACTGTCACTTTCTTCTTCAATATTCTGATTCCCAGCCTCATACTCTTCCTCGCAATCACACAAACTTGGAATTATCTTGTGTTTGGATCCAAGTTCGAATCAATTCCGCTGCTTGAATTCCCGAAAATCGAGTAGATGAACTTGGGAGATCCAACATGTTGGAAACTCAGCCAATGATGTGTACGCTAGAAATATGTTAGAAATGTCAACAACAAAAATGCAATAGAAAGCGATCTACAAACTAAGAAAAGCTTGAAAATGGTAGAACAGAAGTTGGGGAAACATAAAATCATAACTTCCTATCGGAAAGTTTCACATTCGCATTTTAGCGCATCCTTGAATGCAGTCATGCAGTGTGCGGCTCCGAGCAGATAAAGAGTTAAAGAAAAGGAAAAATTATGTCATTGTCGCAGACATGATAAAGTGCCGATTTTGAAGCAGCCTTGTGAACAGTGTAGCAAACCAATGTTGTTTAAAACTTCTGACATTCTGAGAAAACATGCATAAAATTGTTTTTCTGCTCTACAGCCTTTCAAATATTTCAAGCGCCTGTATCGGAACCACACAGAGTATCTGTTTTATTGTTTGAAAATGAAGTAGAACAAAGAATGCATGACCAGCATTATTTTAGTGTTTCTCCTTGAAAATTAGTATATGACTCTTGTAAAGTGTTTTATAAAAAATAATGGTGTTCAGTGTCAGAAAATGTTTACATGTTTTTACCCAGCTATGTTATTGAGTTTGTTTGATTTGTATATTATTTAGAAATAATGTCTTCATTGCTGGTCTATGATTTCCTGATCAGTTGATAAAAAGAGGACATTTATTAGAAATGTAAATGTTATTGGTGACAATGTGTGCACGTCTGTGTTTGTATTTATGCAATCTTATTGTTTTCTTTTATCACGTCTGAGTGTCTGGTTAACCATTGTGATATTGTTTGCTTTGATGTTTTTGTAGCATCATTGTAACCAAGGAAAGTAGCCTATATTTTGAACTGTTGAAACAGTGATTGCAAGTGTAGCGTATGGTTTTGTTTATTCCAACTTCACCAGTTTCTTAATTTATGGCTATGCATTTGTCAGCTGGCGTACTCAAAGTGTCATCTCTCATTCTGTGGTAAAAGTTTGAAGAGTATGTTATTTTGTTCAGCCTTGTTTTTCTTTGGTATTTGGGGAAAGCTGCAATGACCTATTTGTTCACTTTAATTATGCTTTTTTGTCATTTTATTTACGCTTTGTTTTGTTAATGGTGCAAAATTTGTAAAACCTGATTAAAATTTAAACATATATTGTTTGTTGTTTCACCTTTTGATCTAAATATTTTTAGTGGATGGTTGGAAGGCACCTTTGCTTGGTCCTGTTCCTTTTCTTCTATCTGTCTTGCGTTCTTCCCGACAAAATATGAACATTATTTTTTGTCAATGTACTTCTCTTTACTCTAATCTAATTCAAACACTTTTTCAGTACAATCTATGAATATTTTTAGCAGGTGGTTGGCAAGTGCTCTTGTGTGGTTTGTTCTTTCTTTCCTATCAAACACATATTATCATCCTGATCTCTCCTTTTTTATGTCTGTGACTCTCTTGTAACATCTCTTCAGCACTTAGATTTATTACTGTATTGTGTTGCAATTATTCTAAAACTCTGACTAAAAAAGAGAATACTTTTTTGTGCACTCTTTTTTACAATGAACCTGTAAGGCTGCAAAGGCTCTGGCTTCATGTTCCCCACGTTTTCACATTAACGTCACCCAACTTGCAGATGTGACGGAAGCTTTCTTTTTAACATAATATATCCGGCGTCGCACCGATTTCATATGACAATCCCCACACTTACACACGGCCGGCCCTTCACGATGTTGATTTTACCGCTGCTGTAAAATTGCTCTCTGCAAATCGTCATTCTGAGGTCTAGGGGCGGGAATTCTAAAAATGCCAGTCGAGATGTAGAAAGCTGAAATTCTTTTTAATCAATATTGCATTAAATTGTATTTTTTACTTCAGACTTGGATTTTGCAATGAAAATTACCTAATAGCACGAGACTTTAACTTTTAGGCCCATTTTTGTAATATAGACAATTAAAAAATAATTGTAAACACGCTGACCTTGACCTTCATGTTTTGACTGTTTGGGTTGTTCACTTCTTTCTTTTTGTAGGCTCTATATAGATCTGGTATATATTGAGACAGACACGTCTTGATGACCTTATGCAGTTGCGAGCGCCATAAAAACTCTTACTAAAACTAAACTGAGACACTTGATTCAGAACTTGAGCAGACAAGATGGAAGAAGCACTAACTAATTGCAGCGGTGTAGAAGAGATCTGCACTTTTTGATAAATCACAAGGCAATTATTCAAACAGAAATTACGTCAACAAGCAGTGAGTAGACATTGCTAAAGAAGTTGGAGTGAAAAGTAGAAATTAAAGTTTCATTGTTATTTTTTTAAGTCACGAGAGAGAAAGGAATGTAAAGTCAGTACGTTTGTGTAATCAACTCAAACTTTCCCTCCCCAAAAAGGAGAGTTGAAAACGTGCTGAGCGTGAAGCCATATGCGTTTGCATCCTAAGACAATTCAACATTAAGTAAGACCTCGTCCACCTGTAGAGGTGCGATCTTCCCTGTTTGTATGTGTGTGAGTCCCCGAAGATCTGACTCTCTGAAGGGTACAAGACACAAAAATTCAAGATAGCTTTCCTGTATTGATGTTGATGCTAGTGCAAGTAAATACCCTTGAGAAATATGTAAACAGTGCCCAGGCTTGCACGAGCCCTTGGTTTGAGAACCTGCCATCGGCATGATTTTTTTAAAGGGTGTACCATAGATGTACACTATAGTACTCTATGGGGTGTACACAGACAACTATTATAATGACATACACAGTTGTCATAGTCTGTTACAGTGCTAGATAACGTATTTTATGTCATGCAGTAAGAAAAGAAAAACTGACACTTCTGAAAGTGTTTCTTGGACTGCGCTGAACAGAACCTATAAAGTGAAATATAACAATTAGACGCGCATTTTGCACACAGGGGAAGCTGCAGAACAACCGAAAACTACTAGTCTACATATACTGGGAAAAGAAACTGCAGACCTCTTCCCTGGATTTCAATGTTATACTTAGTTATATTATAGCAAGCAGCTGCTTGATAAAGAGTACTACAGTTTTGAAGAAAAAAAAGTAAAGCTTTCCACCACTGCGACCTTTAGCAAATTCAATTTATCAAAGAGTGTTTAGTGCAATAGAAATTTTCACGTGAAGGCCACGATTAAGGAGAAAGCGCACCAGCATTTTCGTTCTGGGCACCTTACTGTCAACAAGGCAGACATCTCTTCACAAGAAAAGGCTCCGCCAGAAAGGTTTTATGAATTAGATGGCGAGTCAAAGCAACAAGAGTAGAGACACAGTAAAGACCAACAGTTTCCATTACATAAACACCGTTCTCCCCACGCAGACTCGGATGGTTAGTTCTATCTACATAAGACAGGTGGGCGGTTGGCGGTTGCTCTGGTGTGGTTTGCTCCTTTCCTATCAAACATCTGTCGTCCTAATCTCTCCTTCTTTTTTGTGTTTGTTACTCCCTTGTAACACCTCTAATCTTCGGCACTTGTATGACTTTATTGTGTTGCAAGTGCCGTAAAACTCTTACTAAAGCTCAAACATAAGACAGGGCATCTAAATAGGAGCCCATCTTCGCTGTTGAGAACAGAGACAGGAAGGAGGCAAATGGGTTGATCGCTATTGAGATTGTCTGTAGTTTGTAGTGGAACTATCGCCTACTATAGATACTACAGCACACATGGATAAACACACACGCGCACCCGCACACTTGTAAAGCGCTAACACGCCTAATGAAATAAGCAGTAACTAAGCACAGTTTGGTTTCATTGGGCAGTTTTTCATTTAATTTAGAAAGGAGCCAATTTCTGTTCAAGTGACAAAGACGCTGAATGTTATGTTTGGAATTATAATCAGAGTCGTCCTCGCTTTATGAAGCCTTGATGCAATAAAGAGTGAGTTGGCGCTTCTCTCGTTTAGTTCATTATTAATACAATTAAGCGAAACGTTTGCCGAAGGAGGCCACATGATCGCCATCTTTTTTTACCTAGAAAAAGCCTTCAACACAACTGGAAGTACGGCATTCTCAGAGACCTGCACGCACTCGGCATACGTGGTCACCTCCATGCCTTCATTGGCAATTTCCCGAAGAACCGTTCCTTCCAGGTTCGTGTAGGATCCTCCCTTTCAGACCCCTACCAACAGAAGGAAGAAGTTCCCCAGGGGAGTATCCTTTCTCCTCCCCTATTTGAAATCAAAATAGATTCCATCGTAAAAACCCTCCAAAAAAGCATAGACAGCTCGTTATGCGTTGACATACTGCCGTTCGAAAAACCCTCAACTAAGATCTATGGAAAGCCAGCTGCAAACTCAGCTGCACAAACTTGAAAAGTGGGCAAACAATAACGGTGTCAAGTTTTCTCCGTCAAAGACGGTTGCAGTACACTTCTGCCGATCAGGCAGACGTGTACTGCAGCCGGATTTGATACTATACCGGGAAAGGATTCCCGTCCAGGACCAGGCTCGTTTCCTCGGCCTTATATTCGACAAAAAAACTTACATTCATTCCACACATCAAAGACCTTCGTGTGAGGTGCCAGAAAGCGCTAAACGCTTTGACAATTCTATCGTATCCGGAGTGGGGCGGGGACTCAGAACACCTTCTCCACTTGTACATAATCTCCCTTGTCCGATCCAGGCTTGACTACGGCTGTCAAGTCTACGGATCGGCAAAACCAAACATCCTAAAAATGCCTGACCCAGTGCAAATCCAAGGACTCCGCCTCGCTCGGGGGGCTTTCTGCACTTCTCCGGTGGAGAGCCTCCAGGCCGAGGCAAACATACCATCACTCACACTCAGACGCACACAACTCTCACTACAATATTATGCAATTAAACAGAGCTCAACACCAGAGAACCCAGCACACAACTGCATTTTTAAAACAAACAAACCCAGAAACCATAACCAAATTCCGAAACAACGCAAACCTCATCGAACCCTTCGGCCTCAGAGTCCTTGAGGACCTCAAAAACATAAAATTTTCCAAACAAGACATCCAACAATTTCTTTTCCCTGACCTCCCTCCGTGGCACCTCACCAAGGCAAAAGTAGGTTTACATCTGACCATACACAACAAAGAAAGCACAAACACCAAAACATTTAAAGTAGAATACAAAAAACTTATAGAAAAATACTCCGGTGCGGAGCTTGTATTCACAGATGGATCCAAACAGAACTCTGGTGTGGGCGCCGCAGCCCTATCTTCAAACAGTACACACCAGAGGAGACTCCATCCCGAAGCCTCAATTTTCTCTGCGGAGGCCACTGCCATTGAGTGACATGCACTGGACTCCATAGAAAATTCTCCTGACAAATCTTTCCTTTTCCTTTCTGACTCTCTGTCTTGCATCACCGCACTCACTAACTACACAATCCAACACCCAAAAATAGTTAGGCTACAACAAAAAATGCACACCTTGACTGAAACAGGGAAACGTATCGTGTTCGCATTGATACCTAGCCATTTGGGCATCCGAGGAAACGAGCAGGTAGATGACCTGGCGAAGAGATCCTTTTCCCTTCTGTTGAGATCAACAACGAACACTCTCCCACAGACTAAAAATAAAGTAAAAAATTACCCCTCCTGTCTGTGGGAGAGCCTTCGTAAAAAAGAACCCAACAAATAACAAAAACTTCACAATATTAAACCCAAACTGGGACCGCAAAATCCTTTGGGCCTCTCCAGAAGAGACGAAGCCATTTTTACTCATAGATGTACACTATGCGCACGTTTAAACGGGGGTAACTCTATGTTTTTACCCAATTACGCATTGGGCACACGGCCCTAATAATATAACACACAAATACAAAATGTACCTCCTTCAGGGAGATGAGACCGTTCTGTGTCGGATGCAACATAGATTTTACCATTAGACACATTTTACCGAATGTCTAGACTTTGGAGAGACCCGAAGGAAATACTTTAAATTTAAATGCAAAAAATTACAAGATATTTTTCCCTCGTTGTTCCCAACAGAATATTAGATTTATGAAGGCCATTGGCCTTTACGGGAAGTTATAAAATAGATTGTTCGAAATTTTAAAGTGTTATTTAGAAAATTGTTTTAAATTTAAAATCGATTTACACTCGATTTTTGCGTTTTAAACATTTTAATTAGTAATATTGACGCTATTGAGAAAAAACAACTTGTTTCGCGCGTTCGTATGACCTTATGCAGTTGCGAGCGCCGTAAAACCCCGTACCACTAGAAAGCTCACCAGCATTTTCGTTCTGGGCACATTAGGCGCCTACTCTCCACAAGGCAGACATCACTTCTTAAGAAAAGGCTCCATCAGAAAGGTTCTATGAATTAGACGGCGAGTCAAAGCAACAAGAGTAGAGACACGGTAAAGACCAACAGTTTCCTTTGCATAAACACCGCTTTCCCCACGCAGACTCGGATGGTCAGTTCTATCTACATAAGACAGGTGAGTGGTTGGCGGTTGCTCTGGTGTGGTTTGTTCCCCTCCTATCAAACATCTATCGTCCTAATCTCTCCTTCTTTTTTTGTTGTGTTTGTTACTCCCTTGTAACACCTCTAATCTCCGGCCCTTGTATGACCTTATTGTGTTGCAAGTGCCATAAAACTCTTACTAAAACTCAAACATAAGACAGGGCACGTAAATAGGGCCTGATACCAGAAAAAGGAAGGAGGCAAATGGGTTGATCGCTATTGAGATTGTCTGTAGTTTGTTGTGGAACTATCGCCTACTATAAATACTACAACACACACGGATAAACACACACGCGCACCCGCACACTTGTAAAGCGCTAACACGCCTAATTAAATAAGCAGTCTAAGCACAGTTTGGTTTCATTGGGCAGTTTTTCATTTAATTTAGAAAGGAGCCAATTTCTGTTCAAGTGACAAAGACGCTGAATGTGATGTTTGGGATTATAATCAGAGTCGTCCTCGATTTATGAAGCCTTGATGTAATAAAGAGTGAGTTGACAGCACGCTTCTCTCGTTCAGCCCATTATTCATAGATATACATACGTGCCCCCCCCCCCCTTTCCGACACACACACACATACAAACATAATACTGAAACACATCAAGTATCGACTTAGACACTTAGATCTAATTACATATATATATTTGTGCGAGCGTCTGTAGGTAAGAGCCAATGAATGTGCCCCCCCCCCCTCTCTCTCTCTCTCTCTCTCTCTCTCTCTCTCTCTCTCTCTCTCTCTCTCTCTCTCTCTCTCTTCCCACCCTCTCTCTCTCTCTCTCTCTCTCTCTCTCTCTCTCTCTCTCTCTCTCTCTCTCTTCCTCTCCCTCCCTCTCTCTCTCTCTCTCTCTCTTATGTCTCTGTCTCTGTCTCTGTCTCTCTCTCTCTCTCTCTCTCTCTCTCTCTCTCTCTCTCTCTCTCTCTCTCTCTCTCTCTCTCTCTCTCTCTCTCTCCCCACCCCTACCCCCTCTCTATCTGTCCGTCTGTCTGTCTGTCTGTCTGTCTGTCTGTCTGTCTGTCTGTCTGTCTGTCTGTCTGTCTGTCTGTCTGTCTGTCTCTCTCTCTTTCTCTCTCTCTCTCTCTCTCTCTGTCTCTCTCTCACTCACTCACTGCAGGGTGTGTGTGTGTGTGTGTGTGTGTGTGTGTGTGTGTGTGTGTGTGTGTGTGTGTTTGTGTGTGCACGTGTGCGTGTGTGCGTGCATGCGTGCGTGCGCACATATGTGTGCATGTGTGTTTGTGTGTGTATATGTGTGTTGTTTGTGTGACCCGGACCCGTGGGGGGGGGGGGGAGTAACGGTGGATATAGGGGCCTATATTTCATTGGCCCAACAGATTAAGAAAAGTGCGTAAAACTAATGGACAGGTTTGGGGTCAATCAAGCCTGTTCAATATTCTATTGCGTGTCTAGGATTGAATTTTTAAAAGTCAATATGCTAAACAATAATATTTTATCAACCGCGCGGGCATCCTTTGCAAGCACACAAATTAATATTTATATAAAGTAAAACTAAAACTACGAAGTAAACAGACTTTTGGCGAACATTTTATACTGCTGCACTTTTTGTGTTCTTGGTGTTTCCGGCAATGTGTTTGGTCTACCAGAGAGTCTCTGGGTCTACTTCCACTTTCACACTTGCCAAGATGGCTCCAATAGAAGGGCATTTTTCAAAATGTCTAAATCTTTGATTTGGACATTCCTCAGATTTTTCTCCCAACCTTAGTGCCCAAATATGTTTATTATTTGATAATGTATTGAAAAATCCCTGTCCAGAGTGCTTATTGTCTGAAATATATTGTTAGCGGTTTTTTTAAAAAGGAATGAGTTATCTGTTCAGATCGAACATCTTTTCTTGCTGCCCTGAGCCTGGCCAACATTGTTCACGTTTTCTCTTAGAATTTTGTGTCCAGCGTTCATACTCTTTGGTTTTGCAAAGGCAACACAATCACTATGGCGAAGATAAGTAAGTGTCCAAATTGTCAACTTGATATTATTTACCATTTCTTCAAAAGGAGAAGGTTGTATTTTGCTTTGACGTATGTCCCAGCTTGACCTGGGCATTGAAATTAACGAGTTACCAACGTCAACATCATAACCCACGTGGATTTAACAAAAATAAAATGATGTCGGAGATGAAAATGAAAATAATAGCCACAGGGTGTCTTGAGTCGCCCGGACTGCATTGCTGTATTTTGCTGTGGGCTTATTTGTACTAAAGACTGGGAAGATTGAAGAATACCGGACCACTCGTACATTATTGCGCGAGAAAGTGGGAGGAGGGGTCCAGGGGGGTCTGCCCCCTGACAAAATTTTAGTGAATAGATCTACCGGTCGGAGATTCTCCATTGAGAGAGATATTAAAAACGGCAAAATTATGAATTCCTAAGTTGAGACATAGGCAAAGTCAGTCCGCTGGTCCGGTATTCTTCAATCTTACCTAAAGTCTTAAGACTTGATACGACGTGAACTAGATCTAGTCTAGATCTAGATCTAAACACTAATCTGTCTAGATCTAGATATAGAATCTAGATCTAGAGATCTATCTATTGTGTTGTGAGAGAGGAAATGTCAATGTGTTTGTGTGTAGCCTTCTATCACTACAGTAGTACAGAGAAGATGCGTGGGCCGGTGGGGTCGGAGTTGGAGGCTCGGAGAGGGAGGACTTCCCTAAAAAGGCTAATGAGCTAATGATGGGGGCACTCCTGTACAATTGCGGTCCTGTTAGATCTAGATCTAGATCTAGATCTAGCACTAAATCACACATGCAAAGACTAATGGATATCGATACTGACTGAAGTGTTCGGTGTATCGATGTTTTATTGTTGATAGCAGATCATGCCTACAAAATGAGCAGTAAAATTTCACTTGTATACAAACAAGGCTTGAAGGCAAAGGGGGTTTAAGGGGGGCTTGCCCCCCTGACCACACCTACCAAAAACATGGGAGGTTTCAGGGGGGGCATGCAATGGATTTTTTTGGATCTACTTGGGTGTTGAGAACGGATGATAGAAAATAATTTGTGAATTGTGAGAGTGACCGTTCGTGACCTGCCCCAGAGCGCTGGCCGGTTTTTCTAGGCTCCCGCTGGGATTGTTATTGTTTCATTAAAAAAAATCTTGAGTTGAGAGTACGCACGAATATCTTCACCAAAATCCTTGACGGGTGTAAATATATTATAAATTCAGAAAGGAATTCACTTGCCAGGGTAGTATGTTTGTAAAAATGATAGCCTTAACTGAAAGCTGTTTAATGAAATAATGTTTGTAATAGTTTGTCATTGTAATGTTAGAATTGGCATTTGTTTACAACACAAAAAACATGTTTAATTGTTATCCCTAACAGAACCCACAGTTATTTTTAAGGCACGCAATGCCTTGACCCTAGATCTAGGCTTTTTTTTTTTTGAATTTTGATTGGTTAATAAACCATTCAAGATTAAAATTTTCCATTACCAATAAATAAATAAATACTTTAGCAACAAAAGGTGACGCTATATTTTCTCAAAAGATAAGGATTTCTCCCAAATCGACAATAGTCGCCTCCCGCGCTCGAGAGCTGGCCTGTCTGTTGGCGATTTTAGTCGCCTCGCGTGCTCAGCGGAGTGAGAGAGGGAGGCGAGTTTTGTCGCCTGAGCGCTCAGTGACAGGGGTCCTATGATGCCCGAAATGAAAAAACTGGGTGAGAATAGTTGGCTTTCATTATTCTCACGCGGGGTGAGAATAGTATTTTTTTATTCTCACTTTATCCTTAGCCCGGGTGAGAATAATCAGTTTGCAGTGCCTGTTTCAGCTCTCTCTTATCTATTGTCTTGGCTGAAGATAGTTGTAATACCCATCCACCTCTGAGAAATTGTCGTACCACCAGGACCAGGCCTCACAGGGACAGTCTGTGATGGTTTCACAATGGAAACTTTAGCCCTTCTGCAAAAAAGCATTCCAGTTCTAGTTTCATTTTTAATGAAAATGGACCAAACTTTTGCTGAAGAAAATTGGATGTTTCTGTCACTTTTGTATTTCAAGTAAAAGTTACACACAAAGGTGCCAATCACAGCCACAATTGAACTACCTTTAATTGCGAAACTGTAATGTGAGGATAAGGGCTATCTAATAATCCTAGTCCTAGATAATACTCGTTAATCTATCTACGTTGTTTTCAATACTCACTGTTTCGAGCGGGGAATGATGTGTGTGGGTCTTACAGGTCCAGAGCTCCATCCACTGCGTCGAACCACCAGTAGCGTCGATCCCTGCTCAGCCTAGATTTAAGTCGTGGCTCGGAAGGCCGGTTCAACCTTCGTGTCTGTTTATATACCCCCTGTGCTCCCTTATTCTCCTACACTCACTAGGCTACACTGAGTTTGTTCTCTTATTTCACGTGATTCTGGCTTGTCTAGTAATCACAGCGAATTACAGACCACAGAAACTATGGTTATATATGTTTATTCTCATTCTAACTGGTTAAAACAGTCAGTGTTTAGTCATGGTAAGTCTCTGGAATAGTGGGTTAAGAAAGTTTGCTTTAGTCAGGAGATGTCAATTTTCTAAGACAGCCACTTTTATTGTCGAGGATAAAGTGTTTGTGTTGAATGGGTGTGAGGGTGGGAAGTGGTGTTGTGGACAGGTGGTTATTAGACAAGCTTCAGCTGTACTTCAGGCTTCTAACATATCTCTCCCCCTTCCTTTACTTTACGCACACTCACACACCTGTACGTACAAATTTATGAAATGGATGCCTAGTCTTTCCCGTAGACTTTGGACTTTTGGGGGGGGAGGGTGTTATCTTCTCTTTGTTTATTGCATTCATTAACACTGGTCTTACATTTAATGACTGGATGGGGTTTTTTTGCCAAAAATTGTTGGCAATATAATATATAAAATGAAGAAATCAAGCTAGCTGTATTTTTTTATTTTATCATTTATTTCAGAGGAAAAATAAAAAAAGCTCAGTGGGCGGAATGATGATCTGACTTAAGCATGTTATTACGCTGTGGCTACTTTTTAGCCACCTGTGTGTTTTTAGAGTTATAAAGTTAATATATAGATCTCTTTATTTTCCAGAAAAAAAGAGTAAACGACAATCAACAAAGCAAAGAGTCAAAGTTGAAAGAAAGGTATGTTTTTGTATGCAGACGTTATGTTCAGCAACTCAAGAGTTTGTTGTCCTTCACTTGCTCCCCTGTCTCTGTCTCTCTACCACTACTTTGTTGTTGAGGTGTTTAATCGAAACGTCTTTTGTATGATATTCTTGTGTTGGCCCTCAGAAGAAACGTAGTAAATTTTGTCTGCCAGCTTAGAGTTAAGAGTTTCGCTCAATCCTCCAATAGCCATCAATGAAGGATTTGAAAATCACACAGATTGTTACTCTGCCTAGATAGTTAGTGTAGAAAAAGTTGTTCCTGGCTTCTCTTTATTTCTTGTTATTATTTTTAGGTGGGATTTTTTTTTTCTTGTTTTCACGTTGGGTTCTAAAAAATTACTTAATTGCTGAATATTCAATATAGGCTCTAAAGTGTGTTTTGCTGAGAGTAATTTCAAGCGGTTTAGTGCAATATATTGAAGCACATCCCCTCTTACAAACAGTTCAAGTTGTCTCATGGCCTCTGGAGGGAGGTTAACAAGAAACAATTCTTATGCTTGAAATCAAAACATGTACTTTTTATATCCTCTCCATTCATAGGCCTAGAAGAATACTGGTACTCTATAAATAAATATTCTAGTTCATTAAAACAAATTATTAGTGTATGTTTATAGGAGGATATGAATATGACATGGAAATTGATATGATAGGCTTTTAAAGAGAAAAAAAGTGTTGGCTTTATAGAATAAATGTGACATTCCTGTACTGAATATGTCTGTTTTAACTTTTGAAACTGTGTATGAGAATGACATTTTGATATGTAGCAAGCATCTTTAATTTTTACGCAAATTTTTGTTTCAGGTGCGGGAGCACAAAAGAAAGCTGAAAAAAGAGGCAAAGAAAAATCCCAAGAAAGGTAAGGTCTAGCATGGTGCGTTGACAAATCAGGTGATGTCTGTTATAGGTTCTATTTTTCTGTATAGAAGAATGCAGTTTTTAAAAAGTGAATCGCTTTTAACCTTTTGGTTGTTGGTATCAATTACACTAATAATTATCAATTGCAATTGTTTGTCAGTGTTTTCAGGGAGGGCTTTTATTCTACAAAGGATATGGGTTTTTTTGGTAAACCACGGTCTCGTTGATTTTATTTCAGTACCCATATCATAGCATGTCTGGTTCGGTATTCTAATAGTATTCATGACCAACATCATTGACTTTTTGTTGTGTTAACCAATTTACCTTCAAATAGCATACTTACTACTTGTTAATCTTTTAAGTAAAAAGTCCTAATATTTCCATAAAAAGAGGCTCTCTTACATTTGAATTATGAAAAAAATACATACATAGAGAGACAGGTATGTTGGTTTTTAAAAATCTACTTAGTGCTTTGTTCATTTTATTCTCCAGTCTCTAATAAAAATTGAGCATAAAGATTTAAGTGGTCAAGTAAACATTTTAGTTATTGGACAGGAAAGATGTTGAATGAATTTTTAAAAGTTTACCTATGAACATGCTTTTTTTTCAGGCCGTGGCAAAGACCCTGGTATACCTAACATTTTGCCGTTCAAAGAGGAGGTTATTAAAGAGGCTGAGGCATACAAAGAAAGGGTAACAATTGTATTCTTCCTGCAGAGTTAATTTTAAGGTTTGGGTTTAATAAGTGAAGGGTTTTAAGAATTGTTTTTTTATTCATTATATCTTTCTTTTGTGGTATCAATAATTATAATAGCAATATTCAGCTTTATAAAATGGATTAGTTTTTTCTTTGTTTCCAAAGGTTTCTCCTTTTTTTTCCTGATAAAAAGGAGGGAATCTGTCTTTCAAGGTTAGAGCAGCTTCTTTGAAATGAAATCATGAGTTTGGATCTTGAATTGTAATACAAGTATGGTGGGGGGGGGGGGGGGGGCAAAATGTCACTTCTCATTATTATGAATTCATAGCTTTCATTTGAATGGATTTTTCTTTCCAATTCATTTGAACTTCTTTTCCTTACGTGATGATGGGATGTTGAAATTTTTTTGAGGTTATGTCAATTCTCCTTTCCTTTCATAGAAACTGTCTCCTTACATTTCGAGTTGTTCTCATTTTTATTTTATTTGTTTGTTCTCTACTGGCTGGGTTTTTGGGGTTTTTTTTTTAATACTTCTTTCACTTTGTGCTTCCTACACTTTTTGGGAGATTAAAAAAAAATTAATGTCATGGATTTTTGTTTTCCTACTTTTATATCTGAACAGAAAGAACAAGAGCGACTGAAGAAGAAGGCATCACAGAAAAAAGCGAGAGAGAGACTTCAAAACCAGAACAGAAATTTAGCTGGCATTATGAAAGATGCCCAAAAGAGACAAGCGGCCTATGACAAAAGGGTAAGAGAGGTACATCTTATAGGGTTTGTTTTGATGACTACAATGCCTTTCATTCTCTATGTATTAGTCAAGTAATACAAATTTGTTGCTTCAGATCTTTTTAGACATATGTGAGAAGTGGATGTGTTAGTCTTTCAAGTAAATGTTACATTTTGTCTTCTCCTCTCCTCCCCCCCCCCCCCCCCCCTGAACAGATTGAAACTAGCAGTCTGACAGAGGACTTGCCATCCAGCAATGTAAGCAAGTCTGCAGAAAACTCAAGAAAAACGTTCTACAAGGAATTTAGCAAGGTGAGCGTAAAATAATGCGCACGTTCTTTACACCCACTTTTAATGAATTGAGGTGTTACGGTTTTATAAAATGGCAGGTTTCACTGTATGCTGCTCAAGAAGTTGAGATTGTTTCAGAATGCTATCAGGTCTAGTGGGGTAATACATAGATTGTAAAGTGCATGATAGAATTTGCTGTTGAGCAGGAATTTGCACTATACGAATGCTATCTATTGTCTATTATTTATTTAACTCTTTGGTGCATGGTTGACCAGTTCAGCTGATGCTCAACACAGCTCAATTGTTTACAGTCGTAACAAAAATCTACGAAACCGAATCCATTTTATCTATAATCAAACTGTATATTCATTGCTCAGAGCATTTATTTCTACTCAGTTTTATTACAATTTCCCACTGATAGGTTAGAGGTAGCACTATATAAGCTATAGTGAAGTTAACGGTGCTGAAATATTGGCTGACAAAACTATTGGTTACATACAAACGAGAAACAGCCCTCGATGAACAAGGCGTTCAACTTGAAATTGTTTTTCGCTATGAAGTGCATACATAAAAATTGTTTGAAGTTTTGACTTATTAGAAGTTTATTTTTGTTGTCAGTGTTTCTTTTCTGGACTTTCCATGTGGTCTCAAATTTGGCGAATTGGAGAAAGAACTGTTCTTTTCCCACCATGCAGTGGCTCCACACTGTGTGCACATTTACTGTGTTTTGTTATTATTTTACTTTCCAAAGTTAGACAGGTCATTTATCATTTTTTGTTAGTATGGTCGTCCAGACAAAAAGTGTTACTGAAATAAAAGTATTAGACAAAAGTTCCCAAAAATTGAGATAACTGATCACTGTCCAACATGTCAGTTTTTTAAAGTAGTGAGAAATACTGTATTTTCTAATGAGGGTAAATATGTGGTGATTTACCTCTTCATTCTCCATAAGTGAAGTGTGATTTTAATTTTTAGCAAGACAATTTGACTTGGGATTATAATAAGTATATTCTTGTGATGACAGGTTGTGGAAACGGCAGATGTTGTCTTAGAGGTATTGGATGCCAGAGACCCCTTGGGCAGCCGCTGTGTGGAGCTGGAAGATGCTGTCAGGTCAGCAAACGGTGCAAAGAAGTTGATACTTGTACTAAACAAAATAGGTAAGAAGAAAAATTATAGCCGTATTTCCGGAAACCTGTGATATTTCAAAATTTTAAAAAATAATTTATTTTTCTTTTGGTTTTGAGTTTATGTATATTTCAATGCTGGTTGTAAGTGGTATTGGTGTCTTTGTGGTTAAGTTAGGGGACTCAAAGTTATGACCAAGTAGGTTCAACTCCCGGCTATGTTAATCCTGAGGATGTTACCGTGGAGAAAATGGTGAACTGCACAGCTTTGTTTTACCTCTGTTCACCCAAGTAAGAATTTCACGGTTTGATATACCATTTATATATTCAGCATCCTGTACTGAGAGAATATGTGTGTGGGGGGGGGGTGAAACACCCAAGTCAGTGGGCCAGTATTTTGATAACAAAGATTTATCTTTATTTACCTTATCTTACTTGGCTTCATTTGATTATTTTAGAAACCAATTAATATCTGGTCTCTTAACGAGTGCGAATCCAGTCAATTTCTCCAATATGGCTTAGTAAAGTTGTTCCTATGTAGTCCTTCTCACCTAATGACATCTTAAGCATAGCTGCCACTTTTCCGCTAAAAACTCCGCTTCATCTAGCTTTTCCCGCTACTTTCCTCCTTCCTCCACTGGACGCGCTCGGTCGCAAATTGCGATACTTTTTTACACGCGGAAAACACCGAACCGGGAGAGAGACGAAAACGCAGCTTGTGCATGTCCGCCTGTAGCTTTCTACTTCCATTCTTCTAAGCGTAGCGCTAGTTTCACTTTTTTTTTATTGTGGAGCAACACAGTGTCGATCGGACATCGGGACGTTACCACGCCGAATTATCATTGAAAACGGCGGAAATTCGAGAGAAATTGATGCAGAATGCAAAAATAAAAGGAGCTCCGCTTGCTGCACTTTGCGTTTGGTGCGATAAAGAAATCGCGGCCCGCAGCACTCCTGCACAATTGCGGTCCCGTTTGTTTACATGACGGCTAATGTGACTGTTGAAGTGAATTTAGACTCTAGATCTAGATTCTAGATCTATCTCTAGATATAATCTAGATTTACACATATAATTTAGATATCTAGATTCTAGATCTAGATTAGACTAGATTAGATAGCCTAGGCTATAATTTTAATTCAGGTTAAATCTACACACTACAGAAGGATTAGTAAGTTAAGTCACCAAGTCCAAACTGTGTCAAATTGACTCAACAAATGCTTGTTAGTCTACTTAGTGCCTTTGTTTTGTTTTTTGTTGTTGTTTTTTTTTCTTTCAAATACATTTTAATTCAGTTGCCTATGGTTAACAAATATGACAGTTTTCCCTTCCAAAACCATAGGCTAGATTTTCCAGTATATATTACTACATATTGCCTCTGGATCTCACTGGTTTTACTCCGGCCTTCGGAGAGCGCGCGTCCGCCTTCGCATGAATTTCCTCCTTTTTTGAAATTCCTGAGTGGCAGCTATGCTTAAGATATCGGGTCTGCACTGCTTGATTACAGTAATAACGGCTTGTACAATTACATTGTTGTTCATGTTGCTCTCTTACTTACAAAACCATATCTCTGTTTCATTTGATAGACAGCAGTGATGTACAAAATACCAATGTAATATTTCTTATGTAACTGTAAAACTTAATTTGATGCTTCAATGGTAGTATTTCCCAGTGAAAGTCTTGATTATTTATTTTGATTTTCTATTCTCCCAGATCTTGTTCCGAAAGAGAATGTTGAGGCTTGGTTGAAGCACCTCAGGCTGGAATTACCGACTGTAGCCTTCAAGGCTTCTACACAAGAGCAGCGGAATCACCTGGTAATTACCCTGTACGGTAGATACTTCTGTAAGGGGCAGTGTTTCCCAATTGTATCTGGGTCCAGCACTGAACGCGAAATTTAAAATGTCTGCTCTATGCTGCTGCTATAACAGGGCAGCCTTGAAGATTTATATGGGGGGGGGGGGTTGCTTTATGGCTTTAGAAAAAGGTTGCCTGGAAACATCTCAGAAGCTCCAGGAATATTTGTGTGGCTTTTGTTTGAATTGCAATCAGTTGGGGAACGAACGACTGTTACAGAACCTTTGGTGTTGGAGGGAGGGGAAAGGGGTATGTGATAAACTTTAATTGATAATGATTGGGTTTGTTACAAGATAGCCTGAAACTGTTTTCGCCGTATCAGTCTGCTTTATGGAAAAGTTTAAATCGTCATGTTTCAGTGCTTCCAGTCTTCCGCAATTTTGTGGATTTCTGCAAATTAGCAGAATTCCGCAAATGGAAAAATTTCCGTGAAAATTTGTGCCCCCCCCAAAAAAATTATTTTAAAAATGCGAAATAAAATGTTTTCGTTATTGCTAATAGTCAACAATAGACTACCCATACCGGAAGTGCTGTTTTATTTGAAGGTCTAGACAGTGTCTTTTACTTTCACTTTCTGAAGCACAAGAAGAAGAGCACCAGCTTTTGTAAACAAGAGGAAGAAATGACGATTGTGGTTCAATAGATCTTGGAGGAAGAAATGACGATTGTGGTTCAATAGATCTTGGAGGAAGAAATGACGATTGTGGTTCAATAGATCTTGGAGGAAGAAATGACGATTGTGGTTCAATAGATCTTGGAGGAAGAAATGACGATTGTGGTTCAATAGATCTTGGAGGAAGAAATGACGATTGTGGTTCAATAGATCTTGGAGGAAGAAATGACGATTGTGGTTCAATAGATCTTGGAGGAAGAAATGACGATTGTGGTTCAATAGATCTTGGAGGAAGAAATGACGATTGTGGTTCAATAGATCTTGGGCCTGTCAAGAGAGCTTGATTTTTTTTATCAGACTTGTGTATTTGTAAATATTGTTGTGGATTTAAGTTGAATATAAGCTGTCAAGTTATTTAGATGTGGATGTAGATATCTAGATCTAGAAATCAAGCTGTTATACTATTATTATAAGGATTCTACACCAACACAAGCAGAAAAAAGTTGAACATTAACTGTCAAGTTTTATAGATCTAGCTGTTACACTGCTGTTGTGGATGTACAGTATCGGTACAAGGGAGAAAGCATGGCTTTTGATTTATATGGATTAACACGAGCGAAAATTATGTATGCAAGGTATGTTTTTTTTCTCACTTATTTTCTTGTTAAATTTAGGCTTGAATAGCCAGAGATGGCATACTTAGGATGCCCTGAAACCAAAAATTCTCAAACATAAGGGGGACGGTCTGCCTTTAACCCCCTGGGCCCTAAAATCCTCGAAAAATGACATCAGCTGCTGGAAAGTCTGATGTTTGGTTAGCATTTTTTAAAGGTTATTTCAGTTGCAAGACATTAAAAAGTTACTTTGATTGGCATTTCGATTAAGTAGAAATGTCATGTAACAGTGTCCATTAGTATACATGACTGCTAGTCCAGGTTTTGGTTGTATTGTGAAGACGACTTTGGTGATATTTTAATGTTTCTCCTTTCAAATGTTATGTTTTATAATGTTAATACAGATTTGACATGCTTTCTCTGTTCCAGACCCAGTCAAAAGTGGATTACTTTGTTGCTAGAGCTGAGCTGCTCAAGTCCAGTCACTGTCTTGGAGCTGATGTTCTCATGAAACTCTTGAGGAATTACTGCAGGGAGACAGAAATGTCAATAAATGTTGGAGTTGTGGGTAAGCTATGCAGATGTTTGTCATTCTTTGTTTGTTTTATTATTTAGTTAATTTGTTTCATAGGGCACATGGTTCTTGGTTAAGCTGAGAATTTCCATGAATTTTCTGTGTTGAAATGTAAGAGCACTAAATAAACAGAACCACTTTTACAGATTGAGATTATGTTTTTGTATTGTATTTTGTCATCATGTAATGGGTTTCTTGATAAATGGTGCTACTTGCCAAAGTTAGTTTTCCTCATTTCCTAGTTAAACTAAAATTAAAAATCACTTCTACTCACAGCAAGTAAGATTTAACAGATGTATTTAGTTTTTTTTTCTGATGGCTTTGATAAGGGAAAAGGGCAGGGAAACTAGTAAGAAAATTTAAAAGAAGAAATTGTTTTCTCAAACATTGCTTGGAAGAGGGTGCTTTGTATTATTGCTCTAATTATCAGTGTGTCAATTCTCTTACTTTTTTCAGGTTTCCCTAACACCGGAAAGAGCAGCATTATCAACAGTTTGAAGCGGTCGCGGGTCTGTGATGTCGGGGCAGTACCTGGAATTACAAGGTTTGTCCTTCATTGTTCTGTACAATGATCTGCCATTTACTTTATCAATGAATTTAAGAAATTCTCCTATTAAGCAATAAGATAAATATTTGTCTGTACCCTTATACTACTTTCTTTGTAAAATAATGGCAGAATCTGTGGTAGGTTATGAGTGCTGCTTTAAGAGTTTTTCTTAAAAGATTATGTGACTTTTGATTTGATTTTGAAGTGCTGAAAAGAGCATTTGTTGTAACAAAACTTTTATCAACCTGGTATTTTGATTTCCCCGGTGCAGAGCTATGCAGGGTGTTCAACTGGATAAGCACATCAAACTGCTGGACAGTCCGGGTGTTGTCCTCTCCACATCCACCTCAGACGTTGCTGCAGTGTTGCGGAATGTTGTCAAGGTCTGTACACGTCTTTAGTGTGTCACCTAAACTCACTTGATGTAAGGATTTTTTTCAAAGCAAAACTTTAAATTACAATTCTAACTTTATTCGAAAAGTCACTCTGATGGTCCTCACAAAATGGTCAAGAAATTTTCACTTAGAGGAGAAAAGACTGTCAAATTAGGTTCCACAGCCAGATCTTATTTCACTCATTTACCTTTTTAAAAAAAAATGCAAATAAACCCCCCCCCCTTCCCCAGTGACAAGTTTTTGTTGTACATTTATGTTCTCGTTCTTATTTCTTGTGAGCTCACATGGAATGGTTTCTCTGAGCTTTTCCTTGAGATTTGGTGTGTCTCATACTTATTTTTAAAATACCTTATTGCTAAATTAGTACACGCATTATTTTTCCTTGAGGACGTGCTTTTCCTTTATAAAATGTTATTTGTAATTAAGGTGCACAGCGCAGTTATTTTGATGTTTATAAGAGGTTGTATTTGCTTTTATTTACAGCTGGAAGCTGTACAGGATCCAGTCCCTTGTGTGGAAGCCATTTTGAAACGTTGTCAGAAATTTCAGGTAAGGAACTTCTCTGCGTTGTATTCTCACAGTCCAACTTTTTACATTGCTTGTGATCGCTCATGCATGCACAAGAGCATACTTGGTGTGACTAAAAAGTTCCAGGATTGATGTCACAAAAGATTTATTTAAAACCCACACGTCACACTAGTTTTCCCCCTGGAATGTAATGCACTTTCCCACCTTCTCTGCCCATCTAATACCGGTACGCACTCATGGAAGGATTCTTCTGGGAACCTGTGCAGTTCCATCACCACAGCTTTTTTAAATGTCGTTCACATCTTTTATAAACTGGTCTCATTGATGACCCCCTTGAGCTTGGGGAAGAAGAAAAATGTCACACTGAGCCAGGTCGGGGAGTAGGGAGGTTGCTCCAGCACAGCAACGTTCTTCTCAGAACATTGTGAGCAGGCACGTTGTCATGTGAAGCAGCTACGTGTCATCCTGCCATAACAACTCTCGCCTCTTCTCATGCACTGAACGAAGCAAACACTGCAATATCTCTTTGTGCACATGTTGGGTGATCGTCTGGCCTTGTGGCAAGAACTCAAAAGTGGACAATCCTTCCTCACATTAGGAATGGGCAGGTACCGGTACCGAGTATCGGAACTCCCGGTTCTACCGAAGGAGGTGTCAGTACCGGCACCTGGCCTCCAGTACCGGCTCTAGGAAGGAGCCGACACCTAGACGTTCAGCAGAGAGTAAGAACGTATAGGCCGACATCAACGGTTTTTTAACCGGGCCACGGGAAGTGTGCTGTGTGCCTAGGCCTTGGCCTAGCAGCTGTGACATCAGATGCACACAACGCAGCTGGTGACCTGGATACATGACTTCAGATTCAAAATTGACAATCAAAAACGAAGTTTGCTAAAAAATTTAATATTATGGCATCAAATCAGGTCCCACGCCAGCCACTTTGTGTATTTTTATACGCTGATTCGGAAAATGAAATCAATTTTTAGTGGCGATAATTATTTTAAAAATTCTGCATGCAGAGTCTTATTCCGCGTGGCGGCAAACTTCAAAGGTATTTTGCGTCACAGTTCACCTCTCCAATTCTGACGTGTGTACGTTGGGGGGGGGGGGGGGGGGTATGCGGGCGGCGCTGATCGTGGTGTGAGACTCGAGACGCGAAGTCTGTTACGTCACCTACTGGTGTCACTACCGGTGCCGGTACTGGCGGTTCTCGACACCCAGTACCGAGAAAGTGTTGACCCTGGGTTTCGCCAGTACTGCCCAACACTACCTCACATCAAAGAATGTGATCTACATGACACTAACTTTGGACTCATAGCGGTCATCAAGGGCACCCATTGAAGATTTCGGACAACATAAAAAAGGCTGTGGCGTCTTTTCAGGAGTGCATGCATTAGTGGCAGAGAAGGATGGGAAAGTGCATGGATTCCAGGGGATTACTTTGAAGAGGGAAAACTCTGTGTGGAGTTTGGGTTTGAAATAAATGTTTTATGATGTCAGTCCTGGAACTTTTCTGAGGCACCTCGTACTCTCACACACATGTGCGTGGATACAGAAGAAATAAACGTACGGAAATCTTTTGCTTTGTAAGAGGACGAAATTTTGTGTGTGTGTTAGGTATCCCTATAGCCCTATTTCTTTCATTCAGGCAGTCAGTAGGTGGGGAGGTCATTGTATGAATTATCCTAGGTGAGGATGGGAACAAAGTAGAAGACCCCTGTTCTGGGTAGGGTCACCTTGTGCCTTGATTTCATGGTCGATTTCTGTTTTCTTTTCAGATGATGCTCCACTACAATGTTCCAGACTACAAGGACACAGTCGAGTTTCTCACTTTGCTGGCCCGCAGGATGGGCAAGCTGAAGAAGGGTGGAGTTCCTGATGTGACTCGTGCCGCACGAGTATTACTTCAGGACTGGAACAGGTTAGTGTGGGGGGCATAGAGGGCGTAAGACATGCAAAGTGAGATGTTAACTCACCTAGCCCCGCTCCCGCACCATATGCGGTTTGGTAAAATACGCGCCGTAAACCGTGACCGCAGCATATGCTGGTTCAATTGTAATTGACTATAAAGTAAACCCAGCAGTTTAAAAATGCATTTTGATTTATGAAGTTATCTATCTGATATTTTACTGTCACTTAAATTTGAACCAAAATTATCAAGAGTTAATAAACTTAGGGACACCTCGCCGTGCCATGCTTTGCTTTCGAGAAACTCTGCGAAAGTTCCTTACTTTTAGTTGTTCAGTCCGTTGGACAAATATCTCGTTTATTCGCACTAAAAAAGGTGAATATACACAAACCACACAGAACTAGCTTGTTGATATCCTGTTTAACCAACTGGGTGGTCCTTTGGGGCTTGGATGCAAATCAGGGCGTGGTGCTCAGTGAGTTAATGAATGGTGCCTTGGTGCCTCTTGTGGAGTTCGGTAGGATTTCTTCCAGGTTTTTTTCATGATGGTTTGTGCACATCCGCAATCTCTCCTGGTTTTTTTCATAAGTAGGTCACAGAAATCAAAAAGATATTTGTGGCTCCTGAACTAGGCCTTGTCAGTATGAGGAATCGGACCCGGACGTAGTTGTTGAGTTTTAGGGTAAGAAAGAAGAAAAAAACAGAACTAGAACTGATCACTGGACCATCCTTGAGCAAACAGAGAAGCGGGATAAGCCCAACAACATTGACTGACTGCTTTTTTAAATTTTAAATTCCAGTCTGTACTTTGAAAAATTTATACTGAGAGAACCAGGCGTGCTCACTAGGTAGTCAGTGAACTAGATCTATGTCAAAAAGTCAGATACTGTCAGGATCCATATACAGTCTAGTATCTACACAGCGAAATCTGTGGGATGCAGAAATCTTTTCGTTATTATGTGCAAATTTCGCAATGTATATGTAATGAAATTTGTAAGCTGTTTTCATTCAGAGAAGAGCTCATTATTCGTGATAATCCTAAATGTCTGTTATTTTTTCCCACTTTCCTGATGTATTTGGCTTTTTTTTTTTTTCAGTGGAAAGATTACATATTATACAGCACCCCCAGAAAAAACAGATGCAAAAGACTCATCAGTTCATATAGAGGCAAAGATTGTGTCCGGTTTTGCCAAGGAGTTTGACATTAATGAGATTGCTGAAGACGAGGCAAAGATGATGAAAGGTCAGTGGATGTTTATTGCTGTATTATATCCATTTCAAGACTAAACCCAGAACCATCATTGTCACTTTGTTGCTAACTAGAACATATGTGTGCAAGTTAGCTCAAATCTACATGTAGGTGGTTATGTATGTGGTCGTTTTGCAGTCTTAAGAAGTGAAGGGTAAGGCGTTGCTATGTGTGGTGGGTGAGCTGTGGCATTTTCAATCATTACAAGCTGCTTATTATTATTTACTTTACTCTCCTTACCATGTTAGGTCTAAAATGTCCCTTCCTCCTTGGACGTTAAAGGTCATCATCAGTTCCCGATGGAGGAACTATTATTAGTGCAAGTATCCTCATCTTCCTCTAAACCCTACCCCTATCTCTCTTTTTCTGGTACAAATCTGTGCATACAGTATAATCCACTTACATCGACAGCCGATGTATCGACATTTTGACATGTCGACATATTTTCCGATTACGAAATTTTTGCCTCAATATCTTCACTAAACAATTCCTCTTATATAGACTTTTTTCGGCCCATTCTGCTGTATCGACATGCTTCCTGGGTACCCGGCGAAGCCTACGAACTTAAATTAGGTGGGGGGGGGGGCACACTTACGGTCAACGCATTAGTTCTTCATTAAGTCTGCATTCCCGCCAAGTAACCTATTTGGCACATAACGCAGAGATGCCAACCAGTACGATTTTACGTATTTTAGTACGATTTTTTGCCGAAAATACGCGAATACGACTTTTCATGAAAAAATACGCATCCACGCATCCTGGAATGCGAAAAATACAAGATTCAGCTTGGGCGAGTAAACCTAATTATCTCAAGTCCCATCTTTAAAAATAGTATCAGTATCGCAGAACTGGAATATTTGAAAACCAAGTCCGATAAGGTCAGTAGGTTCATTTTTGCCGGTCGCCATTGTGATATTATATTCGTTCAGCTTATCCCGTCCGGGGAGTACGTTTCACTTTCACGCGTATAGGCAGCTATGGCGGCAGGCGGAAGCGTATGTGACACGTGACACCGAGGCTCGATCGGGAAAATCAAGATCTGCTTTCGCTACCACCAAGAAGTTTGCCAGCAGTTGTCTGATAACGCGTGGCATGCAGGTTGTGTAGTATAAACGCAATGTCGCCGTGCAAATAAAATGTAATAAACACTCGGACTCGTCGCTTTGGCTGTCGCTTGTAGAAAGGGGGAAAAAAAAAGAAGAAAATACAAGCGTCGTCAAATTTTTAGATTGTCTGGCTCGCCATCGTGACCGGTCACTGAACCTGCTCGCATTCGCATCATTAAAAAAATGCGGCATCGTGTGAGTAAAGACCGTCTTTGGTGGGAGTAACGGACGCTGCGAAATATATGACTACAGAATAGGGGAGGAGATTATTGATTTTTTTTGGGTTTAAGATAGGGGGGGTTTAAGGCAACACCAGAGGACAAAAACTTGGAAGCGCATTTCAGAACTTTGATTAGAGCTTTTAGAGCTTTCTGCTAAGCGTGCGTTGGTGCAGGCCGTGTGCGGAATCGGGACCCCCTCATACTTTGCAAGTCTGTGTTATTGAAATAAAGTGTTCGCGTTTCATTTGATGGGTGGAAGTAATTATACCTACTTGGATGGGTGATAGTAAATTATACCTACATCTACTTGGATGGGTGATAGTAAATTATACCTACGGTGTATGTTGTAGCTTTCTGTTCAAGACTGGCAGGTTTTCGGTGTCACTGCATCTGGTCCTCCCACAGTTGTTACAACTCTCACAGTGCACAGGTCTACTTGAGCCTTTCAAGTTATTGCTGTTCTCTGAGTTTGAGCAATAATTTGAGTCTTTCAGTTCATAAATGAATCATGACACCCAGACTGGTTCTTGATAGTCGAAATTCTTGTTCTAGACCCTTCCGAACTCTCAAAGCAGGATTTATTTTTTATGTAATAATTAGAGGAAAATATATAATAGATTGAAATACTTAAGTCAAACAAGACCCCTGTACGACATTGAACACTGGCATGTTGTTGACTGCATACATATATATTGTTCTCGTGTGTGCTCCCTTTTTCGAGCTGGTGAGCTAGTAAGTTTTACTATTACTAGTTGATCGGTCGTGGGGAATACACATTTTCCCCTGAAAATACACATTTTCATATTTCCCAATACTCATTTCGGTTTTCTGTGGTTGGCATCTCTGATAACGTCAGGCTTTAGTAGATCATGTAGGCCTACATGGTGGTGTAGTCTCCGACACAGTACAGTGCCTCACAGACTTGAGCGTCTCGCGTGCTGGGCATCGCCTCCCTATCCCCACTACCAATCGCTCACTTCCCTTCCCCATTCCATTCTCAGTCTGTCGCTGGCAAGTGCCCTGGTCAGCAAGTCAGTGCCTTGCCTTTCCATTTTCCCCAGCAAGCGGTCATAAACAGGCCTTACAAGGATGCTACCACAAAGTTTGCGCTGGTGTGTCGTGTGCGCCTCGCATTGCTCGGTCTTTGGTGCTGTAACTCCAACTCCTGCCCCACCCCTCTGCCTCTTGTTAGTTTCACTATGTAATGTAAGAATCAAGGGAAGCAACCAGCTTAAAAAGTAGTGTTGTCTATTTACCGCTGACTTTCCCTTGTTTTTTCCTCTTTGGCTTTATATTTTATATATCGACATTACTTCGTGGAGCATGTTGATATTTATAAGCGGATTATACTGTATGCAGAATTGCAATGAGTTTGGTAAGGAGATGGTGATTTTGGTTAAAATTGTTCAGAGCTGTGATAATTTTTTTGGTGTAAATCTCTGACCCCACAGGTCAATCGTTTGCATGTGGTTTTACACTCCCTTCCCAAACAGTACAGATTGCTGCAAAAGTATAGTAATCAAGTAAAATGTACTCGTGAGTAAAGAAGTGGTAACAAATGGGCAGTGAGAGCAAAATGATAAGGGTGACGCTTCTGTGGTTTTTGTCTGCTTACATTCTTTTCTTTTTTCTTTTATTTTTCCAGACCTGCCCGCAGCTGGGGCCCAACACATGCTAGTCCCGGGCATGTCTCCTCTAACAGCTGTGCTCCAAGAGAAGGATCTCGACAAGGAGGATGATGTTGTTGATGAGGATGACATGGGAGATGGCTCTGATGAAGATGATGAAGAAAATGCTGATGATGAAGTAATGGAGGATGACTCAATAGATGCTGATGAGGTATTGCTAACAGAGTTTGGGGGGGGGGGGGGGGGGGATGGATCCTGTCAGTCTCTGACTTTGTGACATAGGGGGGGGGGGGGGGTTGTCAGATTTTGAGAAACTTGTCTTCACTGATAGTTGCTTCTTTCATTGTGTCATTCCTTCAAATACTCTTTTTCCCACCCTCTTTTCTAACTCTAGTTTTATTTTTAAAATAATTTTTGTACTTAGCTGACTCACATTTTGATACCAGCAGCTTAAGTATATATCCATGACATAAAAGATATCTCAGGATGCTTCCAAACGAGATCAGTATTTCTTAAGTACAAATGAAATGAAAAAGCTAGATGCACTCACTACCAGGGGGCTCTCCGGGTCTAGAGGTTATGGTGTTCGCCTCTCATTCAATAGGTCCTGGGTTTGATACCTGACAGGGACGGAAAATTTTCTTCTTTAAAGTGTTCTCCTTTAACCTCCTTCACTGCTCTCTAACAACGTTCTGTCTCTGCTTTCCTCACCATTTTCTGCGCATCCCATGTGTAAGTTCGGCTCGTTAAAGACCCTGTGGTGGTAAAAGATCTATAAGAGTAGACTTCGGCTGCTACCCGCACAAAATAAAAAATTTCCTATCAACTGAAAATGTTTAACGTGTCCCGCGCGCTCATATGACCTTATGCAGTTGCGAGTGCCATAAAATTTACTAAAAACAAAACAAAGCACTCACTTCCCATGTTTTAAAAGCTTTTCTACCTATGAATGTAGGACGTACCTTTCATTTTTTAAGTTTTAATACCAAATTTGACCCGTAGCCCTAGTCGAATGGGATGGTTTGCATCATAGTACTCACTTCAATTCTCAGTTTTTTATCTGACAGAATCTTTGACATTTGATTCACTGTTTGAGATGAAAATCTGAAAGTTTAAAACCCTTCTGCTTTCAGCTGAAAGGTGTGAGTGTGGTCCCTAGTGCCAGGAAGAAGCCAGGACTTGAAAAGAAAGCCCCAACTGCCCAGATTGACTTCCGACACAGAAACTTGAAAGAGAGGAACTCTCTCAAAACTGTCGGAGGCCTCATCACCAAGAAAGACAAGAAAATTTTGGACAGAAAAACAAAAAAGAAGAAAAAGAAAGCTGGTAAGAGTGCAGAATTTGAAGTGGCGGATATTTTGGTGACTGCCTGCATTGTGCTTGTATTGTTTATTTTCTAGAGAATGTCATAGTGTGATGATTTTGTTTTGGTTCCTCTTATCCTACTAAAGATCGGAGGATATATATGATTTAGATTGTCCACCTTTGTTGGCGGCGCCGCCGCCCCCCCCCCCCCCCCCATCAAAAATTTGTTTACCTCTACTTTAGACCTGCATGTTTGCCGACAATCGTCTGAAATCGGACAATCGCGACCCTGACCCGCGAACCAGCCGATGCTATCGCTAGGCCCACCTGTATTAGTCAATGTTCGAAGTGCGAGGCCTGGCCGTGTGCCAGCGACCCCTTTTTCTCCCGTCGGCTTTGTCGGCACTTTCGTTTTCGTGTCGGCTGCCGACGCGCACACCGCCGGCTGCCGACGTCGGCGTTTCCAACATAATTGTCGGAACCTGAGTAGAAATACGAATACGAAAAAGTACGACGACTTAAAGTATCTTCTTTCAGTTTCTTGCTCGAGCGGCCATTTTGAATTTCGTTTGTTTACTGATTGTTCAGATCATGTGGCTTCTTTCAAGTCCGACTCGCTTGTTCTACTCTAGATCGAGATTTATATATAGATCATTATAGACCTCAATGGAGGATTCATATTCCAATTCTATTGGGTCAAACCATATTATAGGTTGTGCTGTAATATTAATGTTGGTAAAACGCATTTTATCAGGTGCGTGAATTATTTACTTAAAATAAAGATCTAATCTAGATCTAGATCATCTAGCCCCCTAGACTCAGCTGAGTCCCTCTCTTCGGAATCGGATGCGGATGCGGATTTCTCGTTCAAGGCCTAGATTCTAGATCTATTCCTATTCACTTGTTCTACTAGATCTAGATCTAGATTTATTTAGATCACTGAGATCTATATTGAGGATTCATAGATCTTTATCCAATTCTATTGTAAATCAAACAATATAGGCCATATTATTTTTATTATAAATTATAAATGCTCCTTGTTTGTTTTGGAGTGTGCTTATTTCTTTCCTTTTTTTTTTTTTTTGACTTGTGCTGGCCTTTTTACATGAGAGCAGTTGCAGGTTCTTTTTTGGGTTAGGCCTAGGGGTAGGCCGATAGGGTTTTGGTTAGGGTTAGGTCTTTTCTTTATTGTGTTTGTTCGGGTGGTCGCTCGTTACTCGGAAATCCTTCCTTTTATGACACCCACAATTTAAAAGCTCTAAAGTTAGGGGGGGGGGGGGTTGCACAAAATTTTCAGACAATCTGGTTGAGGCTCACATGCAGGTCTACTACTTGTATTTTAACTCACTGGAGACTGACGGAAATTTCGGAGCACAACCTCTCAAGACGGGCATTTCGGGGCATATTTTGATAAGCTGTATCTCAAAAACTAATAAAGCTATCACTTTCTCCTTTGGATATGTTTTTACTGAAATGACAAGGTTTCCAACAAAAATAAAAGTGAAGTCATTATCTTTATTAGTTTTTTAAATACACCCATGTAGATTTTGATAAAATTTTATCTTGCGCATAAATTTTGGAGACATTATATACATGCAAAAAATAAATGAAATACAGCCGTGTCATCATCACAACCATCCCCAGCTGCAACACTTGCTATTGTAACATCTTGTAGATCTAAAACTTCTTCAATTTCAGTACATTTGTCTTTACTTTTAGTAGCAGATCTTCCTTTTGGATGGATCTGGTTGGTCATGGTCTGAAACATAACTGTCGTCAGTTGACTCACTATCACTAGATCTAGTCAATCTATCCTTATTTCGTTGTTTTACCACAAATTGTGGATCCCCATCAGAGTCATATTCAGTATCTGATATATCAGAGTCTGCGTCATCAAAAATTTCGAAGTCGTTTCGTCTGTTCTTACGCTTACACTTTCGTTTTCGATGTGCATTCATGTTCAGTTTCACTGAAGAGGAATTGCTATTTTCGTTGTTCTGGGGTGGTCGTAGTTTTTTTATTTACCAAAAGTTTGGTTCGCTTCCTATCAAAACTTAGATTGCAGCTAATGGTGTAAGAGTGGTGACTGCGTTATTCTGAGGCCACTTCTCGCATATGTTGCGTGATTTACCCGTTGTTTTTCGCTGGTAGCGTCAATATACTTGTCCCGCAGCCACGGCACGCGTCCTGGGTGAGTTAAAAGGTGAATTTGAATTTGTGTGTGGGAAGTTAAATAAAATTTCAAAGATATTTCTCCCTCTCTTAAGGTCACAAATTCAGCACTTTTTCATATTCAATGTTACAACAGTTTGCAAAAATATTGAGAACCTTTGAGAATGGTTGTCAACTCTACTCTGCTTTTCTTCTTTCACAGATGCATTAGCTGGAAAATTGTCAGATGCGATGACGTCTGCATTGTCTGCACTGTGATGGACTTCAACATTTTTATGAAGATCAGACATGTTGAAAATTGAAAATAAACATTTTGTACAGTATTTTGGTCAAGTCTTGTATGAATCTGAATGAATGTGTAGATTTATATGTTATTTTATTGCTTTAAAAAAAAAAAATTTCTTGTCTATGGTACAGTGAAACTCACTCCCTTGAATCTGTCAAGTCTGGCATGCCTTGGTTTTGTTTGTTTTCGGTTTTTAAAAATTTAAGTTTTATGGCACTTTCAACACAAATAGGTCGTACAAGTGATGAAGATTAGAGGTTTTACTAGAGAGTAAAGAGAGTAGCATACAAAGAAATGGAGGAGAGATAGATAAGGGCGATAAATATTTTTCAGACCGACTCAGAGATCGTGAGCAAACCACCCAGTCCGTCATTCAATTTCGCTAGGTCTTCAACAACCAGTATGCATGCCTATCTTGGTTCAGCTCTTGCTATGTTCAGTTCCTGGACTAATCAGTCCTCCAAAAATCAATAAACTGTTGGGCCCTGACACCAGAAGACCAGTTAGAAAAATCTCTCCCCCTCTATTCATAGATGTTCTGGGGCAGGAGGGGAAAAAATACACACGAACACTACACGATATCTCTTTTCACGAATTTTGACAAGTAATTTTGTCAGCAACCCTCACGTCACACTCAAATAGTATAGCCTGCTTTACAGATACACACAAAACCAGTGGGTTTTTTTTCGGCACAACGGACTTGCATGTCACTTTCACTGTCTAGTTTTATAATGAATAATGTATCCATTTTTGAACAGCACACCTTTCTTTTACAATCCCCACAGTGCACACTTGTCAGAAAAAGAAAATGTCCACGATCTGATACTACACCAGTGTGTTGGCAATGCATACATAGGTACAGTGGAACTCGGATTTAACGAGCTCGGATTCAACGAGATGAGATAGATTCCCTGGGTTTTTTTTTCTTCTTTAAAATAAATAAAAATAACCCGGATTCAACGAGCACTTAAATCAGCGAGGTCGCTTCCAGGGTGAACTGCCCCCGCAGACGTGGCTTCGCTCATTTTTCTCCCAGAACGAACTTCATCTATTCCCAGAAACCATCCATTGCAACTGCATCGTGAACCATTATTCACTTAGCCGATTGCATGCGACCAATCAGCGGCCTTTTTTTTCATACCAACACATACGTTGTTGGCTCGCGCACGTGTCTACTCTGGCGTGTGTCGGAGTCGGATGGGCGGCCTGCACACATGTGACTGTGTGTGTGTGTCGGGGAGGGAGGGGGCGCACTAGCGATCCGGGCGTTGAACGTCGCAGATACAAACGCGTCAAGTCTTTTTTTCTCCTCGGCAACTGATCATTATTATAATGATAAACTAGTCTTGACATAGATCTTCGTAATGAATTGTGCGCTTGTCTATGAAATCAAAAGTTGCCGTTATGCTAGGATCTACACAGCAACACAACTTTGTGGTAAACAATCGAGATGACACAGGAATGCATTTGAACGAATCTGTCTTTTTTTTTTGCCGGCATTTCAGGCACTATTTGTGACTTCTCTTTATACATTACTTGCTCAGTGCCTGTAATTATCTACACAAAACCTCATGTTTGCTATATAACGAACACTTGGATTCAACGAGATTTTAGGTCAGGCCTGGCGACTTCGTTGAATCCGAGTTCCACTGTACAGGCACCTGAAAGTTCAGTGAAAGAAAGCAGTTCTTATTGGTCTCGCACAATAATGGCTTCTTGGTTTTTATACCTTTTAATTTTAATGATTCATGGTCAGCCCAAAAGATGGACGTGTGCGTGGGTGGCGACGTCCACATCAGGCAAGCAGGGATCACAAGAATGCCATGGCCAGCAAACAGTCCCGACTTCAACCCCATTGAGAATATGTGGGGTGAACTTGGCCGGAAAGTCCAACAGTACCGGCCACCATCAGCTAACCGACAAGAGCTGCAATCAAGGCAGCGTCGCCACATGGTGTTGATGGTGGTGGCAATGAAGGCCTGGGGAAGGTTTGCCCACTTCTGCTGCAGGATCTGTTGCAGCTCTTGTCGGTTAGCTTGTGGCGGCCGCTACTGCTAGACTCTCCGGCCAAGTTTACCCCACACATTCTCAATGGGGTTGAAGTCGGGACTGTTTGCTGGTCATGGCATTCTTGTGATCCCTGCTTGCCTGATGTGGACGTCGCCACCCACGCACACGTCCATTCTCAATGACAATGGTTTCTTGATTGGACGCCTGGCACGGATGTTGGCAGCTTCTAGAGGATGTCGACTGGCCTGGGAGCTCACCGCCGTGTTGGTAGCAGCACGCAGACGATGCCTGATGCTGTTGGCTTTCGCAGGGCCTGCATGCGGACATATTGGTCCTCTCTCTGAGTGGTCTTCTTGGGTCGACCTGCACGTGGGCGGTCTTGGGCTGATTCAGTGGCTTGATGGCGCTGCTTCAGGAGGACAATGACAGAATGTGACACCGCAACTGCAAGCCTTCTGGCAACTTCTCTGGGTCCAACTCCATCATGCAGCCATGCCATAGCCCTCGCACGATCAAAGTCTCTCAGCTTTCGTCTTGGTGGCATGTTGATGCGATACTGAATTTTGCGCAAACGGCGGCTTATTGCCACCAAAGTGAACACAGTTCAAGACCATACTTCATTTTATCACGTGCACCAGCCGAGGAATGTCCTTTGTGTTGCACACAAGTCGATAAAAGCAGCACATTTGGCTAAAATTCCCCGAGGATTCCCGTACTGCACGTGGTCATTTTGCCCCTTTAGGAAGCGTTGCAGTACGCATTGTTAACCCATTAATATTTTCAGAGCAAACAATTTTAAAATATTTCTTGCTGTCTTTTTTTCAGATTAAAAAAACAATATTAGGGCTGACTGTCAAGGTGGTCCTTTAACTTATGTTTAAGTCTGTAGACCTCATAATAACCAGCGTATTTTACATCCCCATTGACACAACTTAGATCATGTAGGAGGCGGGCTTCCGACCCTGTCTGTCAGGGCCAACTCGGGCTAAGACTAAGAGAGATACAACATCCCAGCAGAAAGACCGAGATACTCGCTAAAAAATGCTCCACTCCGGAAACAAACTCGGATCTCCTTACGTGCGACAACGAAGCGCCTAGACGTTATGTTATACCACAGATGCTGGACACCAACGTTTAGAGGAGATGAACGTTTGTTGTTGCAGAAAAATTGTCCACTGTGACTAATGGCCCAGTTACACGCAGGGGCCTAATGATAAACTGTACAAAAACTGGGCGATCTAGCAATCATACGATAAATCTTTAGGTGTGACCAAAAATTGTACAAAATTTGGACCGTGGCTTGGAGACTCGGTCGAGAAATCAAGCGCTGCTTGATATTTTTTGCGCGATCACGTTCAGATTAGGAGGAGACGTGCTGTGACATAGAGTCACTTTGAAACTTGCCGCCGCGCAGGATTAAACTTAAACTTGGGTCGCAAAATTAAAAAAATAAAATCATCGCATCTGAAAACTGATTTCATATTCGGAATCTAGAGATACAGTGTTCGTTCTTCAGTCATTCATTAGGTCCCGGGCTCGAAACCTTCACACAGAGTGCAGGCAAATCGATGTCGTCACAAAGAAACATGGTGGACTTACGACGTGGAATCTCCTCGGTCGAAAGAAAACTGGACAATAGACTGGAACGGGTAAACAGACAACACAGTTCGATAAAACGGACAGTTCTCGCATACGACGAATCTGATACAATTTATCGTTGTGTGTAACCGGGGCTTAAGAATAAGATGCTTCAGCTTGGGTTGCATGTTTTTGCAGGGCAAGCTATTCCTTGGATTCCAAATTTGCCTTTATTCAAGGGTTTGGGACTACAAGGTAGGTAATTTTTTGGCTTTCCAGTCCCTGATCCCATAATCCACAAGGATCGTAGGGGCGCCGTACATGTAATAACAGAGAGCCTTGTCAGGTGCCTCCACTTTTCACTTTAAAAAAAAATTATTTTTTAAAAAGTGAGCACCCGAGTTTGGATGAAGGATTTCCCTGTCCATTTTGCAAAAGAACAACCGATCCGGTATGGTATCCTATCATGCAGCGAGTCTTGGGCTGGTGAAGCCTGGCGGCGCCCATCCCTCTCCAGGCTAGGCCACAGCCAACTTCCTCCAATACCCAGGCCTTGACCTCGAGCACGTGGTCGTTGTCCTTCCTTTGGGAAGTCTCGTGTGCTGTTTCTCAAATCTGCTATTGAGAGGATTCAGCGCTGGATGTCAAAATTAAAAAGTCTTTATATGTGGTGGTCCAGGTCAGCACTCAAGAAGGTCCATATAAACCTGGTCTTGTGCTTTTCCGTTTGACATTGTATTTTGGTACCGTAAATTAGTAACCGTTGTACATGACTTGCAACACAATCAGGTCACTACTACTACTACTACTACTACTAGCAAAATTAAGAACTGGTCACTTCTCTGGGCTTCGGGCCTACTACTATTATTACAAATAGTACAAACAGAACAGACAAACTATCAGATCTGTCCATTGTGCAGCGAGAAGCCCCAAGATTTGGAACACTGTGGTTGCAGAGATGCCCCGTTACGGAGGTCCGGCGGTGACATCTCTCTGGGGAAGATTCAGGGAGGCTGGACTGCCTCATCCGCTACCCAAGAGAGGCCAGGTCATTCATTTTAAGTATAAGTGCCACAGAGTAGAGGTGTTACAAATGTACTAGCGTGTAAAAAACAGACAAAAGGAGGAAAGATAAGGACGATAGAATAGATGTCTGATAGAACAGGAAAGAAGTTAATTACACAAGAGCATCTGCCAACCACCCATCCTTGTAACTTGACGTTGTAACTGCTGTGCCATGTAAAGAAACCACAGCAGGTGGTTGGTGGGTGCTCTGGTGTGGTGTGCTCCTTTATGATCAAATATCTGTCTCCTCCTTTTTTGTGTTTGTTACAGTTACTCTCTTGTAATACCTCTTATCTTTGGAACTTGTATAGCCTAATTGTGTTGCAAGTGCTGTACAATAAAAGGTTTACTAAAACAAAAAGAAACCACAGCCGTGAGCAAATCTTTTGACACATTCCACTCTCAGTGTTCCTCCACTCAACCTCAGGGCAGGAGACCGCAGATATTATGTAGCCTACATGTATACATGTGTATATGCCTCAAAACTCGAAGGAACTGGTTTTTGTGTATGTAGCATAGCAACTACCTCCAGAACTGAAAAGTGAAGGGGTGGAAATGGAAAGGGGCAACGCTAAATTTTAGATGTAATAGGTTGCCTAGTTTTGTACATGTATTTCTCCAGGACCTTTGAATGTTGAAAAAAGAGTGAGCACTTTTTTTCTGTATTTATTGCGATGCATGCATTTATTTATTTTCATTTTCTAATTTCTAGGATTAAAATGGTCCAAAATTTGTTGATTTTTCAAACAAAACTGGTTCTATGAACCGCAGATTATTTAGGTGCTGGATAAAATAATTGAAGGAGAGTGTATGTGAATGCCAACTTCATTCTTATTCTGTATACGGGATTAAAAATAAGGATTTTTTTTTGGGGGGGGGGGGGGGGGTAGTTGGCCAGAGAATTGATAAAACTTGATGTAATGGGCAAAAGACATATGTGTAGATTCTTAGTCTTAAAACCTTAGAACAAGTACAATGAAACTCAAATACATTAATAAAGTTGTTGGGCCTGACCTTCAATTTAGCTGAATCTGAGGGTTCATAGCAATTTGACCATCAAGCTGCATTGCAGTATAGGGTCTAGCATACGGCACTGTTTGATCCTCAGACTAGCACGCAATTCATTACATACATGTAGTTGCATTATACATATATTCTATGTCTAAGCTAGCCTATCATAGTGCAGTAGCCAGGGAGGGGAGGTATGATTGTGAAGTGTCTGAGTCTCTGCTGACATTCCACAGCTAAAACACTAGTTGTTCCTAGGCCCTTCTCCTAGACACACGCAGTATCACTACAGCCACAAGTCTGCTCAATTTCCATCCGACCTCTCCCGATTCTGGCACAAGCCGCCATACATGTAATTTCTTGAGGGCTTGTCAGCAAAGCACATATTGTGTTGGTGTGAAAGAAGGCTTGTGATCGGTAGCATAAGATGTATGCAACAGATTAGGGTAAGACATGAAATGATCCACAGTGTATGTGCGATCTATGGTCCCTTGGACTTGGAATAGAGTAGTTAAGCTGAGATTGGCGGCACCATGCAATTAGATCCACCAACAGTCGTGGCAGCATTGACAGCATTATTCAACGACCAAAGAGAGGATGAAGGCACGACATCACACACAATGGAAAAACCAAGGGAAGCTCATGTCTCTAGAGGGTCGGGGAGAGACAGCAAACCTGCATGGAAAAGCTAGAAGAATATCCAACCAGCTGATAGCTGGCACGATCAGCAAGCAGACCCTTTCATGGATCCTGGAGAGGAGGAATGAGCAGCATGGCATTGTGCCACCTACACTGATGCCTATTCTCCAACTAAGTACAATGTAAATAGTAAGCTGCAGGAGAAAAATGCACAAAGCCTCATTAGTGGGAGCTCTTTGCCAGGAGAGATTTCATTGAATCGGAGTTTACTCATTGAAGTGCTTATTGAATCCTGAGTTATTTTGTTGACTTTAATGAATTAAAAAAAAACCCACACCCCCCCCCCCCCCTTCCCAGGGAATCTGTCTCCTTTTGTTGAATCTGAGTTTTTGTGGTATTCAAGTTTGTTGTATCTAAGTTTCACTGTATCAACAAGCAGGTAAAAACTGCCTTTTTTGTTTTTGGTTAGGTAAGTGTTCTATGTTGATCGAAACTGCATAAGGTCAAATACGCGCATGGGACACAGCATTTTGAGTTTGGTAGCGGTAGGAATTAATTTTGAATTTTGCCTGGGTGGCAGCTGAAGCCTACTGTTAATGTTATCGATTTTAGGACCACCAAGGGATTTTTAAACTGCACAACTTGCACACGGGACCTCCAAATTTTTTTTCGCCCATATCCGAGAAAAGGTTATGTTAGATCTTAGGGCCTACCTACCCTAAGATCAGAGGTATGGTTGAAAGGCAGCAGTAAGGAGGAGCCAGGAGTAGCAGTAGAGAGAGTCAAGAGCCCAGAGGAGGGGGTACAGAAAGTGGAGAGGAAAGCAGATGACATAAAATAATTAGAAGGCAGGAAAGGTGGTGAAAGGAGAACATTTCAAAGAAGAACATTTTCTGTCACTGTCGGGGAAGAATGCGGGACTTATTGAAGGAGAAGAAGCAAACACCGTACCTCTACACCATGAGAACCCCCCCCAAAAAATGCCTTTGAAATTACGTGTCATGCTCATAACACCAAAAGATATACATGCGCACTCATATGACCCTATGAAGTTGCGAGAGCCATACATCACTTACAAAGAAGAAAAAAAGAACATACCATGGGCGCTCAAGAGAAAGACTACCAAATTAATAAATTTTATTGATATTTCATCCCACAATCATTTCAACCGTACGTTAACCTTTTGCTAGTCTCTTTATTTACAGATTGAAATCAAAATGAAACCAAAGAAGTCTTAAAACATGCAGTTGCAGTCTGCAAATCTGATTAAGTATGACTTGATTTTTTTTTAGGTGCGTCTTCTGACTGACCATGCATATTAAATGTGTAGAAAAGGTTGAAAATTGGTCAAATGATTTTTGGGGATTATTAAGTTACAAAGTTGATAGTTGGAAAATTTCTTTTTGAGAAAACATAAAAGTTTGGAAAATATTTCTATTGCACCCTAAATGTATCAGACTAGCATTCAGTGTTAGGATGCAGAGGTTGAAACTGAAATAACACTACATGAACTTCAATTGCGGTCACAATGCAACGGTTGAAATTGAAATTATTATACTACATGAACTTCAACTGTAGTCAGTACACGATGGTTGAAATTATATTGCTGGGTATGACAGTGCACTTAACTCAAAGCAAGAGCACGCAGACGTTTATGGCACTGCCCATATTAACCAAATGGAAACATGCCGCGTCTTTTGAAGTTTGTAACATTTTTAAAACAACCTTTTCAGTGGTCAATGATACTCAAAAATAAAAGCAGAGACTGAAACTTGAAAATTGCTATCAAAAAGCATTCCACATACGAACAAGTATATTTTCAATTCAATTTCATGGAACAAAATAAATCATACTTTTATATACACGAATTTGAAACAGTTTGGCACAGACACACATCATTGTCATACTGACAATAAATGATAAATTACATACACATAGTCATGTAGATATGACTCAAAAACCTTTCTCACAAAGAACATACCACAATTTGTAAAAAAATATATGGCAAATTTATGAACCAACCATTTCATGGTGATAAAACTGAAATAAAACGTTTCCAAATTTCACTTTCAACAAACTGCAAAAATGAATGCATATGTTATGAGTTACATTCAACTGAAGACCACAGAAATGTCTCTAAATGTGCCTTTGAACTTGAACTTTTACTACTTTAAGAATTCTTAAAAGTTGTCACCTTAATCTCTGCAAATGTTGCTCTATTTTAAATCTAGATATCTACACATTTTCATAACATTTTTTTACTGACACAAAAACAATGAAAAAAGAGATTTTGAAAAAAAAAAGTTCAGCCACCATAACAGGGTCTTGGAGAACTGCTATGAAAATCAACACACTGGGTAATGGTACAATTAGTTTTCCAAAACTAAAATATTGATCGAAACAGAAATTGTGACAAATGCAAATAATACTTAAACCCATATCACACTGACCCTCAAGTATTATTACTATTAGGTGTCACAAAATAAAATTCAAAGTTCATGCAATCATATTTTTCTAGTAGTATGACTGCCAGCACATTAACACAGAGAAAGAAGCCCTGCAGAAAGGATGAGTTACTTTATAAGCCACAAATAAATGCACAGGTAAATCTATAAGGTAGTAAAGTAAGATATAATGAACCAATCGGCTTCCTGATGTTGTGCATCCAATTGTATTGGGGCTTTTTCTTAGAAAGAACACTACATTTTTTAAATTTTCAGTAAGTACATGTACAGATCTCACTAATCAAAGAATACACAAATAAAAGGCCCTTTGACATTTTGTTAATTATTCCCTCTAAATGTCATGTGTCTGTAGTATGTAGTATAGTATAAGGTTCTGTGTACGCTTGACCATTACAAAAAATAATTCCCCAAAAATGTCTCATCAGACATGGGTTTTAAAATTCACTCTGAAAATTATATAAAATGACAACTTATTTACACCGCTGCTTATTCGTCACAACTGAACAGCATTTGAGTCTTTAAAAGGACCCTGGCATAATAACTTTTAAAAACCAATATATATATATATATATGTACGTACCCTATCTTGATTCAAACAAACGCTGTCTTCACCTACAACAACACAACAGGTAATTCCTGAACCATTTCAATGGATTTGGAAAAATGTATTCAACACACAACAGCTTACATCACATGAATCATATATTCTCTATCACAACAATCACGGGTGGGCACTCACTCAACTTTCCTGGCATTCTGGATTTTGGATTTGTTATAGAATAAGATCAAGAGTGGAGTGCCTTGCTCCTGAAATGAAAACCTAAGAATTTTTTCCTAAGAGCTGAACTCAATCTCGAACAATCAGCTTGACCCATATATAAAAATACACGCACTAAAACTTTCTACCACATAATTATGACTTAGCAAAATGGATTTTTCATTTGCAAGAACACACAGGGTTTATGGTGAATGAGGAGAGGTAGTCACACGCTTTCTTCGGCTAGATTTTGATTTTATCCACACAAAGTATGCAATAAAATTCATGCACACACATCTCAACAAACAAAAGAGCAGTCATGCTGAAAAATGACAGCAGACTGGCAATGTAAGAATGTGCCCAAGTGAATGGAATGTCTTTCTCCATAGAAATACTTCAAAACACGTTGAACTGAAACCCCAAAAGGCTTTTGAATTTGAAATGTTATCTTCAAAGAGACAAAAGCTGACATGACGACAAAATTTTCCCTATATTTTAAACTCATCTCTGTCTAAACATGAAAATGCCACTCTCTCAGTCTTAGCTCTGCCTTTTCTTTCAACTCCTCCATCCTTTCAAAACAATACAGTTCAACCTGCTCTGACACTAACAACCACCCTGTCCAAAACAATCACTTCCGTGCAAACAACCACTTCCCATTTCCCCTCTTGCGTTGTTTCATAACATTACAATGACACTGTCCAAGACTTCCACCTGTCTAAGAGAACCACATCTTTCCTTGACAATGGGTGGCCGCTGTGGACAATTTCTACAGTAGTGCAATTACATCCAGACTTCGTTACAATTTATAAAGACATTCTTTACATGCATCCATAAATTATCCCACAATAAATGTTGACCATGACTTTAATACAATGTACATGTCCCTCTTAAATTCCCTCTTCATAATAAAGTCACTAAATTTGTTAGTAGGCTACTTCAATCATAGTTGAATAACAAAAAAAATATAAGTGGACATTTTTTTTCCTATACAGCATAACATGGCTTCACAATGCACAAAATTAAAAACAAGCAAAACGCTGAACTCAAGATGGTCACTCAAAAGATAAAATGATTTTTAAAATCACCCCATGCTGAATAGGTCAAAAGGTTGTGAAACATACACGAGCGACTCGCATGAAAATTGAAATTGAAGAACAAAACTGAAGAGGAAAAACCTCAATCAAATGCTTTCCTCAGAAATGTTGAAAAGTGGTGGGTTGGACACGGAAATTAAACCAAAAAATCCCTCAAATCAGACACTCACATTGTAGACACAGTGCTGATAAAAATGCAAAATTGATGTAACAATAAAGGTAATTAACACTTTCTAAACAAGTTTCCCATATGGAAAAACATGGTTAAAGTAATGAGGAAGAAGTTTACACACTTGTGTAAGAAGTAATGATTGAGCACAAAAACCAATAATAACCTCACTTTCACTTGCATAGCAAGAAATAAAAATCATTTTAAATTAAAGCATGCCCTCTCTTCCTTAGTACATTTGATCCTCCATACTATAAATTAAAAAAAAAAAGAAAACGAAACACACAACTTATTTTCTTCACTCCATATGAACTTCAAACGATGGAAGATGTGAAGAGGCACTTTTGTTATAAAGCAGCACTTCAACGCAATAGAATTCTTGAGATGGCAAATACTTTTATAACACCTTAAAACGTGCATACCCCAACCCCCCCCCCATCCCAATCACATTGACACCACTGGAAACATTTTTATAAGCCTAAAACATTGTAAAAATAGATAATGTACACATTTTTTTCAAATCAAAACATTCATTGTTAAATACTTAAGAAATTCACAACTTCCTTACAAAAAATATTAACTTACTAAAAAAAACACCCCACAAACGATGCACAAAAATAAATTTCTTAAATTTAGTTCCAACACAAATAACTTTCATAATGAATCCAAAATTTCTTAAAGATGATTTTGATTTATTCTTTCCCAGTTAATATAGTAAATTCTGGCCCACCGACTGAAGTCTCTCATAACAAAGCATTGTCCGTCAAAATAAAAAGCTGATGGAAGCAATAATGTCAAAACACAGATCATTGCACCTGGAAGACTTAATGCGAGTTACTTTGATATTTTTCATTACATACATCTATGAATATGAGGGACACAATGGCATTACACCTATCGGCAACAGTCAGATCTACTTAGTAATGGCAGAAAGTCAAACTAAAATTATGAGGATTAGTGAACCTTTGCTGAGATTTAACTTGGCTCTATCAACAATAATATCTCTTCATCAATCACATTGAAACCCCAAAGTATCTGAACATTTTAAGCTTCATTCCTTTGGAAAGACCAAAATTAGGTAGGCCCTATTCATTTTCTATGTATAAGTTTTCTCCTTACACTGTCTCTTTTAAGTAGTTAGATAATTATGATGTGAAAAGAGTTAAGTGTTCAAAGTTCTCCGAGGTAAAAACCTGTGGTAAGACAATGAGATAGACAACTGAAGAGGAAAGCTTTAAAGAGAGGCTACGTGCCACTGGAAGGATTTACAGAAAGACCTGGAAAAATCTGGAGTTAATCAAGAGTTAGAACTAGAGTAGGGAGATAAAATTGCCTATAATTTTTCTTCCAGTCCCAGTTTCTCTTCAGTGCTCGAACTTCATTTGATCAAATATGCACTGGTGATTCCGATGAAATCATCAAATATTTTTGGTAAAATGGCATTTAGCCTCCCTTTAGAACTTCAATGGCAAGCTGCAAACACTTAACAACAAAAACATGAGAATTTCAAGAGGAATTTCTGAGCATATGGTTGGGCGACACCGATTACATGATGATCTGTGGGTCTGGGACGGATTCTCCTATAGACTTGTGTGGCAAAATTCGACCACCATTGATGTAAAGTTCATCCTTTACGATGACGTCTTCTCCAAGTACTGTCACATTTTCCATACGTACCTGTGAAAAGAATATTAACCATACTGACCGTTAAAAAACTTCATTCAATCATAAGAACATGTCCTTATCATAGAAGCCAACCCCCCCCCCCCCCCCTCCCAAACAAAATATAAGTAAAGAGAAGAACATTGAAAGTTATTTAGCGACAGGCACAACCGAGAGAAAGAAAAGAGGTAGGACCTACCAGTTGCACCCTCAAACCAATCCACAACCATGGCAAGAACATAAACAAAATCAACACAGTAAGGAAAGAAAATATTTGGTTGAAAAAATACAGAAGCCAAAAGAAAAATAGAATAGACATGAACAAACCAAACCCCATAAAACAGTAGAGTGATATTCATAAAATGGTATCGAGACTTTCATCTCTATAATTTTAACACAGGTCATCAATTTACACCAAACGCACACAAACACAAATCTTTACAGGCTACAGCACATGGCTGACTAAAAATACCTACCCAGTTCCCAACTACACACTTCCAGCCTATAATACATGACTCCAACCATGAGTGAGACTTGATATGTGCTTCTTTCAAAACTGTGCAGCGCTTGATGCACACTCCATCCTCAATGACCACATTTGGGCCAACAGTGACATTGGGCCCTATTCTACAGTTGTTGCCAATTTTAGCACTGGGATCCTGGAAAAATTACATACAATTATAACAATGACATAAAATTGTCCATTTATTAGGTTTGTTGTATGGAATCCTGGCACACAATGAATTAAACCTAAGTATACTGTACCACCGAGACAAAGTTTTTAAAAATAATCCTTTTACTCCTTCATTAACACATTACACCCTAAGGGTCTGGACCGGAAGTCCATTGTTAGATCCTAAGCAAGGGGAAAGAACCCACCTCCTGTGAATACAAGCCTTTAAAAAACACATTTTAAAAATACTAAACAAATTCCAAAAATCCTGAAAAAATAAAAGTTAAAACAAAAAATGAATGTAGTTTCAGAAAAATATAACTTTATGTATGCGCAAACAGTTGGAAATGTTCTAACTTTAGTTCAATCGGGTTGTCCGACCCGTCACTCTCACTCTCAGCCTCGCAGTCGGGCCCTAGATCTAAATTCTAGATTTTCTACATCTGATCAATCTGAATCGCCCCAAACTCTTGCTACAACGTTTTCATCCAAATCTGAGTAATCTGATTTGTCATATGCTTGTTTTTGCTAAAATCCATCGTTTTTTCTTTTTTCAAACTCAATTGTGTTGCTTTTCAACAAGTCGAGACACCTTCGATGTGTCGGTAACGCGATCGCACTTCGTTTGGCTCTAATACTAAAACTACTGGCCCAAAAAATTTTGTTTCAGTATCAAACGACAGAAGAAACTTTTTGCTATAACTATACAAATCAAAATCTCGGCCCCAGAGTCTCGTCGGGGCGAGACTTCGTTTCTAAAGACGCTAGGTCGGCGCGGGCGGTTGCGGGCGAGTCAGGGTGGAACGCGTTTAAGGGAATTCTCGGGCGGTCGCGTGCGAATTAGGGTGTAATGTGTTAAAATCTCAAATTTGGGATACCACAGACTTCCACGTTTACTAAATTCAATAAAACAATATACAATAATTAAATAAAAAACCCTCATACAAACAGACAAATGAGAATCTGCAATTTCTACTAGCATCTCATTCAATATCCCCCCCCCCCCCCAAAAAGGCACACATCCAGGCAAATGAAAATCTCACCCTTTTCAGTCTTCTCCAAAAGATACATAATTCTCATAATTTGAAGAGGGAAGAGCTTCTTTGCACCACTGATTTAATACATTCATGCGTTTACAGATACAAAAAGCACACAAAAGCAAAACTCACTATCAAAACATTTCCCACAATTCCTGGGCCTTGGTGCAATTTTTCAGGTTGTCTCTGTTTCAAGGAAGTCAAATACAAGCACATTCCCGTCAGGAAATCTTTAGGCTGCCCAACGTCCATCCAGAAACCTAACAAAAAACAAATTGCCTTAGAAATTAACATATATATATATATCGATTATCCAGTACTCACATACCTTGACCACATTACTGGCCTTTCTCAAAAAGGAAATCAATCAAGAAAAAAAGTCGAAGAATTATTGTAGTTGATACAACAGACAGCACAAGAACAATCCTGACTAATAATAATAATAACAACAACAATAATAATAATAATTTGGAAAAAAAAAACAAAAACAATAATCCTGATTAATAAACTTAATGTAACAAAGGCGAACACTGAATACTCTTTCAGGAAACTACCAACAAGTTAATTTTTCATTAAAATTAACAGTAAATGTCTTCATTTAGCTCTAACAGGCCGGTTGAAAAACGCATCAACTTCAGTGAACACTAACAAAAAAGCTATCATGGATCAGAATTTCACCTTGCAATTCCATTGCAAACAGCTGGCTTTCTCCAGCCATGAAAGGGAAAACTTCCTTCTCAATGGACGTTGGTTGGAGCTGAAAAAAAAAAGTCCCCCAAAAAACATTTTAATAAAGTGAAAACCTTTGATACTGACTACTAAGTGTACGACTCAGTCATTTGTCACTCTTCAAAACAGCAAATGGCAGAGTCTTACACAAACTCATGAGGACTAGAAAGACAAAAAAGGAAACAAAAAAATTTTAAAAGGAACAAGACCCCCCCCCCACCAGTAAAATGCTTGTTACTGTATACAAAAGCAGTAAACAATGAAAATCAAACAAACTGAATTTCAAGAGTACTGTACACTATTTTTTATTGAACCCCCCCCCCCCCCCCCCCCCCGCAATACTGACACGGTGGGAAGAAACTGCAACTCTGCAACTTCAGTAGAACTCCTCAAAATGAATCAATAAATAATGCTTAACCGAACACATAAAAAGGGCAAACTGTGAATATAAAAGTAAAGGCATAATTCAGTTGTCTTACCTTTATCCTTTTCAGTATGGATGGACTGAATATGTACATGCCAGCATTGATTTTGTTTGAGACATACTCCTGAGGCTTTTCAACAAATCTCTGGATCTGTCCGTTCTCTGCATCATAAACCACTACACCATATTTGGAAGGCTCATCAACTTTTGTTACCTGTTTTGAAGTAAGGATATATCATAATTCAACATAAGTCACATCAGTATGATCTCCCCCCAGTAAACAGTTTACTAGATTCGAAGAAGAAACAACAGAGAATACAAAAACTAAACCATCCTCTTCAGAACACAAATCATGGAACGGTGGTATTAAAATCAATGAAAAGCTATCAATTAAAGAAGTATATGATACTAAATCCGGTTGTCCTGCAGATTTTGGTTTAAGTGGACTTAACTGTACTACATAGTAGCAAGAATTCAATTCTGTACTAATATAATGGGGGCTCTTGTGGCCTAGAGGTTAAGGTGTTGGCCTCTCATTCAAAATGTCCAGGGTTCGAATCCGGGTAGCGACCGAGAATTTTCTTCTAAAAGTTTGTCTCCTTTCACCTCATTTCCTGCTCTCTAGCAATTTTCTGTCATCTGCTTTCGTCTTCTCTTTCTGCCCCCACCCCCTCACCTCCTTGGCCCCTTCCTCTGGGCTCCTGATTCTTTCTGCAGCCTTCCTACTGCTACTCCTTCGCTTCTTCTTACTGCTGTCTTTCAGCCACACCCCTGATCTTCTGGTAGGAAAGATCTACACCTAGCCTTCTCGGACAAGGGTGAAAAATCTCGGAGGGCCCGTGTGCAAGTTGCGCACATTAAAGTTCCCTTGGTGGTCTAAAATTGATTAGAGTAGGCTTCGGCCGCCACCCGCTCAAAATTCAAAATTTCCTATCAACTGAAAATATTAGGTGTGTCCCGCTCGCTCATATGACCTATGCAGTCACGAGCGCTGTAAAACACTTTACAAAAAACCCCCAAAAAACTAACATAATAGCCAAAACAGAAAATTATGTCAGCCAATACATCAACAAATTTTTTTCAACCAGTCAGTTTTCTTTAGGATATTCCGTCAAATTTATATCCCATGACTGTCACAATCCTAAAGTCCCATATAAAAAGGGGAAACAAATACAGTAATTTGAAAAAGAGTGACACTCACAACAATGGTTCCTTCTCGACCATGGTTTTTGTGAAAGAGAACCATGTCTTTGAATGGAAAATCACAGATGATGTCGCTGTTAAGCACAAAGAAAGGATCATCGTCAGCACTGAGAATATCCCTGGCCAGGGCCAAAGGACCAGCTGAAAACAAGACAGAAAAACAGTATGATTAAAGTGAAGTGAAATATAATAAACAGAGACAACAATTATATATATATAATGTTTGGTCACATAGCAAGATATTCCGAAATGTCAGGAAAGAAAGCAAGACCTCCTTAACATTCTCACACTCCCATTTACTCACTCAATCTTTCTCACTATTTTATATTCATTCTTCTTAAAAACTTACACAAACACACACCCTTAAATTCATATTACACAAAAACACACTTCCTATACACATGTTTTATTCTTAGAGGCACTTTCCTCTGCACAAAATGTTAATTACACTTCAGAAAATTTGCTGCAAATAAGAAGTCTGTCCAAAACATAAAAGATAAAGTTAACTAATGTAATTTCACTAGCCCTATTCCCAAGTCAAATAAGAAAGAACTTTCTCCTTCCTTTCTAAAGTGAAAGAGCAAGACGCTGGGAAGTTTTTTTGTTTATTGCTAAAAATATTTTTGCCTCATAATACGGTTACCCATATATGGAAAAGTGATGTGCTGCACCTCATGAGACCAGACAGATCAACTGCAGTTCGCAGCAAAAGCAATGATAAAAGCACAAAATAATGAAATGACAAAGAAATGAGATTGTTACTTTGTATGGGAATAAAGCAAACTGAATTAAGACTCCAGTTCTCTTAATGAATATTATATGAAAGTACTGATTACTCAAGATTTCTTTATTTGAAGCAAAGCAAAAGGGAAAAAAAAAGTATATATTATATAGCAAACAGCCAATGAGCACAATTTTCAGCAAATTTATCACGACAGCAAAGAAACTGAAGGTTGAACACCTCACCTGTTCCAAGGGGCTCATCCTCCAAGGATATGGAGATCTTCACACCAAGCTGTGGAATAAATGTCAGGATGATAGATTCCACATGGATCACTACTTTTATGTCAAAATCTTTAACTCACTCTTACAAATAAATTCTCATTCAGGTTGAGTTTTTTGCCTGAAATTTCATCTGTCTATTACCATGTAATACCAGACAACAAAAGATTGAAAAAAATACAAGTGACACAAATCAAGGCATTCTTTGTCGTAACTTAGCGTTAAATCACTAACTAGTCAAAGCCACCAAAATCAGAACTCATACTGTATCTTCTAAATCAACCTCAATATCTAATCTCTACAATTTTTAAAATTTTTTAATCACCAAACGGTGACATGTGAATCTTTTCCACACAATACAGCACTGTACAAACCAACCTGTTTTTGAACACTTTCTAACTCTTTCTCCATTTGCTCTGCTCTGTAACTCACTGCTAAGACAATGTGGGTCACACCAGCCTGTGCAACAAGAGAAAGACAAATGCATTCCATGATCTATAGGCGCAGATAGGGCATGCTAAGCTGAGAAAAAAAATGTAATTCAATTAAAAAACTTGCCATAAATTGCTGTTGATAAGCAAAGGAAAAAACGAGGAAATTTTTTTTTACGGACGAAGGTGGGTAAAAAAATCTTAATTATAAATCTGAACTCAAGCTTATAGAATGTTGAGGCTTCATTCCCAGTAATGTGAGCCTAACTGTGACAAGATGATATTAACGCAAACAGTTTATTAACTCTTTCACTACCAGGGGGGTTTTCTCACCGTGACCGGGCCCTATCTGTGACCTACTTTTTTATTCTGCCTACCGTCGGACAAATTAAAGATTTTAAAGTTCATTTTTTTCAAAATTGGCCACATGTATTATATACGGAAATAAAGTATAAATAATGACCTATCTCAACATGTTGCTAAAAACGATCAATCTGCAGCCTAAGATTTCATACTTGATTATTACAAAAGCATGTGCTGTGAAACATGGGCCCTCGCGGTCCAGCGCTACGAGTAACACGAGCCCTCAACATGGCTTGAGGTAGTGAAAGAGTTAAACCATGCATTTTAAAAGATTTTAACTATTACGAAACAGGCTGAACTAGAACAACTATACAAAGAAAAACCACAAAGTGACCTGAGTAATAAAAAGAATGACAACATGGTGACATTACCTATTTAGAAAAAAGCTACTGAATTAGCAGTTGGAGACTGGGTGAAACAGAACAGTAAAGATTTAAGACTGAATTATAAGACAGGTAATAAAAATCTGATCTTTTTAGAGGAAATAAATTTAATGTGGTCAGCTGCCAAAGGGAAACTGAGACAATTATATCACCACAAATATGAAATACGAAAAAGACATAAGTTGCACAAAAATTCAATGATGAGAGTGAAAACTCATAAAACACAACAAATCAAGCGACATCTGTCAGTATCTGAGGGATTCAAAGGTTGTCTTTGAAGTCTCAACAAACACAATTAAAATCGAAATTGTCTGAGACAGCCACCCATTGTTGAGGAAAAAAGTGGCCATCTTACATAGATCTAGTATCATTATAACATTAAACAAATAGCAAGCGGGAAATGGAAAGTGGCCATTTGTAATTTAAAGGAGGCGACTGTTAAAACAAGTTCTACTGTACAACACATTTTGAAAGGAAAGAAGCATAAAATACTTACATCAACCAGAGCTTCAAGTTGATGCAAAAGCATGGGTTTGTTCCCAAATTCAACAAGCGGCTTTGGGATACTCAGTGTCAACGGACGCAACCTTGTCCCGTAACCACCCACTAGGATTAAAGCCTTCATCTTTCTGTAAAAGAAATTTGTTTTAAAAAGCTACATGAATCGGCAGAAGAATTATTATATGTTTTGAGAAAGTGAACAGGAGGGACAGTAACATCTAAATATGTACAAAAGTAATGCATTAAGTAAATGAGGTGCAGGAATCAGTCAGGAAAAGTTAGAATCAGAAGAATCAGTCTTTCTTTGATGTAAACAGATTTTCAAAATCGAAATGTCACTGATCACAATCGCTGTCATGCTTACTATTATAACTATTATACTTATACAATACTTGAATCTCCTCAAGATTCCTACTCAAAGAACACAAAAGCAACAGGCACATTGCAAAGTAAAAAGACTGGGTTAACTAAAAGAAACCCAGTAAGAAAAACATTACAATGTCTACTCAACCTATTCAGTTGAGATCTAACTTCAAAAGTACAGCTTGTGAGCTAATAGTACAGTGGAGACCACTTATAGCGAGTCCTGAAATAATGAGAAGTCTGTTATAAAGACACCATTCTAAAACCCCATTTTTTTCCCTTCTTTATCTTTGTAAATAAAGTACTGCTATAACGCAATGAGACAAACTAACAAACACGCGAGTTGATTACATAGAATTATAGCGAAATATTACTGCTGCTGTGCACAGCGCATCTATAGGCCAATTATAAATGATGTACAACCTCGCCAGAGGAGAAACTTGTTGGTGATCCAGCGAACCAAATAATGGGAGAGCCCACGTGTGCCAACAATGAAGGCTGGAGCGAATGAGTGGGGAGGGTGTGGCATGCACAGACAAGCAGAACACATCGCATGACAGGCCAGCCTAGTCTAGTTTATTTGCGCCTATCATGCCTCTCACTTCTCCAATATGCGGGGATGGAGAGGTCACAGTGATGTGATGAATGGAGCAAATGTGTGACATGGGCAAGGTGTGGTGTGTACCCAATGTGTGTAAGCAGACGGAATGCACCACAGGGTGAGGTGGGGGCAGGGAGGGGGGGTGGGGGACACACAACATAGTGGGAGAGTTAGCCTAGAGTTCTTTTTGATCGGCAACGCCGAGCTGTCAACTCCGCTAGCGCTAGAGAAAGAAACCTGATTCGATTTTCGATCAAGTAAGACCAAGAGGTCATGTTGAAAAAATCATCATCAGGGGAGATAACAATTTTTAAAAATAAATAAACAGAATACCAAAGAAATTAGGTCTACTTTATTATTTCCCTTGAATTTATTACTGGATCCCTTATATGAGAATCCTGCTATTCTATATTTCGCATCAGTCCTTCCCTCTCGTTATACCAGGATCCCACTGTACTAGTGTTGATCATACTGAAAATTTGGCAATAATAATGAGATTAGTACTCCGACTTTGACTCAACTTCAGCTGCAAAATTTCTACAGCTGAGTTCAAAACAACCTCCATGAATCATGGAAAAAAATTAAAATAAATATAATCAAGATTCAAGGCCTCTTGAACAACATTATTTTTACAAACATTTAATTAGGCCCCTTGAAGCGGCCTAGCCCACCAAAGCAGCCTACCAACCTCAAGTCTTCGTTTTGCACTAGATCTAGATCTAGGCCTGGTCTACAGTATGCAGGCTAATATGCCTACTTTATTCTCCCTTATTAGGCCTATAGTTTACTACTGTACTACTAAAAACGGTATTTTTTTACTTTCCCTCCCGTCTCACACTCAGCTACCAGTTGTCTATTTTCTACTAAATATTGATGCGCTGAACACGAATATCAACTTCATTTCCGTCGCAAATTAATGGTTTTTGAAATATTTGATTGTTTTTAACCGAGATAGACATGCTTTGGACCAATCGGGGGGTTCCAGGGGGGCCTGCCCCACTGGGGTAAAAGAAAATCTGGGGGGGTTACAGGGGGGCATGCCCCCCTGTTTTTACACCCATAATTTGATATTTTACAGTTAGATTTGAAATTGTCTTGAAAATAATTGATTTGCGACAGTTTTAGTGGCTTTATTATGTGTGATCTGCAGCAAACAGTACAGCAGTTTGACCCCTGAAACAGTGCATCTGTGTGCGGGAGTGAAAGTAAAAATTTACCGTAAAAACAAACTAAAATCTAATTTTCTTAATAATCTCACCAGTTAGCCTTACACTCGCTCCCTTTTCTATCCTTTCCTCAATTCCTCCCTAGACAAAATGTGGCAATGAGCCAGATATTAGTCATGAGTACACACACATATATATATGTATGTATATCACTATCAGATAAGTGATAAGATCATAAAAGGCCTTCCCTCTGCTCTCCATCCTTTTTGTCTCACATCTTAAATCTCAAGAGAAATTACTAAAAAGGAATGCTAGTAGGCCGCCTAGACTAGATCTAGATCTAGATTCTAAGTCTTACTAAGATGCCGTGACCGACCAAACTCAATGACTCAATGATTGAAGTCCTAGATTCTACATGTAAGCCTACACTAAAATATTTGAGTAAATCTAGAGGCATAGATCTAGATCTAGATCTAGATCTAGATTCTAGAATCTAAATCTAGATTTAGAATTAGATTATAGAATCTAAACTCTAAACATACTTTGTCTTGTCCGCCAGAGTTGATCAAGAGTCTAGATTCTAGAAGATAAGATAGACTAAAAGACTGATATCCAGGAGGAGAGATGAAAAGTTGGTTTTCCCTGACGTTGGGACCAAGCAGCTATGAGCAGTCCTTTTCAAATAAAATTGATACAAGTAGGAAGACTGAAACTTCACCTTGTCCACCGCTCAATCTCACCTAAGTCACCGATCCTTTCAACGACAGTAAGAATGTACTGGGCTGCAATATATTTCAATCAAAGTCCCCGGTGAAAGCCAAGCAGGTGGGGAATGCCACGAAGCAAGACACAAGACAGACACACCCCGCGAAAACTTCCGGGTCATTGCAAGGGACGCGAAGGCGTGGCGACCGCGCCTCCAATGGGCAGATTCAGTGGGTTCTTAGCAGATGGCAACAGCTAAAATAAACAATTAAACAAACACACCCATTTTGTGAAAACCTGACTATAGCATCGTGATGAATGGCATTTGTATTTGATTGGGGACGTTTCCAATGCATGATGAAATCTTCATAAGGAGACCCCCCCCAAACCCCCCCCCCCCTCCTCCCAGCAATATATATTTCTCTTGAATGTCCGAGTAATGATTATAGTTCGTTTCTCTCCTCAAACTCAAGAGGTGGTATATTTCAATGGTAGCACTTTATTATGCATTTTAATGGTTTAATGTGGAAACCACCAATCTGATGGGCCTGGCTTTGATGCTTCAGTCCAGTCTCAGAGTAAACAACACAACAACTTTCTTTTTTGCCAGGGGGGGGGGGGGGGGGGATAAGTGTGTACGCGTTCTTTCAGTCTCAGGGCTAATCGTACGGCATACGGCATGCCTAAATATGTTATTGAAAGAAAGGGGCGGCTACAAATGGAAAACAACTGAGAATGGAACGTGCGTGAAAGAAGACTTTGCTATGACTATGATGATCAACACACTTTTCTTTTTTGTTTTTGGCGCACAGAATACACATTTTTCATCTATACAAGTTGATTTGGGTTTTTAAAAATCATTTTCAAATGCTTTTGAGGTGATGGGTTTAAAGAGGGAAAATGAACATATTATCCAACAAAAAGCTTTTATTCTCTCGAAAACTTTTTTTTTTCGTCCATAATTAAAATTTGTTCTGTAGGCTAAAGGTAGGCTTCCTGGCAGACAATGGTCTTGTGACGGGATATGAAAAAACGAATCTGAAAAGAAACGGCACGTCCGTCAACAACTGAGATCCGTCGTTGTTGCTCTGCTCGGAATGAAAGCAATCACTGTGCTAACCAAGTAGAACTTGAACCCGCCGCATTTCTTATAATCGAGGATTTATCTCTGCTACAATGGAAAAGTCCCTGGAGAAACAAATGGAAGAAGCGTAAGAGTTGCTTTTTTTTATAGGGGACAATATAGATTTCTAAAAGAATTAGAAACGACGACGGTAGCCAGTACTGCCAGTAGCCAGTAGGTCTGTCACTGACACTCTGACTCTGACTGTGTAGTGTCTACTGACTGACGCTGTTAGTATGGAGACACTCTGACAGTGACAGTAATTATGTAGCAGTAATAATCATAAACATGCCTGTGTGTCTCTATCACTGTCTTCACAACTATCAGTTCAGCATTACTGAACTTGACGATTGTTAAGATTCCCTCGTTTAATTCCGATGCGTTTTTCAGGCATGTTTCACTTTGGTCCCTAACCCTTACCCTAGATATCTAATCCTAACCATAACCCTAACCCTAACTGAAAAACGCACATCGGAATTAAACGCGGGAATCTTAACAATCGCCCTGAACTTGATAGTTGGGCACTAGTCGACAGTTGTGCTGTCCCGGCTCATGGGGCGGCCATTTTGGCAAATTAGTTAGAGAGGGAATCTTTCGGCAGTTCCCACCCCGATTATTTGAGCCTTGATCTAGATCTATTATAGGCTCTATGTTTGATGCTCAGCTAGCGAGAGATATATACAAACCTATCTGCAAGCCCCCTCTATATTTTTGTTAGGTCAGGGGCAGGGGCGGCTCATGGGTCTAAAAAGTGGGCGTGCACAATTAGGTGAAAGCAGGTTGAAGAGAGTCAAGGGCATATAAATGAGATGTTTTCTTCATCCTACCTGTTTTGAGAAAATCTATTTGAAGAAGAAGTTTTCTTTTCGTTCTTTTGCTAGCAAAAGTGTCCATTTTTATTCTGTTGACGAAGTTGGACATGCTGTCAATGATGTCCTTGTGGATCGACATAAACGTCAGGGCGATTTCTGGCATTTTGCATACTTCTCTAAATGTTGTCTCGAATTTGTAGTCCTTCAGATATAATGAATAAAGGCCCTGGATTATACGACACTGAGGAGATTTAAATATTTCATTGCAATGTATAATTTTGTTTGTAATTTGATTTTAAGCAAACAGTAATATTTCTGTAAATGATCCTAGAGAACTGTTGGAAACGACTTTTGATAGTCCTGGAATTTGGAGGAATCGCAGATTGAGAGTGCGTTGATTTTATTTTGCTTCAAGAAACTGTCACAATTTGAGTTGTAACTGTTATGTCACAGGCCTGCTTTGCAGCAATTTCATTTGTGGTGTAGTGTTTGCGTCTCTTGGAAGGGTGTTTCTCTGTGGTCTGTCTTGTTGATGGAACACGTATACTGTTTCTAATTTCATCAAAGGCTACTTTAAACGTGTCTAGAGCTTTTTAGGCTGTTATGGGCGTTGTACTTTTGTGTTAGAGGATCCCATAAACAGCGTCAACGCGCGTGTACACTTTGTTGAAAAAGTGCAAAAAGAAGAGAAATGTTTCGCTCTTTAATACATTCAGGATATCATCGTGAATGGAATTATCGTCCCAGTGCTCAGACTGAATTTCTTCAAGATAGAGCTGGATCTCTCCTTTCCAAATGAAGACTTTGCTAATTAGTCGAGACTGTAAATTCCACCATGTTTCAGACGGCCATGGCATATTCCGGTGACAAACGCAGATAGAGATGCATTTTGTAGAGTGGGCAAAAAATGTCAAAGGGCCTGCATAGCGTTAGCGAAAAGTACCTCTGTTCCCCGACAAATAACCCTTTTCATGACCGCGAAGGGCGAGTTCGTGAGTTTCACAGGACAAAATGCACTAGACAACCTTACACAATACGTGCCTGTTCTTTCTAAAAAATGCGATGACCAACGACTAGCTGCGCTGCTATGTCTACTTGTCCAAAAGTATGAACGGCATTTTTTACGTGCGCTCTTGATGACTTTTGACTTTAATGCGTTGTTTCCCCTGGACAAGATCGGTAAAGCCTGAGACTACTTGGGGTCCTCAGTTCCAAAAAGCAGACAGGAGAAACAGTAGGCGTTATCTAGGTCTACAATGAGTATAATTTGTTAACGCTGACTGTAAGCCACTACACTTTTTATTCATTGTATTATTTTGACATTTTTGGGTTGGTGAAGACTTAATTCATTCACTCTGTTCTTGTTACTTTGTTTGGTGAGCTGAATTTATTTGCAATCAACTTCATTCATCCTGCATTGGAATACACACTCGAGTGATAAAACTTTCACCACTACACCATTCCAACTTCTAACACAATGACCTAATTACGTCATGTTGACCTCGCTCAAGTTCAGGGTTACAGAGGTGGGGCTAGAGATATAAATGGCAAGACAATGGATCAATCGCACATCGCTGGGAGCACTCCGGTGGATTGCTCCAAAGCTATCATAATACGGGCATTGAATTGTGTAAACTATCGTGAACTGGTCTGAGATTGCGTTATTTTTAGACTGCTTCTATGGGCTTTGTTCGGCTGGGGCACATTGAAATTGTGCCGCCTTATAATTTATGAACTAAGAAACTCGGTCAAAACGTCATCGTTGTTTGGGTCGTTCCATAGAGCATTTTCCAAGATAGATTACACCACTGAACATACTATTTTGTTTACTTTGGTGAAGCACAAGAACTTGATATGGTATAGTAGATGTTGTAGAGTTGTTGTAGATGTTGTAATGAACGAAAAGGCTCTGGCGAGGAACTTGTAAGAAAAAGTGATTGGATGGTGGATGGTAAAGGTTCTTTTGTTGTCTCTTTGTGGGTGTTGTTGTGCGCTAAAATTTTTGGGCGGCAGTGCACGACCGTGCTCTATGGAAACCCCCCTAGCCTACTTTTGGGGCCAAAGCAAGCAAAAAAGCGCCCAATCTGGAGATTCCCTGACAGATTTTGCCCCAATGGCTGCTCCCTGGGCTGGGACATCACCACTCGACTAGTCCCGATAGTAGATCTAGTAATAATGAGAGGTTACTGAAATCCAATCTCGGTAAAAGTCTAAAAGTGAATTTTAAATGGCGGTCATATGACCTATGCAGTTGCCAGCACCCTAATTTAACTCTACTATTTCTAAAACAAACAAAAAGTGCAATTTAGGTGCGTAAATTATTAGACTCGGTGTAGATCTAGATCTACAACAAAAACATGTTATTACTTGCTTTTGTAGCATATTGTTAGACCCAATGTTCAACAAACACGTTAATTGAATTTGAATAGATGTGCTCTAAACGAAAATTGCGCTGACAGTTTGGCACAACCGGCGATCTCTTCCCATCCTATCTCCATGAATTTGTTTTTCGCAACAGTAACAGGTTTCGTAATGAGGACATGTTTCCAGTCAGGCTAAGAACTATAGCTGACAATTAGGCTACACCATTAGATCTATAATGTGAGTAGGCCTTTTAACGTGATTGATGTGGTCTATTTATTAATTAAGTACTACAAACGCAAGTAAAGGGGGCTCTTGCGGCCTAGAGGTTAAGGTGTTCGCCTCTCATTCAATAGGTCCAGGGTTTGAATCCGGGTACCGACGGACAAATTTTCTTCTCTAAAATTGGCTCCTTTCTCCTCCTTTCCTGCTCTCTAAGCTAATTTTCTGTCATCTGCTTTCGTCATCTCTTTCTGCCCCCACCCCCTCACCTCCTTTTCCCCCTCCTCTGGACTCCTGACTCTTTCTTTAGCCTTTCTACTGCTACTCCTTGGCTCCTTCTTACTGCTGTCTTTCAGCCACACCCCTGATCTTCTGGTAGGAAAGATCTACACCTAGCCTTCTCGGACAAGGGTGAAAAATCTCGGAGGGCTCGTGTGCAAGTTGTGCACGTTAACGATCCCTTGATGATCTAAAATCGATTAGAGTAGGCTTCGGCCGCCACCCTGGCAAAATTAAAAATTTCCTACCAACTGAAAAAGTTAAATGTGTCCTGCGCGCTCATATGACCTTATGCAGTTGCGAGTGCCGTAAAACACTAACAAAAGAAAAACCCCACGTATAAAATGTATTATTGTTGTTTGGGTAGTAAAGTGCTTCAAACGCAAATTTAAGGTGATTGTTGTACGTTGGGTTAATAATTTACGCACTTAAAATGCACTTTTACTCAAATCTTTACCCTGCATAAAAAGCTAAAAGGGCAGAAGAATTTCTTTTCTTCTCAGTGCTACTAATATACTACAGTCGAACCTGTGTAAGACGGAATCGCAAGGGAGCCAGAAAAAAATTCCGTCTTAGACAGGGGAATTTAGGAGGGGGGGGGGGGTTTCAAAGGCCCAGCCGGTGGGATCAAGGATCGCTTGTCTGATCGGCAAGCAATGGTCAAAACTTCACACCTCTCAGCTGCTACCCTCGCTGATAATGACATGCGTCAGTCTTACTTATCCGATTACCACAAGTGCTTGCATTTCATAGGACCACTGTTTGACCTATTAAAATAGGAACGTTTGAACATCTCCTTTGCTTCCACCCTTAGCCCCACCCACCAATGCCACCCCTCACTGCCATCATGTAATCAACGATTCGAGGAACTCTTTTCTCGGCTGGCATTGGTCAATCTAATTTCACACCTCTGGCTTCTGGCTACCCAAGAAAGTTTCCGTAGTGGCTCGCAACTCGAGCACTCTCACGGGCAGTCATGAGATTTCACACCCACACTACCCTGACCATCTGCATCGCTCAGGGCTCACATGATGGGGTAACATCTACCCCAAAATTGCACCCCTACTCCCCTTCCTCGCCAAGCGGCATGGCCATAGCGTTAAGTTTAGAGCCGTCGGAACCAAACTTGCGAGTTTTGTTTCAAATCAGGGTTGAGTGGGCAAAGCATTTTCCGTCTTACACAGGTGAAACCCTCGGAAGGGAGCAGATTTTTCTTTCCGTTTCCGCGTTGGACAGGTTTCCGTTTTATGCAGGTAGTTAAAGAGGAATATATCAAGGTGGGAGCGGGGAGATTCCGTTAAGACAGGTTTCCGTTTTACACAGGTTTCCGTTAAGGCAGGTTCGACTGTATTACTTTTCATTACCATTGACTCTGAAGCTTGGAGTGTCTTATAGTCTAGTCAAAGTTGTCTAAACTGCTTAATAATCTGAACTTGGCAATCTCCAGTTTTGGCCTCCGAAAATGATGAACTCACTATTATTGATTCGTCAATAGTAACTTTACATGAGGTAGATTAGGCTTACAGGCAATGCACATTAGAGATTTAACTCTAATCTTTTTGTCTTGTCTCTGCTGTCTTTCCTTCTTTCTTTAGTTCTTTGACCAATAGGCCAAGAGCCTTTCTTTGAAATTACATTAATGTGAATAGAGTAGACAGTCATGGAATACTCTCGCCTTAAAAGAAAAACTTTAAAGTTTCAGTAATCAGTTTACTTTGGTTCTCTTTTTTTCTGTAAGCTGAGAACTTTGTTGTTGTTTATGAAGTAGTGAATTAACAAATTGTTTTGTTTTTCTATCACATATTCTCATCAGCTTCCGGATTCCAGGCATATCTGGAGTTATGTGTGTGGACAAAAATGGACTGCTTCTTGGAGGTTGGTCTTGAAAATACATGTGTTCATTTTTGTGGTTGAATATACTTTGATGTTAAATGTACCTCTTGAAAAGGCCTATTATGATAGCATCAGAGTCAGAGGTCATCGTTTGTCATGAGATAAAGCTTATTTTTTACCAGTACACTTGAACAAAGCATGTTGACATTCAATGAACTTTGTCAATATGGGATTTCATTACGTTTATTTGGTCTTGTCTATCGTGGAAGGTTTATTTACTCTATCATAGTTTCGGAAAGCTGTAAGTAAAAAAAAAAAGCAAACACGTTAGTTTTGCAAACTATTGTAGCTCACTGCATCAAGCAACAAAACCTGACAGGGTCCTTTAAAAAAAAAAAAGGCAATTTTAGATGTGATGACTCAATTCTCACTTTTTTTTTACCTCTGCAAAACAACACAGATAACGCCATACAATAACTAGTAGTTTCAGTCATTTTTGACAAGGTGTGACGACAAGGTGTTTTAGACTAAATAGAGTAGTATTTGATGTTTCATATTTTCTTCATTACGCGCCTTTTTAAGTTATATTTTGACAACAAGTGAGCCTCATCAGTGTAACCTGGTTACTTATTTTTGCTTGTAGGCCACAGGTAATGAAAAATTTGTTTTAAGTCAATTGTTCAATTCTTAGATAAGACATAACCTCATGCACTGTTTCTGCTTAGGTTAGATTAGTTAAAGAGTGCAAGCTAAATTGACTGTTGGACCAAGGAAAGTAAGTTTGGGTATATAAGCTTGAGTACACTGTCTCTGTTACTGCTTTTGATGAGCAAAATTTTCCCACACATGGCATAATTTTTAGAGGAGTAAATCATGTATAAACCAATCTGTCAGAAGACTATATGGACTCATTACTTTGGAGTTGGCAGATCAGTGATAGAAGTGTATGGCTAAATCTGAAACGAAAAATACTGCAGGAAGTTGAAACTATCAGTAATTGTCTTTACCTTTGTTAATAGGCTACATCATTTTTTTATGTTTAAAAAAAAAAATCTTTTTCAGCCCTTGAATTTTGTATTCTATTTTCCCCCTTTTGAAAACCATTCCATCGGATTTGATGAGACAAAATTTATAAGCCGATGTCTGCTACATACTTTTTGACGGGAAGAGGGGGAAATGACCTCATTTGCAAAAGGGAACAACTTCATTAAAGTGTGTATATAATGTGTCTGTGTACACGCATATAAGTGTGCATGAATATATGCGTTGGTGTTATTGTAGAAGAATGATTATTATTGTGGAACGGAGAAAGCCTTCTCAAAAGGAGCCATGACCTGCTGTTCCCATTAGGTGACAGCTTGTCTGCATGCTGATTTCATTGCCAGCACTTGGTGGACAGTAACTTTCTTTGATAAGGGAAAGGGCAGTTGGGCAAAACTGTTAATGTTAATGTCACAGATATAAACAGCAGTGCAGTGGTTTTTATTTTATTGCAAAAAAAAAGAGAACAAAATACTAAGCTAATTTTGAGTGTATCATGTTTAATTTTGTATAGGTCTACTTACCTTGAGTGCAATACACTGCAAAACGGGATAATCAAAATTGGGCAAAAATCAAACTGACCCAGCTTGGCATTTCGTTTGCTATAGCCTACCACCAGGGCATAAAACGGAGCACATGTTTAATATAATAATAAGTGCAGACAAATTTTCAAATTATACAAAAGAAAGAGAAGGAAAAAAAATACATCTTACTTCTTCTTCTTCTATCCCATGGTTGGGGCAACCGTGGGGGCTCCACTGCATCTGAAAACCAGCTCTCGCCATCTATTTTTGTCCTCTGCTTTTCTCAGATTGTCACCCATCGTCTCTCCTGTCCACTCTGTAATGTTGTCCTCCCATCTCCTTCTCTTCCTTCCTCTCTTTCTCTTTCCTTCTACGGTTCCTTGCAGGATTGTTTTGGCAAGTCTTGTGGATCTTGTGACATTCCCATACCATTTTAATTTTCGTCTCTTCACTGTGATCAGTAGATCTTCATGCAGCCCCACTACGCTGGTGGTTCTCTTTCGTACTTCAGCATTTGAAACGTGGTCTTTGTATGAGATGTCGACAATGACAATCTTTATTCATCTCGCAGGGATGCGGTAACATCTCATTTCTGTGGTCTGAATGTTTTTCTCTAATTCTGCTGTCAGTGTCCACGACTCGCAGGCGTATAAAAATATTGAGATGACCAGTGAGCGCATTAGTCTGATTTTTTAGTTGTACATGATGTTTCTGTCCCTCCAAATAGGCTTCAGTTTTGACAGCGCAGTTGTTGTTTGCGCGATTCTGGAGAGAATCTTACTTACTGAGACTTAATGTGCAAGTTTGCATAAAGTCAAAGAATAGGAAAGAAGAATTTGGGCTGTTTATTTGCTAAGGTGAAACGTTGCCTCTGCTGAATTTGCTATTTCAAGTCTTAAAGAAAAAGAAACAAAAGGTCACCCCCCCCCCCCTCCCCCAAGGTAAAAAAGTCTTTTTTAAAACTAGTATATCACACATGAAAGAGTGAGTGGTTGGCGGGTGCTCTGGTGTGGTTTGCTTCTTCTTTCCTATCAAACATCTATTGTCCTTGTCTCCCCTTCTTTTTTGTTTGTTGCTTTCTTGTAACACCTCTCATCTTCTGGCGCTCATATGACCTTATGCAGTTGCGAGTGCCGTAAAACCTCTACTAAAACTAAAACCACATGAAAGAGTAAAAATTGTCAGTCTTAAGCAAATGAAGTCAAAGTAGGCGAATAACTTTAGCTGTGCATTACACTATGGGGGTAAAAAAATTGCAACAGAAATGATTTTGGTGTCATTAGAACCAGAAAATCTTCCTCTATAACATACTGAAAATCGGCATGAATCGGAAGGGAGGAAATTTGTTTAAAATGCCGTTTTATGGTATAGTATCGAAATAGTCAAATATCGATACCAAAACTTTTTAGAATCGCACGCCATATCTCAAAACACACAAATCTTACACCAATGCATGTGAGTCTGTTGCTTTAAACTTATTTTTTAAATCCGAAATGGAGGATTTTGAGCCCTAAATCCTCAGATTTTTAATGTTGAGACAAAAAAGTTCGAGTAGTAATGTCCATTGAGTAATCGATACTAGTAACTACGAAAACTAGGCCTAGCTATTTACAAAGAGATATGATTGACATAACAGAAAGCGATTGGGGGTGGGGGGGGGGGGGGGGTAGAAGGAAGAAGAAGAAGAAGCAGAAGAAGAAGAAGAAGGAGAAGAAGAAGAAGAAGAAATTTGCAGGCAGGATAGCAATCTAGGTCATTTTTCTTGCAGGTGCAATTCATTGAACTGCAGTCTAATTTACCTAAATATCTCACAGTTTTGGAGAAGTACGTGTGACATAGATTTCTTGTCCATTTGAATTGAGAAGTGAAAAATGGTATCGGAAAGAGCACTGATAGATTTCAAGAAACTCTCTTAATGAAAGAATGATACTCTGTTGTATCCCAGTCTTCGCGCTCCCAGAGGCTCCCCTATATAGAACCACCTGGACTGTGATGGAGTTTTACACTGATGACCGGGGTATGAACGTTTTCTTCAGTTGAGTATGTGTGAGCGCTGCTGGAATCCCCATGCCATGAATGAATGTCCTTTCTCCATCTGGACTCCTTATATTGCGGTCAAAGTTGAATGCCTCAAACTGAGTACAGATGTGTGCTATAGTCGTGAATATTTCCAGTGAGTGACCCAACAGTAGCATTCAAGTTAAATCTTTGAGCCTCTCGGTATGTGGAGCAGAGTCCCAGTGCGTTCAATGAGTTCACAAGAGGCCTTGAGGAGAAGTGGCGATATAAAAATGCACAAGTTTCTTCTAGAAAGGGAGCAATCATAGATCTCGGTCGGCTGGCAACTATTTTCATACGTGGATTGTAGTACATATTGACAGTTTCAAGGAACAGCACAAAGAGGCCACCAAGTTACCACGTTTTATTCTACATAAATATATCCAATTAGATTTACTGATGGATAGACTTCTTTTCAAGTGATGGTTTTTGATCAATTGACGAGCTGCCTAGACAATTTGCTAGACAACCTGGCATCCTTAAAGCCCTTTCGTGTTTCATAAAATTCTCACATTTGTGTAATTGAAGAAGCCGATTACTGAAATGTAACAACACCTACTCCCCATCAACCTCCGCTATTCACTATGTTATGCTTTCCCTTGCACCCATCAGTTTTTCTTTCCCAGCTACTGTGGTCCATAATGATATTAATAATATAATGTACGGTGCCCTTCACCTCATGCAGATAGTCTTCCAAAATGATCATCATATTCCGAATATTGATCTGCTGAAATTAATTTGCCTTCAGACAGGATACAACATAATGAACGGCATATATGTTTAAAACATCTTGAGGTCTCAATGATGTCCTTATTTTTTTTTAGATGCAACTTCTAATGTAACAGAACATGGAAGCTGCTTGAAAATTTTGAAGTCGCAACCGAATAAAGACAACCAAGAATAGTCGTTGTTCATTCGTTCGTACTTTCTTTGTTGTGTCCTGACTTCGGGTCTCGGTTTACACGCAAATGACATTATATAGGTCTCTATGACTTTGCTTGACTGCAAAGTTTTCTTTTCAGACCTTAAACAATCAGCGGGTGCTAAATAGGAACTCTTCGAGACTTAACCGAAGTTTGCCTTTCAGCCTGTTAAGCTTCCTGAACTATGACTAGTCTTTCTATGTTTTGCAAAAAAGATTTTGCACTTATTTAAGATCGGTGACACAAAATGCGCACTCGGTACCTTTCAGGCCCATCTATATTGTTCTTTCTATGTTGTACAACGGCCAGAATAATATTCACACCTTGTTATGTCAATTGCACAAGAGGAAATTCTGTAGAGGGAAATTACACGGTAAACAATAAATATCCACAGAAAGGCTGAGGATGTGAGAAAACGTATTCTTAATATATTGGCTTCCCATACGTTTCACATAAAAAGCGCCCATACCGATGACGATTACATCATTTTCGGGAAAATCCGTACAAATTACGTAAACATTTTCGCGTCAAAGCAAGTATGGTAAACCAATTTGGTCGTAATGTAAATTTTGCTTTTTTGACAACTTTTAACACTTTTTAAAACAATTTCCTCCACGATTTCGAATGCCGATTTTTAATATGTTATTACACTAAATTTTATCTGTCGAACCATATACGTTTCATTTTTGTTGCAATTTTTTTAGGGTCTACCCTTATCTTTCTTCCACTAAAGTCCGAGTGGACACTTTCCTTATCTACAATCAAATGTTATAAATAATTATGTACTGGTTTTATGGGTCCCTTTTCTTTTCTGTTCCTTTCGTAATTGTTTCTTTTCTTTCCTTTCAGTATTACTCAAATATTATGTGAGTTGTCGTTTGACTGTATTATCATCACTGTGACTGTTGTCAAATGACTGGACAATATGTAACATCACTGGAGCGTGTCTCTCTTTATTCACAGGCAGTGATGATGTACCTTGTGAAGAATTATGTTTTTACTTTCTACTTAGTAATAAGTGAATTGAATGTATACCTTTTGTGTTCTGGGAATAAAAATGGACGTTGTAATAGTGTTCTTATGAAAAGACAAGAGGTGGTATGTCTTTGTTAGGGCTGCCATTGGGATTTTGTAAAAAAATAACTGAAAATAATGAAGTTGCGTTTTGCAAACTGAAAGACAGTTAAGAAACACAACTAATATGGGGTTAAACAGGAAACAAATACTGAGAATAATAACTGTTTGTCTGACCATATTTCACAATGAAAATAACAAAAATAACAGAAGAAAAGGAAAAAAACTGCATCTCTGTTTTGTGGGTAGGCAAAAGTAATACAGTGGAAACCTGATATAACAGGGATGGTGGGAGTAGAGAAAATGTCCTGTTATATCCGATCCCTGTTCCTTCAGAAATGCAAGGAAAGTAAGCATTTGTGGACTAATCTAGCTGTACTTATTCATTGGTGGTTTCCCTTGCCACAAGTACCCACGAACAGGGGTTTTGGCACTAACTTTCTCCTTGCCTCCTTAAACCACATCAGAAGAGTTTGGTCCACAGCATCTGCATCGGTTAGTCTCATCTTCTTTCGATACAGAGCAAACTTTCCATTGGAGTATGCTGCCACTGTCTTCGCTCTATCCTTGATAGTGGTGTGAATCGACCCTCGTGGAATGTCGAAGTAACGACAAATCTCTGCCAGTGGAGTCAACAGTCTGGACTATTTCATATTTTTTGTCAATTGAAAGGCAGTTTCTCATGCGCTTGACATTGTTGGTGACACATTACGCGTGCGTGTTGCTAGGTTTCGGGCTAGGTCGAGGTCTGCAGCACACCGCAGCCTTCTCTTGCTTCACAAGCTGTGTGTGCTTGCAGTGGCATGGCTTGCGTGTGCTTACTCCTTCACTCTCTCTCTCTCTCTCTCTCTCTCTCTCTCTCTCTCTCTCTCTCTCTCTCTCTCTCTCTCTCTCTCTCCCTCTCTCTCTCTGTCTTACTTTTTACACATTGTTAACGAGCCTTTGTTCCTGCTATAACCGGTTGGGCTCTGATGAGGCCCTGTTATTGCCGATTAAACTTTTAATAGAGACAAAGAGTAGGAAAAAACGGGGATTTAAAAAATCCCTGTTATTACCGGGCCTGTTATATATGGTTTCCCCTGTACTGTCTTTAGTGTACATATTTACTGGTTAAATTACATCATGTTTGACTTATGAACATTTTCATGCAGGCAAAGGCAATGTACCGCGACATGCAAGTGGGTCACTGAGTGCACTGACCAACCAGGCCTCACGGCTTTCACCAGGGAATCCCTCATCGAGTCCTGTAATTTGTTTGGAGTCTGAAGCAGGGTGAGTTGATATAATTAGTGGATCTCAGCATATTGCTTGCAACTTCTCAAAATGAGAGGTGAGTTCCATGAGAGGGTGGGACAACTGTGATCACTAGCGTCTAAAGACTATCATTTTTCAGCCTGGGATTTCAGTTTCGATTGTTACAAAAGTAGGTATGGTTTTGAAGCAGAAAGTGGTGAGCTGTGAATCTCGCGATCCAACATTGGGGGTAAAACAAGCTGTGAAACATGGCTCGCAGGAGTGAAAGAGTTAAAGCAACTTGAAGTTGATAACACAGCAGAGACAATCTGTAGTAAAATAGTCATAGCATACATAATACGTTGTATGTTTCAATGATTTCACTTTAGCCATCTTTTTTTGGACTGGTACAAAATGTCCCTTATAGTATAGCAGGATTCGCGCTATAAGGGATCCAGTAATAAATTCAAGGGAAATAATAAAGTAGGCCTTATCTATGAGTTTGGTTTTCTGCTTATTTCTTTTTGTTATCTCCCCTGATAATGATTTGGTTTCAACATGACCTCATGGTCATACTTGATCAAAAATCAAATCAGGTTTCTTTCTCTAGCGTTAGCGATGTTGACAGCTCAACGTACGCGATCAGAAAGAAAGGGCTTTAGGCTAAATCGCCCGCTGTGTTGTCCCCCACACCCTGCGGTGCATTCCGTTTGTTTTCACACGTCACTTATTCGCTCCATCCATCACATTGCTGTGACCTCTCTGTCCCTGCATTGGAGAAGTGAGAGGCATGGTAGGCCTTGATAATCTAGACTAGGTGTAGGCTGGCCTACTGTCACGTGATCCGTTCTGCTTGTCTGCACATGCCACATCCTCCCTACTCATTCGCTCCGGCCTTCATTGTTGACACACCTGGGCTCTCCCATTCTTTGTTTCGCTAGATCACCAACAAGTTTCTCAACTGGCGAGGTTTTACATTTTGCATAATTGGCCTATGCACTGTGCGCAGCAGCAGCAATATTCCGCTATAACCGACTCGCGTGTTTGTCTGATTGCGCTATAGCTGTATTTTATTTACAAAGATAAAGAAGAGAAAAAAGCAGGATTTTAGAATAGCGTCTTTATAACAGACTTCTTGTTATTTCAGGACTCGTTATTAATGGACTCCACTGTAATTATAATTATACATGATGTACATGTTTTGGAAAATAAGGAAAAGATGATTTGTTTCACTCTTAAAATGTTTTCTTGTTTGTATTCTCATCCAGGTCAGTGCTTGTCAAGAAAACAGATAACCTCACAACTGCAATGTTCAAGACCTCATGATTCCTTTCCATCCAGTGTACTGTTTTTGATCGAATATATCTGAGGGTTTGTCATATATGAAGAACAAAGATGCTTGTGGTGAAGAGGTTTTCGGGAATTTTTTGTGTTGCAGTTACAGATTCAGTTTTTCATAACCCGCTGTACTGATCTTTCAAGATGAATTTAGTATTAATAAGTTTATGTTTTGTTCATGTCAGAAAGGAAAAAAAAGTTTAAGCCTACATTTGAAATATTCAATTATTTGATTTGTGTGTGAGGTATGAGTGCATGTTTTTCTTGTCGGTGCTTGATGAGTCCAGCTATTTTATTCAGGGCGATTGGTTGTAAATACTGGGAAGTGGTTCAGATAAAAAAAAAGAAGTTATCAAAATTACATCATGATAATGACCTCAAGCCCTGCTTTAATGTACTTTAAAGTTTATATTCGCCATGAATGACAAGCCTATGATTATGGTGTTTGGATTACAATACAAGTATTGTCAATTGATATTTTAGTTGCTTTTGTTAGGCTATTGAAATGTTGGATGCAACTTTTTAGAGCTATTCAAACGTTAGAAATTGTCTGAATTGAAGTAGCAGCCACTAACCTTGCCTGGGATTGCAAGGACTTGCTTTTCAATGGCCTGAGTTAAAGTTCAGCTGAGCTGTGAAAAAGCAGCAGTGCTGCTGGCCAATGGTACTTGATTAATCAGCTTGTGTTTTATGAGTAGAGAATATAATAGTGTAAAATTGTACAGTAGTCTCCGCCTAAACGCACGCCATACAAAAGCACGCTCCGCTCAAACGCACACTTTCGTCATCTGACGGGTTTTTTTACTATATAATTTAGACGTACAAACGCACGGTCACTCCCTCTAAACGCACGCTCCGATCCGCGAAACACGCCGACAAGTTAAGTTTAGCAAGGGGAAATTTCCAGTATAACCTGCACAGCCTGCATAAGACAAGCCTAGAATTTACTAGAAAACCGGATATTTGGTGAGAGTGCCCCTCACGCCGTACAAAGAGAGTGATGGGCAGCGTTTACCTACACACCATACTTTCCACTGTCGCACAGGTCTCGATTAGGGCTGGTCGGTTAAATGTGTGTGTGTGTGGGGAGGGACTGAAATGTTTTTTGATTGGTCACTGGAAATGTATCTTTGATAGAAGGTTTCTGACTGGTGTTTGAGTTTGAGTGACTGCGTGTAATTTTTAGTTAGATCTAGGCCTGATGCGCGACATGCGTAAATGCCGTAAAACACTAGACAGGCCTCTGTAGGATTAAAGATTAGCCAAATAAGCCTCATAATAATAAGCTGCGCTCGAAGAACTTATAACGTGCTTGTTCAACGAATCACAAGAGAAAATGTTTCTCGAGGATGATTCCTCATGAATTTACGGTCGGGGGCGGTCGTTTGGAAAGCCATGTGGCTGGTCCGTCGTCTCTATGACTACGACCAACAGTTTCCTCTTAGGCTTTCTGTTCCCGACGTTTATAGTGCATATTCATTACATTGAGTTGTCTCTCGAGACCCCCCCCCCCCCCCCACCCCATTCAACGCCGTTGTATTCTTAACCCCAGTCGGGGAAACCTTCACAAAACAGTCATGTGTCGTCATATTATCGGCCAAAATTACCCCCCATCCTCCAGGGGAGATCACTAGAGTAATAAGGAATTGAGATGACTGCGTCCCTTCCTCCCCTTGCAAAGGTTCATGTAAACGCACGCTCCGTATAAACACACGCTAAGGAGCCCTCCCGAGCACCGTGCGTTTAGGCGGAGACTACTGTAAATATGCAGAATACTACTACAATCATGACATTAGCTCAGTAAGCAAGAGTATCCTGCTCATCTGTGTACTTCTGTTGAGTCAGGCTCTACATTGTTTTTGCCCGAGGTAAATAAATGTTCTGCTGCTTACAGTTACAGCACGTCGTTTCATTTAATGATAAAGTTTTGCAATATTTTTTACACATGCATGAAATGCTCGTTTTTAAATTGTTCAATAAACCACCTACCCAATACAATTGATTGTGCAAACACAAATCATCAGTCTGAGTTTTGAATTGCTCACAGCTTTACTGCGTTTTTTTCTACTCTTCTTCCCTATTTCTTTCTAGTTTAATTCCCATTCCCTTTTGTATTCATACATATGTGTGTGTGCCTAGAGAAAGATAAGTCGCCACAGATCATTTTGAGCTACAGGCTGATAATGACAAAAAATCACTGTTTTGACCAAAATGTGTTTCCATTAAAAAAAATGATAGTTCCACCATTTTTTAACTATGTGTTAAAAGAGTTTTAATTGATTTGACTTTTAAGTATTTTATTTTGAATTATTTTGAGGGTAGGGTATGTTTTAAAAAAGATAATATCATAATGAAAACTGCTTTTAGAAGGTGTTAAAATCTATTCTTGAAGCATGTTTTCTCTTCCCCGCAGTGTTTTACCATTGAATTCTAATCATAATATTGATGTCCACTGAATGCCGAATTGGAAATGAATTTTCCATGAATAAACACCAGAAACAATTGAAACATCGTTTTTTAAAAAGTTTGTTTGTGTTCTAAACTTCAAAGCTAATTTTCTCAAAATTAGATCCTTATACTATACCCTACCTCGCAAAATGTGTAATATTTCAAAAACCACTTGAGATATATAAAAAATTCAAATACCACTGTGTTCAGCATTGAATGTCCATACAACCCCTAACTCAAAATGGTTAAAATCCTTTTGGTAGGCCTACCACTCTTTAGGCACACACACACACACATACAATGATATACAGTCCATGCCGGCTTTAAGCACGGTCATCGGGGGAAAGCTTAAGCGTGCTTAAAGCCGAAGCGTGCTTTAGTGCGAAATAGACATAATCCAGAGATTTTCATGTAGAAAATTCCGCGTGCTATTTCCCTTTGTTGGTAAGTAGGCCTATAGCGGTCCCGCAAAAGTGTGCACTGTTATTTAGACACCCGCCATGGTAGTTTTCGTTCGCTTGTTTGTTTTTATTTTGTGGTCAAATGGGAAATGAAAACTTAATTTAGACGGCCAGTCACGATACAGCACACTAGGCCTACCTTAGCACACTGCCTGCTGTGCCACTCATACCACCGCCTTCCTCCCACCTCGCGCGTGATACACAATCAGGATTAATGGGTAGCGAGGGTCAAAGGTGAAATCGCAGCCAGCCTCCCTTTCTCATCTCCCCGACTCTTTTTTTTTGTTGTTGATCGTGTGTAGCTTTGCCCTAGGCCTAGGCTAGATCCTATGTCCGCGCGAACAGCTGTGTGCATCTCTCTGCCTTCCTCTCCGCCCGTGCGAGTGTGTGTGTCTATCACTTGCGTTCTTTGTGTTTCTCTTGACACACTCCACTGTTGCGGTGTAAACTGCGTTCGAACTTCGATGGGTCATCATGAAAATATTGACTGCCTTGTAAATTAAGCGTGCTTGAAGCCGAAGTTACCGTGCTTATAGGCGTGTAATTTATATAGCAAAAATTCGGTAAGAGCCATTTAGCGTGCTTGAGTCCGAAACGTGCTTAAGGCCGGCGTGCTTATAGCCGGCACGGACTGTATATATATATTTTTAAAAATGTATTGTTCAGTACTTGCAGATGGCTGGAAGTCTCACTGATGGCACAATTTCTTTTGTCTCCCTTTATTATTTCTTGCTTGCTTTTTCCATTTCCTAGAACGCTGTTGCTATGTCCATGTGTTTGTCAAATTAAACCGTTTCATTTCCAGTTTCACTATTCCTAGCTGCTTTCTACCTCCTTTTTAAAAAACTATTCACATTTGTCTCCCTACTTCTCATCTTGAGAATTAAAAAATTTTTTTTTCCTTCCCCTTTTGCACTCTCTTTCCGTCTTATCTCCCTCTTCACCGTCTCACTTCCTTTCTATGTTGTTTAGTTTTAGTTTTAGTAGAGTTTTTATGGGGCTGGCAACTGCATACGGTCACATGAGCATGAGCGCCAAGGAGTGGATGTCAACAGAGAAGTCTTTACAGTACAGGGAATCAGGCTTACTCTGCTCACCTCTCTAGCTTGAACAGCACAAAGTCTGCTTCGACTATCAAGGCACCCAGGAAAAAGAGGGTCACAAGAGTGTGACAAACATACTAAAGAAGTAGAGGAAAAATATTGATAATAAGGATTAGGAAAGAAAAAGCAGCAGTTCCCTGTTGCAGTTCAGGCGCAGTTATGGGCATGACATTGATGAATCAGCCCATTTACAATTCTACTGTGCATAATTACATGTTAATGTCCCCCCTGTATCATAACAGGCGGTACAATGCCCTAGCTACTCCTTCCTCCTCTCCAGGATCCATGAAAGGGTGGGCTTGCTTATGGTGCCAGTTATCAGCAGGTTGGATATTCCTCTTGCTTTTCCCCAACCCTCTTGAGGAGACACCAGCTTCCCTCAGTCAGCTAGAAGTCCATTTAGAGAATGAAGTATATGAAGTCCAATATTATTGGCCTACTTTACAAAACACATACTTATTTTGAGGACGACTTCTGGGCCTTATGGCATTTTGTTTTTCACTTTTATCATGGGGTGGAAAGGACAGGTAACAGAACCATAGTGAGGGCTCGCTTAACTCAGTACATGTATCATGCTGGTACGAATCCCAGACTGGGTGTTCTTGACCTCTGGTTGTTTTGTGTAGTTAATATTAAAAGCTCTCAACCCATTTGACTCCGTCCTATCAGAGACAGACGTTAACTTCGGAGGTCCCGACTCTTAAATATCTTATTGGGTTGAGAGGGGCGTTCAATCCATACACTTACTAGAACCAAGGTGAGGGAAACAAAAACCGAGGACAAGCTTTTAGTACATCTCCGAGCCTTTTACTCCATATTTTTGTGAGTCAAAAATGTTTTTTACATTTAGTGCATTCTGGAGGGGAACAAAAAACATCAAGCTTATTTATTTCCTGCTCCAATGCCATTTCAGGTACCCTGCACATCGAGATTGTCATTATAATGCGAGTGACATTCTTGTTTCAGTTTTACTGCACTTGCAGTACAACTACGTCATTTAAGTGCCGAAGATTAGAGGTGTTACACGAGGAGAGTAACGTACATAAAAAAGAATGAGAAACAATAACTGTAGATGTTTGATAGGAAAGAAAGGTGCAAACCACACCAGAGCACCGGCCAATGATACTCTAGTTCTCAGTTTTTGAAACCATAAGACACCAACTGTATCCCTTTAACTTTAAACCCTTTTGTTATATCAAATTTTTAAAACCCTGTACCTGGGTGGTTGAAGGGCGCTACTTCTTTACTTTCCTTGTTGCTTCTGTTTGTCTGTCTTACTTTTCCCCGCACTAAATTACCATTATTGTGTCGATTACTTTTCTTTACTCAAACACAATGCAGGACAATCAATTTCGCTTGTTTGGTAGGCCATTGTATTGTCAGGGCACCAGGCCTTTTTAGTGTCCATCTCATTATTTCCAGCAGCAGCGGGGTCTGATCCAGACTAAGAACTCTTTGTTGTAGTTGTAGACACCCCCCCCACTCCTCCCTCTTCATGGCCTTGCCCTTCCCCCAAATGTACTATAGTCTCTCTCCACCTCAGCAGCAGCAGTGGGATTTATGTTAGAGGTCAAGGGACCATATTGGTCTGCGCCAGTCAATTCAATGACTAGTACTGGTACTAGATGATAGATCAAGCTGCTTCAGACTCAGAGCCCAACTTGGACTCATTCAAAACATATGATATGCGAACCTAGAATTGCAATATTCGTCCCTATAAGACTCCTCACTTGGCCAATTGCCCATTTCAAGATTTTAAAAAAGTTTGGTGTGTAAGCAGAGACTGATCGCACAGAAACAGACACCAAGACAAAATGGTATTGATGAAACCAGCTAAATGCTAGCACCTGTTTCCACATAGTTGTAAGGGCATTTCTGTTACAACATACATGGCCCATCATGGAGGGATCATGGCACTGACGATTTCATTGCTATACTTTGTTCATCACAACATCGACAATAATGTCGTTTCATGCCGGGTCTGGTCCATGGGACTAAGACTACGAGGTTAATGTTTTCATATTGACAGAGTGTCCTACTGAACTAGCCAAAGCCAAAAACAGGCAAGAGGCCTCCAGTGTTCTTCTGACATTCAAGTTGGCTGTGTCTTCTTTTACTAACCCCCATAAGACAGCAATACATCCACCACTGTGGCGCCATGGCTTTTGCTCAAAATTTAGAATCTAGATCAACACAATACAGAAAAAAACTTTTCTTGCTAAAGGGTACATTTTATTCTTTCCACAAACTCATTCATCATCATCATCTTTCGCACTAAAATAAAAATTCACTTTCACAATACCAAAAGAAAAATTGCTTTCTGTTCTTCCAAGTAGGACCCTCCAAACATGTACTCACACTACAAAAGCAACAAACATATTGAAAATAAAAGGGAAAAATTTGAAAAAATCTGCATGTTTGCAAATTTTATAACATAGGCCTACCTCTTTATTGTAGGCCTATGTGTCCACTAGACTTTTCAGACTTGTGATCATTGTTCTATCTGCACTACTTGACAGAAAATATATTGTAATGCAAAAATATGGCTTACTTCGGGATAGATGGATGTTGGTTAGACAGTTTTTATGAACATGTAACTGCCTTCACAAAGTGTCACTAAAAGCTGCATTAGCAAAGCTAATATTAATATCAACTGTTGAAATTCAGCAACTAGATCTTCAAGACAAGAAAATCCTGAGGGTTTGTGAACAAGCAACAAAGCCTGAATGGTTTACAGCTGATGTATTTGCACAGTATGTCACACTCCATTTTTCAACAACAAACCAAGTCATTCTTCATCAAAACACATATTTGCAACTCACTTTCTTGTACTTGTACTCATAAAAAAAAATATAGAAGAGAAAATCAGAACATGAGAGAACAAAACACTGCCATTACAACTAAATGATTCATATGTTGATGACCCGGCTTAATTTCTGGACACGATTCAGCAAGATGTCTCCTTGTTTGATACAGTTCTGAAATGAGAAAAAGTAGCAGACATTCAATTTTACTTTCAATACTCAAGACACTTCTCAATGACTTGGGGGACACACTATTTTGCCAGCCCTCTTTCCTATGATTGCTTGTCAAAATTATTCAAAATAATAAATGTACATGTCTGCTCCTCTCACAACCAAATCTTTTTTTTCATACTAAAATCATTATGGTGACCAAATGTGGAAGTCCCAAACAAGAACTGCAAGCATCACTACTAATACTAAACATGTATCTTGTCAAAAATACCAGTCATGAAATGTTCAGAAAATTGAGAAAACTTAACCATCACATGTCCACCCAAAAAATGAATTAGAAATAGAACTAAAACTACAAGATCTAGCACATTCATCACGCGAATCCTCGTTATGGCTTTAATGTAAAACTTAACTCGTGACATCCTTCAAAACAAAACTTCACTCAAATTGTACACAAACTGATTGTTGCACTCAATGAAGGCCACACAAACCATTCTGAAAGGAATTTATATCTTTACTACAAGTTTGGATGTCTATAGGTAGATCATTGCTACAACGTTTTTGTCGTTATATCACTATGGCGCCCCTCGGGGGACAAAGTGCTAAGGGTAACAAGGTGGATAAACACTCGACAATGTACTGTTGAGAGGAATTCCAATCAGTTTCCAAAAATACAGAACAGTGTATTGAAGGAAATCTATACTCTATAAACTCTACACCTCTCTACTAAGAGATGGATGTTAGTCTACAGATCCTCATGATACATAACTTTAACTCTTGTAACCCTCACTAAATAAACCAACCCTTTCATTATATTAGAAAGAGGTCTATGCGAAAAATGCCCACATAACTGTTCCAAGCAAAAACAAAGTCACAACATCCTACCTGATATTGCCAGTTCTTGCTGTCTGGTCTGTTTGTCTCCACAATGCCACCTACTTTGTCAATCTTGCAATGAAGCCGCCCTGCTGCAATGAACCTTGCGAGCTCTCTGATGTAGGACAAGGGAGAGAAGAAAAATAGTACATAATCATAAAGTCATTGTGTATCGCCATTTTTTCCCCCCCCATATCAATATGAACTCAGGAACGAAAACAGTTTAAAACACCCACACAGCATCCTAGTTCATTTGATGTAGTTCATTCTAATAAGCTAGTAAAAATGGGCAGCCATTCATTTTTGGGGGTAACATTTAAGTCAACATTTTTTTGGGGGGAGGGGGGCAAGTGTTTTACGGCGCTCACAACTTCATAATGGTCATATGAGCGCGCAATTTTCAGTTGGTAGGAAATTTTGAATTTTTCTTGGGTGGCAGCCGAAGCCTGCTCTCATCAATTTTAGACCACTAAGGGAACTTTAACGTGCGCAACTTGCACACGGGACCTCCGAGATTTTTCGCCCTTGTCCGAGAAAGTTCGGTGTAGATCTTTTCTACCAGAAGATCAGGCGTGTGGCAGAAAGAGAGTAGATTGAAGAAGGTGGGGTCGCCAGGTTTCAAAAGTAGAATTAGCGAGAAAATGGTCGCCAAAGTTTGGTTGGTTATTTCCATAGCATGATAGTCAGTGGAAGCTAAAAACTTACATTTTTTATGCCTTTAATCAACATTTTTTTCCAGTAAAATTCACCCAGAAATGTGTTCTTAACCTTTTGCCACTCGGAGGCGCCGATGTGCGCCGTCATCGCTAACCCCCGTAGTCGCCGATGTGCGCCGACACGCCCACTCGATTCACCCGTTTGCACTACTTTCGTTTCTACGTTGTCTCGCTTCCTGCGAGGTCGCACGAGATTGCCGAGCTTATAGCGAGAATCTAGAATGGTTGCCCTTTACTGTCGTGTTTATTTGGTGAAAATCGATCGAAGCACGCGAGAGCGGTGATTTTTTTAATTTCGTGCTTTTTAGAGACCTAAATCTAACTTCGTGGATGAAATTTTGCGTCGCTACAGGCACTGTATACGATGGAGACACTTATAATTGGGATTTAAATGCCGATATCGTCGACCAAGGGGCTAGATCTAGTGCTAGTAGTACAAGTAGTCACTCGGACACTCAGTCGTGAAAGAGAGAGAGAGCGAGAACTATAGTAGGAGAGCGAACACGATGTCGCAGGTCTAGATCTAGGCTCTAGGGGGAGGGGAACAACTATGATAGTGATGTTGATGCTGAGATCGTAGCTGGAGGTGATGATTTAGAAGACTGTTTAAGAAGATAGGCCTAGCACCAACAGCACTTTAGCTAGATCTAGTACTACAAGCTGCACTATGACGTAAAAAAGGGAGGAGCAACACTGGGACTGTGGGCTCTGTCACAACAAATCCTTTAGAGCATGTTGTGATTAGGACCAGAAACTTTACAAAGCTAGGCAGAGGGAGTGAGACAGTGACAGGATGCAATTTGGGCCAGGTTAGGCCTTGCAAAAGGCTGTTCTGGGTAAAACATCATGAACTTCTGCGGGCAAAAAAAGCGGGTTGTGTCTTTTGAGGTTTTTTTTTTTCACTTCAGAATTTTTTTTTTACCTAATACACAATGATTTTTCGTACAAAACCATACATTTTCTTGTAGTTTATTCATTTATCTGTGCTCTGACACCTAAACTGTAATTTTAGACTCATCCTCTGATTTTTAATGATTTTTAAAAATAATATAGTCATGCAGTCTAAGTGGAGTTAGGTCCCTTTTGCCAGAATTTCAGCCTTGTTGGGCAGGGATAGCTCTGAGGGTGAAAGGGTTAATTGGACATCAATGGTGTTAAGTCAAAAAACAAAAGTTCGACAAAAATTGCCAAACTCGCAGAAAAATGCCGGTACCTTCGATGTCATTATTTTGATGAGCGCTCGATTTTACCATGATGCCTCATATATATATATATATATATATATATATATATATATATATATATATATATATATATATATATATATATATCTACATCATATATATATATATATATATATATATCTACATTGACTTGAACTTCACTTGACCAAGACCAAACTCTTGTCTTCATTTCATCCCCCCCCCCTCCCTCCCCAAAATCCTAGAAACAAACATCCATACAAGACAAAATTCATCCATTGACAGTAAATCCAAATATTTACATGGAATCGAGGCAGTGTAAGTTTTTTTTACCTATCATTCTCTGAAAATAACTTATTTTCCTAGACTGTACAAGACTTACTGATCAATAAAAGCAACAGTGACTCCAAATGCTTTTGCCATGTAGTTCAGGGTAAGACTGCGGTAGGACTCCAACAGTTGAGCATATGCCATGATGCGCATTTCTCGAACGTAGTACGAATAATGTGCACACAGAAGACGATCGTATTTCATAAGATTTTCAACCTCCGCTGAAAAAGCAAAACATTATAATGATGAACCAGTACAAGACAAATCTTTAAAAGAAATAACATTACATGCCTAATTAAGAATTCACTTCTTTCCCATTAAAAAAATTTAACTATTTATTCAACTGTTTTCTGTAACTGTAAAGCAAAAATCACATCACTCAATGCAACTGGTTTTCATCAATGATCAATGCCTTTCACCCCTGGCAGGGTATAGGTCACATGATACAAGCTCCTGTCATTTATCTCTTTCCTGGGCAATCCTTCCTAGCTTGTTCCAAGTGAGCTTCATCTCTCTCATGTCCCTTTCCACACATCTCCTCCATGTTTCCCGTGGCCTGCCCCTGCCTCATGCTCCCTGTGGGTTCCACTGCAGTGACTGTCTTGTGATGTTTCCGCTGGGCTTTCTGAAGGTGTGTCCCATCCAACGCCACTTTCTTTGTCCTATTTCAACTTCTATATCCTTTTGTCCTGTCCTTTCCCACAACTCTTGATCTCTTATTCTATCCCGCCACTTAATTCTTAGGATACTCCTCATACATCTGTTGATGGAAATTTGGACTTTATTCAGCACTGTCTTTGTTGTCTTCCAAGTTTCACGGCCGTAGAGGAGCACAGACTTGACATTGGAATTAAAGAGTCAAATCTTGGTGCGCAGTTAGATGTTGCTTGCTTTCCAAACTTTTGATAATTGCTTGAATGCTGACCTTGCCTTGGCGGTTCTTAACTCTTGTCCTGCGCCTGTGCCGAGATGCGAATCTTATCAGCAACTGATTACGTCGGACGTGCCGGGCAGGCCGCCGGGGTCACTCAGTGTGTACTGTTGGTATACAGCGCGCGCGCGTCGAGAAACGTGTGTTTTCGTCATGAATACCGCGGGAGTGTGTTAACCAATGATGAAAATAACGCTCTATCTTTCATAGCTTTCTATTTATAAAGTGTTACAATCACATGAATAACCCCCTCTCACAAGCTGATAAGACATTACGAGTAGTTACGCCCATTCGAATAACCTTTCTGGATGCTCTTGTTGTTATGAATGATCTGAGGTTTGAAAGGGGATAATACAGGTCAATTTCCGAATGTTTTACACTCAAATTGTTCTTTGTACCTGCACAATGGTATTCAAAACTATCAAACAAGCTTATTTTTTATCAGGTAGTATCATTTCATACAAAATCAAGCTCATTTGAAAGAATTTGTATAGAAAAAATGGAAGTCTTGTTTCCTGACTATCCTTTCGAGCTCTTCATGGCTAAGTGGGTCAATTTCTTCTAAAATTTCATTGGACAAACATCTAGAGCTACCAACTTGGCATGTTTTGAATGAGACGTGTGCCTCGATTACGAACCAACGCAGGTGGTTCTAGAAGAAGGCCACAAACTCAAGCAGACTGACGCACACACACTTGACCTGCGTGAATGGGGATCCGACTCGGGACCCGAATGACACGTAAGACGATGCACGCTGCGCGTGCGCTGAGCAGGGGGCTACACCGACTCGGGACCAAAACGTAAGCGAGGTGCCGAAATAGGCTTATTGGGCAACATAAACCCGGCTCCCGCAGGACGAGGGTTAAAGGAGTCCACTTCTTTCACGGGAGTGTCTTCCACTCTCACAGCAGGGCTTGAAACTTTCCCTAGCTTCACTACTTTCGACTTGCCTGGTTGTATATGTAGGCCAACACTCCTTGATAGGCTGCTGAGTTCCTTGGTCTTTTCTTGCATCTGAGCGTGTGTGTGAGAGAGCAGTGCAAGGTCATTGGCGAAGTTGAAGTCGTCCAGCTGCTGCCAAGGGATCCACTGTATGCCACTGCGCTTGCCTCTGATGGCTTCTTTCATGATCCAGTCAATTGCCGGTATGAAGAGAAAAGGTGAGAGCAAGCATCCTTGTCACATTTCTGTCCGTACCTGTATGGTTCTGAGAGTTGTCCTTCGCGGAAGACTTTTCCATAATAGGTGGCCTTCACAAGCTTGACGATTTTGTCAGGTATTACATAACGCCACATGAGTTTCCCGAGTTTCCCTGTCCACGTTGTCAAATGCCTTTTCATAATCAATGAATTTGATCACAAGTGGAGAATTCCATTCAAGCGATTGCTCAACAATGATGCGTAGGGTAGCGATCTGGTCCACACATGATCGGTTCTTGCGGAATCCTGCGTGGTTTCTTCAGAGCTTCTCATCTGTTGCCCGCTTGATTCTCTCCAGGAATGTCCTTTTGAAGACTTTCCCAGGTATGGACAGGAGTGTTATGCCTCTGCAGTTGTTACAATTGCTGAGGTCTTCCTTCTTTGACAGTGTGATTAGGTGGCCTTCCTTCCAGTCTGATGGTATTTCCTCCTCTGGCCAAACCTTTTCGAATAGAGACAACTGGTCTTAGTTGCTCCTTTGACATTATAAAAGAAAAGTAACTGATTACTGTAGATCTTTCAGAGCACCATCTCAGAACTCTTAGTATGGTTGGTATGAATATATAAACATTAATAATAATGGGTCACATTTAAAGCACTTTGATTTAGAATAAACTCTTTCCTCCACAAAACAACCTTTTTTTTTTATCAACAACATTCTAAAAGTAAATTCTATAAAACTGGAATATGTTCTTTCCTAATTACTTACCCAGGGCTAGGAAAAAGTCTCCATACTGGCAGTCATAAAGAGAGAACAAAAATTTGCGAATGTTGGGCAAGCTGTGAAGTACTTCCAGAATTTCTGATCCCTTGACAACCTGTGAAATGCGAAAAAAAAATTAAAATTTTCAATAGAATGTCAAAGATAATTTTCTTCTGACAGGTTTTTCTAGCAATTGATACATTCATAGCTGTACACAAATCTTAACATGGCTATTCCTTCTTTAAAAAAACAAACAACCCAATATAGCGTTCACGGAATTTACTATAAAAGCAGATTATTTCTGGAGAACATCAGATAAACTACCATAAGCTTAAGTCTATCGGAAAGCGAAAGTAACAAATTACTACAGCAATCTTTGTTAAACACTTTTTTCCCCCCATATTACAACAACTTCTCTTAAAACGAAATCTCCTTCACATATGATAAAAATAATTCTGTCTCGTGAGTTCGTTCTATCAGCGTTTCATTGGAGTTATTTATGCCAGTCCCTGCCTGATGCCTTAATCACCATAAAGCAAAATTCCAAACATTCATGTGTGAGCTAACATATAGCAAGGCCCATGCAGCGCCGATGAGTGTGACCGAAATAGGGGACTCTCGTATAGGCGCTGCGGGCTTGTTTTACTGGACCCGTTTTCTCACGGTGCCCTATTTTCATTCACTCGTACGGGCTTGTTTCTCAATGGATGAAAGCGAAACTTGGCAGCCAATGAGAAAAGAGGTCAAACTAGTCACAAGCGAAAAAGAAAACACGTAGGTTACTTGGTTATGGTGCTGTTTGTGTCCGAAGTTTGAGCACTCGGCTACACCAGATTTGGTGGAATTTGGATTTCTTTTTCACAACCTTGTTTGACAACTTTTTTCCTTTATTGTCTTCAAATTTTATTAATATATGTTTCATACTTTTTGCGTACCATTGCAAAACATCACCCAAACTCGACTGTATTCGGGCATTCCGCTGAGTAGGTCGGGCTAGCCGGCGCGAGTGGAAAATTCCATGACGTCATAAAGAAACAGGTTGGGGAAAGTCTACTGCGCGAGAGAGACGGGGAAACCATGTTCAACAGTTCGGCTTTCCAAAAGCTAAAAAATACTTTTTAGGCTTTATCTTTATGCCTGCATGAACTTTATTAGCTTTGAATGTGATAAAAAGACTTTCTGCATACAAAAAAATCGGGGAGGAGAGATCACATTCTTGCGTTATCGATCGATGTCAACGGTTCTCTCGATCCTGTTAATCCCCCGACCTGGATCTACATGAACTCATCAGTTTCATGCTAAGGAACAGGAATTATAATACTACATATAAGCTTACATCAATTCATAGAATGGCTTTCTCGTTAGCAAGGAACAAAATATAGATTAAATCTAAAGAATTGGTGACTGAACGGTCTTTTTTTTATGTATGATTACTAGTATTTTCTACCAATTTTGTACCGGTAGGGAGATGGGTAAACTTCTGCAAGAAAAAGCGTTGTGGACACCGAGCTGGAGCCACAACCACGTTCGGGGGGGGGGTGCGCATCTTGTGTATTTCAGATGTTAAGGTGGTTCAAGCAAAATTTTAAAAATTCAAATAAACCCAACATGGTCAGTACACTTTCTCATATCTTCTGTTCCATTTCAGATGTTTGTTTGCTTTCATTCACTATCTATTTTTGGTGCCTGTACACAGAGCACACCTGGTATGTTATGTTATACAATTATACACAAAAATATTGCAAGAAAAGTTAATGGATATCCCATTTTAGTAACATACCCAGGGTACCTTTTCAACATTTTCGCTCACAGTGATAAAAGAGCCTTTCATACAAAAAAAAATAACAGCAGATTTGGAATCTGCGAGAAAAAATACAATAGATAGTCAAGTTTCGTAGATAAATATAAAAAAATAAGAAAGTTGTAGGAGTTTGAATGTTGGCAGCAAGTCCTTGGCCTAAAATTTCAATGAATTTTTTTACACATTTCCCCTCATATTGCACAAACTACTGCAGATACATCAAATATCTTTATAGATATAGGTTCTGCGGGAAAAACTACAATAATAGGCTGCCAAGTTTCATTCATGTATTCCGTTTACTACGGAATTTTTTATAAAAAATGCCCCAAAACACCCAAAAATGTGGACTGTGTTTTGGGATTTTTTCCATTATATGAGAGTCACCCCAAAAAAAATTCATTTAAAAAATCATAACTTTTTTATTTATGAACGAATTGTCAAAATTCAAAAACTGTTACTCGGCAGAGATAAGGCTATCATATGCACATTGTTTTGTTGGCTTTAAAGCAAAAAAAAAAATGTTCATGGTTCTTGCAATAACATATACACATAGAAATTATTCTCAAGGACACCAAACCTTGATAAAGGCCCATCCAAACTACCCACCCACCTTTTCTCTGAGCTCGGGTCTATCCAGGGCAATTATGCAGCACAGCACAGTGTAGGTGACAAACTGCTGATAGTCCATCAGTTCATATGAGGTGAATGTGGCAATCGTGTCAAGAAAGAGACCAGCTGCTGACTTGAAGTCCCGGATGGACATGTTGTAGAGGCCACGGTAAACCTTCAGCCGGTTTCGCCTGTCCCAGTCACCTCCTTCATCTATCAAACTGAAGAAAAATGTTCAAGGGGTTTAAATACACAATAAGCACAACACAAATATGGTTATTGTGGACACAGAAAAAACGCCAACAAACAATAGACATGGAAATGAAGGAACGGCAAATTCTCTTCATGTACATACCACCAATTTAAAAGCCCAAGAAATACACATCATCAGTGTCTTTCACCCCTGGCAGGGTATAGGCCACTACAAGCTCCTTCCATTTATCTCTGTCCTGGGCCATCCTTCCTAGCTCATTCTAAGTGAGCTTAATCTCTCTCCTGTCCCTTTCCACACATCTTCTCCATGTTTCTCGTGGCCTACCCCTTACCCGTGCTCCCTGTGAGTTCCATTGCAGTGACTGTCTTGGGATGTTTCCGCTGGGCTTTCTGAAGGCGTGCCACATCCAACGCCACTTTCTTAGTCCTATTTCTACTTTTATATCCTTTTGTCCTGTCCTTTCCCATAGCTTTTCATTTCTTATTCTATCCTGCCACTTAATTCTTAGGATACTCCTCATACACCTGTTGATGAAAGTCTGAACTTTATTCAGCACTGTCTTTGTTGTCTTCCAAGTTTCGCAGCCGTAGAGGAGCACAGACTTGACATTGGAATTAAAGATTCGAATCTAGGTGTGCAGTGAGATGTTGCTTGCTTTCCAGACTTTTGATAACAAGAAATACACAAGCTATCAGAAAGTTATACTCTTGAGAACAAGTCTGAAGCGTGTAGGCTCAAATGAACATATATAATCCTGACAATTGGCGTCAGTCCTCTTGTTAGTCTACTGCAATGTTTCTATCTTACTTGACAGTCTACCACCAGACCAGTCTGACATCTGTTCCACTTGATGGTCTACTACTATATCCATAGGGGTAGAGATAGGAATAAGGGTAGGAATAGGGAGGGCAGCATTAGGTATAGATTTAGGTTAGCCATTAGATTTAAGGTACAGGTTCGGGTCCTTACCATCACCTTTTGTCCAATTAAAACAGCACAGGTAGACCACAGCATTATTGTGGTAGACCATCAACTATTACACCAGCTTTTATTAAATCATCGGATTTTCACCTCAGCAAGGTACTTTTCAAGGAGGGTACTCTGTAAATGAGATACTACTCTACTCACCTTTGTGCTTTCTCCAAGTTTTTTGTTATGAGATCATGATCATTGTAGAAGATGCCCATCCTAATCAGGTGGAAGACAATGTCCAATCGGTAGCCCAAAGCAACAGTCTTGTCATAGGTCTTACGAAATTCAGACAAAGCATTGGCCTGCAGAAAAAAGCCAAAAATGACTTAAACTTCAAAGGAAACTGTTAGTGTTACGCCTTCCCATATTTAAGTTAGATGAAAATTTAGACCCCTTTTGCATATATTTATGTGAGAACCACAGTCGTGACTTTCAGCATCAGAGTCAAAACTGAACAATACAAGTGATGCCAAACAATTATATTTGCGTTTATTATTCTTTTAAAAACCTCTAAGCTCAGAGGCTGCACTAACCTTTGCGAAACACCTTTACACAACTAAAACGATAAGGTATCAACCAAGTACCCCTGTTGTGAAACAGTTCATATTCAGAGCTATTGTTTTGGAATGGTCCCCCCATCCATGAAAATGAACAACAAAGCATTAGTATATATATATATATATATATATATATGTGAGGCAGCGTGGTCAAATCAGGCTTTCGTCAAAATAATCAAAGTGAAGAAACTTGCATTTTTCCGCAGGTTTGTGAATTTTTATCAATTTTTTTGTTTTTTGGCTCAACACCTTTCATGCCCATTAAAGAACTCATTTCTGTGTGGATTTTTCTTGAAAACGTTGATTAAAGGCACAAAAATGTACATTTTTAGTTACCACGGACTCTTAAGCTAAGAAAATAACTAATCTTTGGCGGCCATTTTCTCACTAATTTTACATCTGAAAACAGGTGACCCCCATCCCCTTCATTCGCAAATATTTGGACTAGTATTCAAGATAGGTGGATATTTTTTTTTTTTTTAATTCAAATAAAGACAAGTGAACAAGCTTTAAGATGACACCAATAACTCTACATGCCCAAAAATTGACGAGAGCCTGATTCCACCACGTTCTTGCATTTACCTTATCACCAATCTGACACAGATACTCTGCCTTGACCAGCATACTGTCTCTGATTTCTGTTTCACCAAGGTTTTTTACAGCATCATCAATAGCCTCATCCAGCTGTTTCAGCTTTGCAGCATTTGCTGCTTTCATTGTGCTGAGGAGTGCCTCATCTTTGGTCCATCCAAGTTCCTGCACAGTCTCTTCATAAAAGGGGGCCATGTCTAGAAGAATTAACAAAGACAATTTCAACCATTTCAATCACAGACAACAAAAAACAAGCAGAATTTACAAGACTTTCAGAAACATTAATCATTTATGACCTACTGTACATTTTTCAGCCTAAATTTTGTTTGATATATCTTGACAATATTTCATTCTTAAAACAAAACTTTGCTAAGAGAAAGTATCTGAATGTTATTTGACAAAAAATTGAAGGGGGATAAAGAATTAAGAGGAACATAAACTAATGGGTCCAACAAGAACTCAACAAACATGGTTTTAACACAGCAATTATATCATCAATAAAAATATTTTTAAAACCTGTCAATTTACAATGATATTAGTATACAGTGGAGTCCACTTATAACGAGTCCTGAAATAACGAGAAGTCTGTTATAAAAATTAAGACACTATTCAAAAACCCTGTTTTTTCCCTTCTTTATCTTTGTAAATAAAATACTGCTATGGCGTAATCAGACAGTAACGCGAGTCGGTTATAACGGAATATTGCTGCTGCAGTGCACAGACCAATTACACATTATATCATGAAACCTTGCCAGTAGAGAAAGTTGTTGGTGATCCAGGGAAACAAAGAATGGGAGAGCCCACGTGAACCAACAATGAAGGTCGGAGTGAATGAGTGGGGAGGGTGTGGCATGCGCAGACAAGCACAGCACAACGCATCGCGTGATAGGCCAGCCCAGTCTAGATTATCCAGGCCTACCATGCCTCTCACCTCTCTGGTGCAGGATGGAGAGGTCACAATGCTTTGATAGATGGAGTGAATGTGTGACGCGCGCAAGCAGACGCAACGTACCACAGGGTGTGGTGGGGTGGGGGACAACACAGCGGGCGAGTAAGCCTAGAGCCGGAGCCCTTTCTTCCGGATCGCAAGCGCCGAGCTGTCAACATTGCTAGTGCTAGAGAAAGAAACCTGATTTGATTTTTGATCAAATAAGACCTAGAGATCATGTTGAACAAAATCGTGATCTACTTCCCTGGAATTTATTACTGGATCCTTTATAACGAGAATCCTGCTATAACGGACATTTCACACCTGTCCCCTCCCTCTCGTTATAACAGGATTCCACTGTACTAGGAAATTGTAATGTTTGACTGTACTGCTTGATAGTTTAGGATTAACAACATTCTGTTTCATCAATTATTAATATGATCATAATGCTCAAGATGAGTAAAAAATGCCCTTAGAGCTTTTAACTTTCTATGAAAAGTTATAAATTTTAATAAGATACACACATCAATAAATCTCCTCATGCAGCTTGACTAACTTATGTCCTCGCCATTTTATGCATATTTTATATGTCAATTACGTCTTTAGTGAGTACAAAACAAGTTTTCCCATGAGTAGTGGTTAAGTAAACACGTAAACACCCTCATCTTTTGACAAAGGCACAATGCCATTATCAGGGCAGCTAAGTTAGCACATGGGAGGTGTGAAATTTTGACCAAAAGTTATGCTTGCTGATTGGGCAGACTTAATTTTTTTCTATATCTCTTGAAATTCTTTCTTGGACGTCCAGACTGTTAATAGATATAAACTCACCTTATTATTATTATTATATTATGAAACTCATTGTAATGCGAAATGCTCTGATGCCATGAATGTTGGATCAGGATGATTCCCCTTGTTTTGGTGTTAAAATAATAAAAGAAAACACACTTCCTGTTGACTTTGGAAGAAGAAAGAACACAACGCTATGTCTGCCTATTTTTATTGAACGAATGAACAAATGTAATCCAGTTTAATCCACAAAGTCTTAAGTTTCTCAACTATGTCAAACACCCACCAACCAACACGGACAAGTTTGGCAGTAATTATGAGTCATTATGATGCAATCATTAAATAGGCCTACATGGCCAAAAAAGCACATGGCATGAGTATGGGATCAAAATGCCACAGGGAGGCATGACAACAAGTATATATATTATGTAAGCTTGTAAGTCAAGTCCCTGTTAATAAGTAGATTCTAAGATCTAGTGCAACTCTTTTCATATCAAAATTGGGAGAAAATTTTATCAAAGAAAAAGTGAAGCAATTAAGATAAAATTTTGAAACATATATATAGGGCCTAAACAATTTTTTAAAATGCTAAATAAACCGAGAGAACAAGTTTTCAGGATAATCCGATTTTGGCCCTGATAATTACACCTATTACTTACAGTCTTGACCCTAATACTACCCTCAACCCTCCTACCTACTTTACCTTAGCTTTAGTCCATGAAGTTTCAATTGGTGTTCCAAGTAACACTGATATATGTTGCACGAAGATAGCCTCCTAATCTTTATCGAGTATCTTGGTACTTCTGCTGGGATTATCCCTCTCAGCCCTGGTTGGGAGCCTGATGATCTAAATTGAGTCAATGAGGGTAGATCTAGATCTAATTATAACAAAAACCTACTTTTAAAAAAATAATTCAAAAGTATCAAGAAAGTAGCCCTGATCTACTTGGAAGGACTTCCAATAATGAGCGACCACCCCAACAAAAACAATAAAGAAGAGATCTAGACCTAACCCTACCCTTAATCCATGCCCAAAACCTTACCCAAACCTTAGACCTACCCTATTCCATACTCAATTTCTATCTATTTCATAGGACATAGGCCTAGTTTAGTCAGCCTAACATTGAGGCGGGCTCTATTTCTCAGAATGCTCAGGAAAATAAACTACTCTATTTCTCCTAACGGTTTCGGTTCTCGAGATTTTTTGGTTATTTGCGAAAGGAATGGCGCACGCGCATGTGTATATATACATATAGGGTGAACGAGGGGGGGGGTGTGTTTAGATTTAGATTTTTGCTTTAGGGGTGACTAAACGTAAAATAGGTTCTGCCAAAGTCGAGCAGTCTTGTTTTCTCGCAGTACGTTTTGAGGGCATTTTCAAATGAAGTATAGTCCAGGAACGTTGTCACAACCACAACTGAAGTATCTGAATATTCAGACATCTAAAAAAAAATCTCTAGAATCTAGATCTAGCTCTAGAAATTGATTTCAATGCAAAAAATGCTTCTTCCCAGTTCTTGAAGAGGCAGAATGAAAGATGACGCCGAACTCTCGCAAATAACCAAAAAATCTCGAGAACGGAAACCGTTCGGAGAAATAGAGGTTTAAGTTTATTTTCCCCGGCGTTCGGAGAAATAGATCTAGTCACTTTGTAATATTAACCCTCGTCCAGCGGGGATCGGGTTTATGTTGCCCGATAAGCCTTTTTCGGCACCTCGCCTTCGTTCCGGTCCCGTGTCAGTCCGGCCCCTGGCTCAGCACAATAGCGCGCCGAGCATCATCTCCGTTCCATTCAGGTCCCGCATCGGACCGCATTCACGCAGCTCAGGTGACAGGTGTGTGTGTATCAGTTTGCTTGAGTTTGTGTGCGTTTCAGGTCTAGATATCTACTTCTAGAACCGCCTGCGTTGGTTCATAACCAAGATATACGTCTCATTCAAAACACGCCAAGTTGGTGCTCTCTAAATGTTCGTCCAAGTCCAATGAAATTAGAACAAATTGACCCACTTAGTCTTAGTCTTAGAATGAGGAGTGGAGTTCGAAAGGAAAATCAGGAAACAAGACTTTCATTTTCTATAGTAGATTATAGATCTACAAAATCTTTCAAATGAGTTGATTTTGTAAGAAATAATACTAGATCTAGATCTAGATCTAGATTCTACCTGATAAAAAATAGCCTTTGGCTATGACCGCTGCTTAGCTTACGGCTACGGCCCTCCCTTTCACATATCATAGTCATAGGCTAGTTCTAGCTGTCCATAGTCCATACACGGCATACGGCCCTCCCTCCCAGAGACTGCTATGTTTTCTTTCATTATCCTCCTAGTCCTAGCCTAGTCCGTACACTATAGATTAGTAGACTATAAGCAAACAATTTTTACTCACCGTTGGCCTTTATCTCTGCCATCAACTTCTCCTGAAGAGCTGAATCATATTTATTTTTTTCCGTCCCCAGAAGAAAGCGGAGTTGAGCATGCTGAAGGTTTGGGTTTTTCGCAAGGCCTTCTTCTTCTAAGTTTTCAATAGGCATACTGTCGTCTACCAGCTGGACACTCGCAAACTAAACAATAACTGAAATTCTCTGTAAGACGATAAGTTCGATGGGATACGTTCCCTCTCCAGTATCCTATTCCAGGGCAACTCGCCGAGAGTTTAGGTTTACACAATGGTACTGTGTAGGGAAGATTGACCATTCATAACTTCCGGTAGGCTAAGTGACTTGACGATGTTGAACGCGGTTGCATTAAAAAGGGAAAAGCTTGCCTTCATCATAGCGAAACGAAAGTTTTTCTCCAAACAAGCAAACGTAGCCTAGAGGCGAAATAAATAAATTACGGGGGAAATCAGGTCTGATAAATGACTGTTAAATAAAAAGTAGGCCTAGGTAAAAGGAAAAGGGGTAGAGGAGGGAGAGAGCAATGTGAAAAATACAGTCAAAGAATTTCAACGACAAAGTCAAAGTGATGGCATTGTTGTGCATTCTCTTACCCTTTATCTGCGCTTTCCACAACCTTTGCATTGAAACCACAGAATTCTACACTTAGTAGAATTCTGTGATTGAAACACACACAAAAAAAAGAAAGAAAAGAAAAAAAATCTGTTCAATTCACAAGAGTTTTCCCAACTTTAATTAAGATGCTCTTGGTACATAGTTGTTCCTTTTTCTTGAAGCAGACAATGGAACAAGAGTTTAAGAAAGAGCCAAGTGTGGTCAAAGGGAAATTGAAATAACCAATAAATAATTTATACTTGCGTGTTAGGCCAAGTTCAGTTAGGCATTGGTGTTCCTGTTGATTAATTCTTGACTTATGACTCGTCATGAGGTCCCAAAATGACAAAAAAGAAATTATGTCACGGTCTATACACACACACACACAGAGAGAGAGAGAGAGAGAGAGAGAGAGAGAGAGAGAGAGAGAGAGAGAGAGAGAGAAAGATGTGTGTGTGTGTGTGTATATGTGTGTGTGTGTGTGTGTGTGTGTGTGTGTGTGTGTTAGAGAGAGAGAGAGAGAGAGAGAGAGGGAGGGAGAGAGAGAGAGAGAGAGAGAGAGAGAGAGAGAGAGAGAGAGAGAGAGAGAGAGAGAGAGAGAGAGAGAGAGAGAGAGAGAGAGAGGATGGAAGGGGGGGGGGCGACCAAAAAGTAACAATCCGATCCTAAAGAATCCTAAGAAACAATCTATATTAGACCTAAGTAGCATATGGTGAACCAACGCCAGTTCCTACTCGCTGTAACTGTAAGCTTGACATAGACAACTTTCGACAGAGTAGTGCTTCTTCAAAGAGTAAACCAGCTTCAATATGTAGGAGTTAGGCGCTCCTGGGTGGGGTGGAATATTTATTGAGTACCTTTTCTGTTGGGATGCTGTATCCCCCTCAACCGGTGTAGGCCCTGGCAGGCAAGGTCGAAGCCCGCCTCCTAGTTGAATCTAATTATTGTGTTGATGGGAGCGTAAAGAAACACACATAATCAGAGTAATGAAATTTCTCTCGTGTTTGGTCGTATCAAGGCTTTCAAACCATTTGACTCGATCCTATCGGAGACGGATGTTATATCCGGAGGTCCCCCCTCTTAATTAACCTGATAGGCCTAATATTGGTAAGGGCGTTTAACCCAAACACACTGGTACATTATATCCTTTGATCAAATAAAAGTGGACAAAAGATCTGTTCCAGCTAGTGAAAGAAGTGACCAATGTTAGTAAATACCTTTTGAGGATAGGGTCCACACTGACTTTAGTGGTACATTTTAATAAAATTATTAAGAACCCCCCCCCCCTTTCTCTCTCTCCTATGCAATGAAGCCCCATACCCATAGGAATATAGGTAGATCTAGGTAAACTTAGGAGGAGTACGTAATAAAAACAAACAAGTTCAAAAAGTGAAAATTTTAGAATTTAAAAAAAAAATGGTTAAAAAAAAACTAAAACAGATAGATCTAGATCTGCATAAAATATTGATAACAAAAATGTTGGATTTCCTATTGGTGATGTATAATATGCTAAATGCAATTTAAACCAGTCCATAAATACACGAGTAACTACAATATTTAAATGTAAAATGTTTAACAGTCTGGAAAAAACGTTTTTGCCGAGACCGGCCGAACAGGGTGGGACATCCGTGGGGACCCCGGGGGGCAAACCCCCCCCCCCCTTTTTTTTATTTTAATGAACGACAAGGATAATTAAAGAATTATAGGGGGGTCTCGTGGCCTAGAGGTTAAGGTGTTGGCCTCTCATTCAAAGGTCCCGGGTTCGAATCCGGGTTGCGACCGAAAAACTGTCTTCTCTAAAAGTGTCTCCTTTCACCTCATTTCCTGCTCTCTAGCAATGTTCTGTTGTCTGCTTTCATTTCCGCCACTTTCTGCCCCCACCCCCTCACCTCCTTTGCCCCCTCCTCTGGGCTCCTGATTCTTTCTGCAGCCTTTCTACTGCTACTCCTTGGCTCCTCCTTACTGCTCTGCTGTCTTTCTGCCACACCCCTGATCTTCTGGTAGGAAAGATCTACACCTAGCCTTCTCGGACAAGGGCAAAAAATCTCGGAGGGCCCGTGTCCAAGTCGCGCATGTTAAAGATCCCGTGGTGGTCTAAAATCGACAACAGTAGGCTTCGGCCGCCACCCGGGCAAAAATTCAAAATTTCCTACCAACTGAAAATATTATGTGAGTCCCGCACGCTCATATCAACTTATGCAGCTGCGAGCGCCGTAAAACACTTACCGAAAAAAAAAAATGAATTATAGGAATTTTGTAATCACCCAATTGGTGATCGGAGATTTTTCAGCCTTGTAAAGATAAAGTCACACCACTACATGATCTCGGTTAATCTCGACCCAAATGTAGGTAATGTTTCGTGTTTAACGCTGAAATGAATTTAAACTCCTGGTGACTCAAAGTATTATTTTGGGGGTGGGGTGTATTTATCACCGTCTGAATACAATACCTAAACTTTAAAATAACTTTTAAAAAGCTTGCACTTTCAGAACCTTCTCAACTTTGAGCACCCAAATTATAGTTTGGTCAACTAATCAAGCGCAGAGGAGACAGTCAGCTCAGAAGTATAATTTTGATACATATGGGAATTTATTTTTCACAGACTGCAAGCTGTTCATGCTCAGTCATTAGCTAGTCATTAGCGGATCGGTATTTTAAAAAAAATTGATTGTGTACGTTTTACGTACCCGACCCGTCGACGCAAAAAAGATATATAACATCAGGAAGCGAGTTGCTTCGATCCCGCCCGGAATCAAACCGGTAATTAGCGTATACGCCACCCCAACAAACAGAAAGGAGGAGATACTGGAATAAAACAGACGGGAATCAAACTAAAGAGGTTTGCATGTCACTGCGAAGGACTGGACCGTCGCACAATAGTTGATTTGGGCAGCTCGCAAGTCTTGCTACATGCTACTTCTATTACTGCTGCTGTTGTTGTTGCTACACACTACAACTGGAAGGACCTACTACTTGTGCCCTCCAACCACTTGCACTCGTAAGAAAACAGAACAAACAACAGAGCAAACAATAGAGCAAAACAATCTATTTCGGTTGCAGAGAGACCTGTTCAACGCCATCATCATTCACGACATGCGGGGTCTCTCTCTCTCTCTCACACAGTGAGAGAGGACAGTGACAGACACACAGAGTAAGAGAGAAAGGGAGGGAGAGAAAGAGAGTGATACAGAGAGTGATAGAGAGTTGTTTGTTTGTTTGTTACAGGGTTTTACGGCGCTTGCAACTGCATAAGGTCATATGAGCGCGTGAAACACAAGTTGTTTGCATTCGCAACAGTTCATTGCACGGTTGGCTATCTTTTAGACTTTCAAATGCTAAAATATTAAAATTCGGTGTCAACATATTTTAAATTTAAAACAACTCTTATAAATAACAATAACAATTTTTAATAGTACGATTTCACTTTACAATTTGCCATAAAGGCCAACGGCCTTAATAAAATTCAAAATTCTGCTGGGACCAACGACGGAAAAAATGTCTTGCAATTTCTTGCATTTATAATATTTCCTTCGGATCTCTCCTAAGTCCAGACAGTCGGTTAAGATGTGTCTAATGCTAGACGGTCAGAGATCGTATGAGAACGTATAGGTATAACGGTAAAATCTGTGTCGCACGGCTCCCTGTAGGAGGTATTTGTGGGTCAGGACCGTGTGTCCGATGCGCAATCGAATAAAAATGACTTTGTCTCTTCTGGAGAGGTATGAAGGATTTCGCTGTTCCAGTTTGGGTTTTATAGTATACAGATTATTGTTTTTCTGTTTTTCCCAGTGGCTCTCCCACAGACTGGAGGTGTACGTTTTGACTTTATTTCTAAAGTCAGTCTGTGGGAGAGTGATCCCAGCAGAAGGGATGAGGCTTTCTTCGCCAGGTCGTGTACCTGCTCGTTTCCTCGGATGCCACGGAGGGAGGTTGGGAAAAAGAAATTGAGAGTGAGAGATAGATAGAGAGAACGAGAGAGCGAGAGAGTGATAGAGAGCCAGGGTGAGAGCGAGCTAGTCAGAGACAATATCTTGTTATATATCTTTCAGCAAATTGACTTTTCTTTCTGTCTTGTCTTGCTTTTTCCCCTCAGCACCTTATATCAATTAGATTGTTAAAAACAAAAACATGATAAACCTTGCCCCATCAACTTGGACTAAAACTGTTTTTTTAGTATAAATATTTTACACCCACATGGACACAATTTAGATCATAATTTGTGAGGTGGGCTTCGACCCTGCCTGTATTGAGAGGCATACAAGATTGAGATACTTGATAAAAATCAACCGCTACAACAAAGACACCCATATATCTTATATTGTACTTGTAAATGTTAATGTTCAACACTCCCATGCACTTGACATTGATCACTTAGGAGGCAGGCAGCGTTGGTCCTGCCTATCATGGCCAACAAGGACACACAGGAATACAGTTCCCAGCAGACAGACCGAGATACAAGATTTTTAAAAAACCCTCACCATTCAAAATTCAAACTCAAGTATACTTAGTGCCGAGGCAAAAAGCTTAACTTATACACAAAACTAGTATATCTAATTAAACATGAATAAAAAGAAAGCACAAGATAAAGTGGAAGACCCATAAATATGGCACTGAGGTACAACATGTATGCAAAAATGAGTACTATCGACTCAGTTTTGGTCATAGGACCTACTAGCGGCACTCTCCAATCACAACGAAAAGAGGAATGAACATGAATACCTAGCCAAT